CTTAATTGTTCCACCATTCTTTGCCTCACATTCTTTGTAACAATAATTTTTCTTGCCATTCTTAGGACCATAACAACCACAGCACTATAAGAAAGTAAAAACGTTAAACAATGAATAGCCCGTTTTTTCATTTTAGACTAAATTTTGCGAATGAAGCCTACACTTCTGAAATACGCATTCATTATATTCAGAATACGTGTATAGCAGAAATAGAGTAGTTGACATTCCTTATGAGCATCAGCTTACTATACTTAATGAAGCATTAAATCCAAAATACATTCAACTGATACGTTTGGCACCGAATACATAGCTAATAAGAAATATCTAAGCAATTAAACATTGCTTATGAGCATTTAAAGTCTATGAATATATAGCATATCTAGAAAATATACAGCATGCAAAGTTATAAAGGATGATCAATGAAAAAAAAGATTTAGCTACATAGCCTTAAGGGTATTTTTAACACAAAATAACTTATACAGAGTAAAATAAAAACCTTTTCATTGTCACAGCCAACCAATGCTGTTGCTCCAAAATTTATACCAGAAATTTGATTTTAAGTACTGTAGCTAAAGTTTGAACAATGTATACGTTAATTTTAATTAGTTCACTGTTTTTCATAACATTTAATTTTACAATGATTTCAAACTAATTCCATTTCATTGAAACAGGTTCTTATTTTCTACTTTTAGTTTTTAGTATTTTTTAAGTCTTTCCGTGAGTTAATTTTGAATTTTTGTTGCTTAATAAATAACAAATCAACACTGTAGCTATCTTAGTTCTGTAGGTACAATATATCCTCTGAGCTTCTGAAAGTCAACAAGTATAGTTGTACAAAATGTGTAAATGTTAATTTGCAATACCACTGATGTTGTTACCTGAATGCTCCAGAATAGTCAGTTTGAAATGGATGTTTGAGGTTAAAAGCAAATCCCCTGCGGCAGGGTCTGCTTAAACAAATATTCATTTTTGCCTACAAAAGAAATAGAACAGAAATCACACCACCATATTCTAGAAGTTCATATATCATTGATATGAACCCAACAATTGAATCATTCTCTTCATACCCATCCAAACTGTGTTCTTTTATTGTGTGCCAATCCAAATTTTGAGCAACGAAAACTTGTTGTCACAACTTTATCAATGATTAGATCTTTCACAAAGGAAACGTCACCAATCCCAGGTGATGTTTTTGTACAGCCTCCTTTGTTGTAAATCATTAAATTTTTTAATTTTCGTGGGCTTTGAAATCTGTAAAACCTAAATGGAATGACATCGTCTAATATTTTTGTCCCTATTGGGACAAAACAGGGGCGTTGAAAACGGAGAGAAGGGGCACTTTCCTTACTTTTCTTGAAAGAGGGGAAGTGCCCACTCGCTTTTTTGCACAAAACACAACATATTGAAAATCTGACATAAAGTATATCACGCTTGTCGTTTGCCTGAGCAATTCAATACGTGATATAAGCATACAATATGCAGAAAAAATTATATTACTGCTAAATTGATATTCATAATTTCTGGGTTGCCTCCACTTTTTACTGCTTATCCAACGCCCCTGAAAGTTAATAATGGCCAAAGAGATAATTTCTATACCAATGAGCTTTAGTTGCCTTAAAATCCTCACGAGTAGCCATTTGTACTCTAAAATCAACCATTGGAGCCTCTCCTAATGAACTTATCCAATGAGGTTCACCAAATGGTTCCACTGTCTTGTTGTTTGATGGTACTGTCCATGTAATGGATGTATTTTTTCGACCAATCAACATGAACCCACCACCATCAGTTGTCATATCACAATAAATCTTAATAGAACAAGGAATGATGAAAAAAATGATTCACGTATGAAGTGAATAATAAAGTTGTATATAACAACCATGTATGTAAAATGTATTTATGAATAAACAAACTTTTCTTTTGAATTGACAACTGGAAACTTATTTTATGTTGCTACTCGCTCTAAGCGTCTACAAGCTAAAAGCAAGTGTAAATAAGTGTTAAACTTCCATTTTTAAACAATATTTGTCTTATATATTCTTACCCTTTTCGGTTTCTTTTCTCCAAGAGTTATCCAATAAAATCCATCTTTAGCTTTTGGATCTTTATCTAATATGGTTGAGCAGTCGTATACAGGGTTGAAAAACTCTCCTGGAGAACTAGAACCTGAGAAATGGTTTTACGTAATTTACGTATTATTTTATCACACTAAATGTATAAATCCAAAGTTTGTATCATACACACCATCTACGGTTCTCCATCCAAAAATACCGTTAACTTTAGAACATATCAAGAGTTTAGGTTTGTTCTGTCGATCACGAACTAACGTTATCTCTCCACTTTTGTTTTTCAAACATGGTCCTGGGTTGTATCCTTTAATTACCTTGATTTTCTAAAGAGAAATTCGACGTGTATTTTCATTTAGTCAGTTAGCTTTCTTTGGTCTGTCGTTTAATAAGGACGATAGTCAATATAGAATTCAGCAATTCTCATTTCTTATTTCAATACAGCTATATTACATAAGGAGGAAAGTCAAATAGTCTTTGTTACCGAAGACTGTAGTTTTCCTAAGACCCCAAGTATGAGAGCGACAAAATATAAACCCTTCATCTTCTCTCTTTTTCAAATTGGCGTTAAAAAGTTTTTGTGAGCTCTGAAAATTCATCTTTCTCTTTTATGACCTTCCAAACTGAAACGGAAGACGTTTATACAAAGGTGACAACCTTTAGTCGATAAAATATTGATGAGCATTTATTGACAGAGAATATTAATGAATTGATAGTGAACAAAATAAATAAAGCTGTGCAATGATGCAAGTTATTTATAAATGTAATGTAGGGGTTTAAGTTCGTTGACTTTTTTATATATTTTAGATGAAGACCATAGAACTATAGTTAAAAGGAAAATCGATCACCTTTTTTTAATTTTACTGAAAACCAACTTTGTGGTCGATACATTTACTGCATCTTTCAGATCATTAAAACAGCACCATTTTAATTTTGTGAGTTCTTTTTAATAAAAGCAATTAATAAGCTGCTAACTTGGTTACGACATGAGTAAAAATTGTACTTTTGAAGTACATAAAAAATCATTGAGACTCCAGTTTTTCTTCATCCATGATAGAGTCAAAGATAACAAACAAAATACCTCATTGACATGTAGTGTAAAAATTGAATATGTTATTTAAAGCCATTATTTATCAGTGGCTTCCTCCTCAGCATTTTGCTCAACACGTTTTGAAAATTAAAAATAGCGTAGCTAGCAGTCAAGATTTATTTTTGTGATGTATGGAAAAATAGTTTTGCATAGAAAGACAGGGGTCATTTAGGCTCATATATACGTCAGATAAAATTAGTGATGCTCACTCAAATCTTTTGACAAAGAACATTTTACAATTTAGCTACTATTACGAGCTTCAAAATTCAGCGGATTATAGTTCAGACAGGCGTGTAATATACACAATAGTGCACCTTGGAGTGAAATATAACTTTTGCAATTATAAATAATAGAGTAGTTTTAAAAAGTTATACGTGATCCAGTATATCAGGATTAAACATAATTCAAACATTCACAGACAAATTTAATAGAAACACGCGCTTTCAGCTGTCTGACTACAGCTTTTAACGAGTTGAAATAACCGTTAAGGTTAGCATAAACCATAAACAACATTACCAAGTGAAGAGCAGTTTTAGTGACAAATATTGTATTTACAAATTAAGTTATTCATCAAAATACTTACTTTAAAAAGTACACATACTACAAAGCCCACAATTTAAATGAAACACGACGTGGCGTAGCTTACAGAATTTTAAAATAGCACACCAGCTTCTCCTGCACAGCGGAATAATAAACTCCACACAAACAAAAATTATGTAAATATCATAATTAATATCTGCATATGAAGACGTTTCTCTTAAAAATTTCGATTTTTTATCTTAAATATTACAAAAGTTACAAGGTTTCACGAGTTACTTTGACTACAAACAATGTTAACAAAGTAATTTCCCTTAAAACATGCCTTCTATTCCTGCCATCGGGAAACGAGAAAATATATAAGATATCTATCTTAAGCACTACAAAAATTATTGCATTTTTATTGGATAATTTGCGAGGTTATTTCTTATACACTTGCAGACTGCTCTTCCTACTCAGCAAGACAAAAAAATCCGTACAAATAAATTTAATAAAATACAATACTTTAAAATACACATTCTTATTTGTCTTGCATTGTAAAACGTTTCTATTCACTTTCAGCACTTCAGACAATGGCACTGATAACGAGCATATTTGCAATTAATAGTATAATAAACCTTTGTTTGAAATCAAAATATTAGCATCAAAAGCAAAATTTTTTCATAAATCTGTCACGTATTGTAATGAAGAGTGCCATAAGGCCAAAGCCTCCAATATTCTTCGGTGTTACTAAAAAGTATCGACTATTTTTCCATAGCTAAGCCACTGGTCTGCATTTGATGTGTAGTTATCGTTTTCACATTGACCAACAGCAGAGTGAAATATTTTAGTTATGGATGATGAAGTGCCTTAATTGAGTATATGCATCACAAAAGCAAAATGTTTCATATACAAGAGTCGCATGCATACCATCAGAACTTTAAAAATGGCAATAACGTGCACCGGTGTGCACCGCAACATGCATCCAATACATTTGGGCGTCATCTTTCATTTACTTTTTCAAATATAATACAATATAAGCAAAACTAAATTTTGGAAAAAATCTTTTGTGTTTTGTTGCTAAGATGGCCAGAGTAAAGTTGCCAATATTAATCTGCAATTTAAGGTATAACTGTCTCTTCAACACAGTCTTGTCACGTAACTGTTTCGTTAACTTTCTTGTTTAATCAGGTTAACTAGCATTTAAACAAGTAATTTCACCCATTCAAATAGATACAGTTAGTACATTGCGACAAAGACACTGTAATATTTCAAATATAGACAAACGACAAAAGCGTTTCGATCATCTGAAAGAAAACGATAACATTGCATTGATGACTTAAATCATTTACTTTGTACTGGTGAAAATTATTTGTACAATTAATCGTTTTAATCATTGTGTTTTTCAAAGAATTTCATTAATTTCAAATCTAAATTCAGTTTTAAATTTTTACAATGATATAGTGGACATGATAACCCACTACACAGCTTGATGTATGTGTCAGTCTATTTTCAGCAAATACAAAGATTAAGCTTAGAGATAAATAAACTATAGCTTTAGAGGTTATTTTACTCTTAAATTTTAAAACAAGCAAAGGATCTATTAGCTCTTGATTTAAAACTTGAGAAAATTATAACGTTTCGATAGAAACATTTTATTTCTCGCAGACAACTGTCTCCAATGATATATTTGATATCATTGTTTACCATAACCACAATCTTATGCCGACTTCCTCTCACAAAAAAACTTAAATTGTGACGTATGTTTACATGACATAAGTAAATAATATCGTGTTTACAGACTTTGGTCTTCTGCAGGAACCTATCACGATGTTCACTATGTACATATGCATGCATTTAAATACAAAAATATCTCTAAAATTATCAAATACAACCAACATCAGAGTTTTCTGAGAGTGAGTTTGGCTGATGAGGATACTTCAAGAATAAATGGACCCTCACAATGCGGTTGAAATGTCGTAGGAATAATGTGATATGATCCGGGGGGTACATCAGACATCTCGAGGACGTTGAACCCAGTCCTAAAAATGTATGTATGAGAAGATAATATGAAAATGTATACAAAGGGAAGTTAACTCTTTGAAGCGAGCTCCGTCTGCCTAAGTAAATTGCATTCCATACTTTCTCTCCACACGCAGAGCTTTACCAAGATTTGAATGTCATGACTACAGATTTTCATATAGTAATAATTACAGATTGTACATCAACTCCACATTACTTGTTAAATAATCTGACTCTAAGTCTTTTTAAAAATGTATCAAACATGGTTTTACACAAACTAAAACTTCAGTCAACTGTACGTACCTGTATGAATCAACAGTTTTTCTAAAACTGGGAGAGCCACCAGATGAACGTAGCGATATAACAGTAAAACCAACAGCATATTGCCTTGGAAAGAAAAAATTTCAAAGTTATACGTACTGCATATCAGCATTAAATTGGTAAAAACCCAGTTACAATCATAAATATACCATCAGTATGGACATGATGATGTTATTTATTAGGTTAAAAGTAAAAATTGCTATTTCCAATAAGCACTTTCCCATTATGCTCTGTATTAAAAATCGCCACGGTACGTGATAGATTTTGAAGTCAAGCTTCAATTCATAAATATCGTTTGTTCAAAAGGTACAAACTAACAGATTAAACGTTACAATTGTCGCCCAGTTAACTTTTTTCATACCTAGGGCCACGAATTTTTACGCAAACACTCAATGTTTTACTAGAAGCTGATTCCTCTAATTCACAGAAATATACGGGATTATTTCCAAACGTTGCAGGATAATTTGCACAACCACCAGCCGTAATGCCTTTCCATTCACCTGTCTCCTGCATGAAAAAAAATCATACCAACTATATAGTAAGCTTTATTGAAAGAAAAAGTTATTCATGTACAGTTCTCGGTCAGAAAGGCAAAGAAATAGTAAGCTTTATTGAAAGAAAAAGTTGTTCATGTACAGTTCTCGGTCAGAAAGGCAAAGAAATAGAAATATTGACGATCACGACATCGATATGACAGTTAAGGTTCATAACCAAGCTTTGTATAACATTGTTTACGGAGGAGCAAAGTTTATAAAAAAGCACATTCCTCTCAAAAGCATAATACTCCACAAAGTACAGTCTATACCACAAGAGCACAATCTGCACTGCACAACCTGCACTGGTGCATAGTCTACACTGGAGCACAGTCCTCTCGAAAGCCCTGATCTCCATGAAGTACAGTCTAAACTGGACTACAGTCTATACTGAAGCACAATCTTCACTGGACCACAGTCCTCTCGAAAGCCCAGACCTCCATGGAACACAGTCTAGTCGTTGCTGAGGCACAGTTCTCTCTATAGCACAATGTAAACTAGAGCACAGTCTACACTAGGGCAAAAGCACAATTTAACTAGAGCACAGTCTACACTAGGGCAAAAGCACAATTTAAACTAGAGCACAGTCTACACTTGGGCAAAAGCACAATTTAAACTGGAGCACAGTCTACACTAGGGCAAAAGCACAATTTAAACTAGAGCACAGTCTACACTTGGGCAAAAGCACAATTTAAACTGGAGCACAGTCTACACTAAGGCAAAAGCACAATTTAAACTGGAGCACAGTTTACATTAGGGCAAAAGCACAATTTAAAGTGGAGCACAGTCTACACTAGGGCAAAATCATCAGTCAACTACTCAACAGATGAGCGCAGTTTACGCTAAAACACAATCTATACTGAAATATAGATTGAAGTGCCTGAGTAGCACAGAGTGAAATGCAGTATAAAAGGACTGAGTCAAAAAACGGCGATTGGTGCAATGCATAAAACATTTCCTCAGACAAATTAACTTGCAATAGTTCAATTTTGAAGTTCGTACTTACCTGTTTATGACAGATATAAGGATTTGGGACAGGTGAAATTTTAAAATCAGCTGAAGAAAATACCTAAAAAAAATTAAGAGATAATCTATAGGGAGAATTTGTTATTCATGCATAAGTAGCTAAAACAAAAATTTTTTTTCATCGGCATCAGCATTTCAGAGAGAAATAAAGCAATTATTCCCAAAATCCAAATCATTAAACAGAAACCGTTGTCAATACCGCATGTTCTTCCTGTTTGTGGAAAAATATAAAAAAATAACAATTCATTCACTAAGATAAGCCACATTTATGACGTGCATTGAGTTCACGTGTAGAAAGTAGTATAAAAGAAAAAGTTAGGCATCAAATAACTGGCAATTCTAAAACATATGACTTTACTAGTATGTGGGAGTTATTCATCTATTTTAACCTTTAACGTATAGTGAATCGTGTTGTGTTTTTCATATTGTGAAATCACCAACGTGAACGTGTTAGTTGTCTTGTCCGCTTTCAATTTAACAAGATAATGAGGACTGTTGATCTTTATTCCTTCAATGTAGCAGTTTTCTTTTCAACAAATAGAAAAACACAACTGTTTAGTTTCGTTTGCAACGTACGAGACTTCATGTAGTAAGCACAAAATGAATAATTTACCCTGATGATAAATTCTTTGTCCAGATGATTTATAAACATGAACTGTAATGAATTCTTTGTTGTTTGCAAAGTCGTCCTATAAATTAGCAAGTCGAAATATTTTAAATGGTAACATGACAAGATCAAGTGTCTGCATTGACATAATAATAATCTGTGGACATATTTGCGTATATATTTATTATTTATTTACTAACCCTGTCAAGAATATGTCGACTTAGTAAAATCCATACAACTGGTGACTTCTCAGATGTCACATTTATTTGCAGTTTATATTGAGGATTTTCACCTAAATTAACAAATAAACATGTAAATCAACGCAACCTCTACGGTATATTTGCCAAATAATGCAACACAGGAAACTTCGCACCGACAACATGAATCACATTTGTTTGTCAGTCTGTCACATCTTACTTCATTTATTACGTACCTAAATTATAGGAATCCCTAACTGGTCCGTCTGCAGATTTCCACGTTCTATTATTGACAGAAATTGTTTAAGATAAAACAAGCAAATTGAATCGGAATCCAAACAAGATCAACATACACAACATAAACAAACAGAACATACACAACATAAACAAACAGAACATACACAACATAAACAAACAGAACATACACAACATAAACAAACAGATCATGCACAACATAAACAAACAGATTATGCACAACATAAACAAACAGATTATGCACAACATAAACAAACAAATTATGCACAACATAAACAAACAGATCATACACAACATACACAGCAACAGATCATGTAAAACATATACAACATACACAACACGTTCATCATGTACAAAATTTTCAACATGTACAACATATACATCACGAACAAGTTAGAATGTATTGAAACTTACGAGTGTAGAACATAGCGATTTAGAAAAGTTTTTGGATTCCAGTTTACGTAAAGTACGTCAAAATAGTTCAACAAATGTTTCCAATCAATCCAAAAAACACCTGTTATAAAGGATAAATTTGTAGGAAAACAAGTTATTATCAAAAACCAAAGCACAGTTAGCTTTATCACGACCCAACTCACCATTGTCAACCCGAATTGCACTGTTACGATCAAAATTTAATGCTTTTTGCAACTCCGGAGTCCAATTCTCTTTGTCATTCTCGGAATAAGCTCCCTGAAAAAAGTATACGTACCTTTTATCACAATTTAGTTAACATGATTTAACAATCAAAATGCGCGTAATGCAATACTAAAAGCATACATATCAGAATGAATTAACAACAATGGTTCAACAATGAATGATTCAACAATGGAAATAACAGTAAAGGCCCGTTCAGACAATCCGTTTTGTCGGATCCAATTGTTTCGGTTCCGACTTTTGGTTGCTTGTTCAGACGGTCCGATAATTGTATTGACATTTATATTCGTTTGTATATTTATAGCCGTGTGAACAGCCACTTGTGCTATGCAGTAAATTTATCGATATATTTTTTGTACTTTTGTTCTTGTTTCCAAGCCTTTTTCAAATCTATGTAATTTGACTAGTCGGCATCCTCTGATCTAGTCAGATGAAAATAGAGCAAGTTTTATTTTCATCCGATTTTTTAGATTGACGAATCCGACTGTCGGAAGCTCAGTATATGTGTTCACACGATCCGTTTTTTTAGGATCCGAAAAAGTTGGATCGTGTGAGCGGGACTTAATACATGCAATGCTCATAATTACGTATTAACATTACATGAATTCGGAAGACGAATGGGCAATAACGAGATTAAATGGACTACAGGGAGTACTTAGATACAAAAAAATATATAAATATAGCTATACTGCTTTAAAGATGAAAAGTTTAAAAAAAGAAAACATAACGGTTGAAATTACCTTCCATCTTAAATGCGTCCATGGATTCTTGAGCTGCAAAAGTTTCAGGTTCTAGTGCCAAAAAACGCCCACCAGAAAATTACTCAGTCGTCACATCAATTTCAAAAATCCTATTTGTTTTTACCTTTATTTTTCTAATATCCAAAACAGCGTAAGCATGTGTAGGAACAAGACCTGCTCGTTCAGCGACTAAATCACCCAAATTACCAGTGGCAACCGTTATCAAACATTCACCTTGTAGTGTATAAGATAATATAAATAAATATATGATCATAATTACTGAAAAAATATATATTTGAATAAATTCTTCAAAATAACATATTCATTATTGTATAATTATCTAAATTCCGTTCAAATATATTTTTTTCCAACTACGTAATCTATACTCACATTTTAGCGAAGCCAACCTGCATGTTTTAGTTACGTATGCGATGTAAATTTCAGGGCATTATCATTTTTCATTTCTTTAAAAATAACTTGTTTTTTGCAATGAGTGAAAATTTACATCGCGGGAGCGGGACGGGCTGGCAACGCGACTGATCAAATGTAACATTGCTTATGATTTAATTTATACAACATGTCTGAAAATTTATTTTTAAGGAATAACGAATCAGGTAACTGTTCATAGATTTGTATGTGAAGAGAATATAATGTAAGAAGCACTGTCATTCGTAAAAGGGAATGACGACTGCAAATTGTAAGACAATACTAATACGTGTTTTATCTTTCGAGATACAATCCCATGACTAGCAGAGATCAAGTGCAACACGCAAGTGTCCCGCAATTTCAATTACATACAGTCTAATATTGAACAAGCTATGTTCAGGAAAAAATGTATACATGTTTGTGGATGTAGATTGTCCAGGTTAGTAGAGTTCTGAGAAGAACTGTTGTTGTTGATGTTGACTGACTTTTACTCCTCCTTTAACTCTGAAGATGACTACCGCTAAGTTTGTCGAAACGTCAGTCAACAACAACAAAAACAGTCCTTCTCAGGACTCTACTAACCTGGACAATCTACATCCACAAACATGTAACGATACTCTCGGTTTCAAAGCATTTACTTTATTAGGAAAAACGTGTATTAAAAAGGAAAAACGTATAACGTACGTATAATGATCGATTGACATATATATAAAATTGATTGTCATATCATACATAATAAAGTACATGATATGTAGACAATTCTGGGCTTATATACTAACCTTGGTGTAGGCCGACGAAAAGACGATTAAAGAGGGTATCGAGTTCAGCATCAGGGTCATCCAACTTTATTGAAACACGCTCTGGTATCCATCCAGTTAATGCATAAAGGTCAATGTTCTAGAAAACAGATAACAAACATCATTAGCATTCTTACGTACGACGTGTAGTTTGATAATTATTGTCATATACTTTTTATTGACGATAAAGCTTGTTCTTTGAATACGTAAATGAATATGTAAAATAACATTGATATATAAATATATTAAACACACACGTACCGAGTTTGAACCAGGGAAATCATAACCCCCCATAACCTATAAGAAAAACCACTCTCACTATTTTGTTTTATCACTAAACGATATAAAAATGACATCATAACTTTTTTATCACTGGACTATGTAAAAATAACATCATAACTTTTTTATCACTGGACTATGTAAAAATAACATCATAACTTTTTTATCACTGGACTATGTAAAAATAACATCATAACTTTTTTATCACTAGACTATGTAAAAATAACATCATAACTTTTTATCACTGGACTATGTAAAATAACATTATAACTTTTTATCACTGGACTATGTAAAATAACATCATAACTTTTTATCACTAGACTATGTAAAATAACATCATAAATTTTTATCACTGGACTATGTAAAAATAACATCATAAATTTTTATCACTGGACTATGTAAAATAACATCATAAATTTTTATCACTGGACTATGTAAAAATAACATCATAACTTTTTATCACTAGACTATGTAAAAATAACATCATAAATTTTTTATCACTGGACTATGTAAAAATAACATCATAACTTTTTTATCACTAGACTATGTAAAAATAACATCATAACTTTTTTATCACTAGACTATGTAAAAATAACATCATAACTTTTTTATCACTGGACTATGTAAAAATAACATCATAACTTTTTTATCACTGGACTATGTAAAAATAACATCATAACTTTTTTATCACTAGACTACGTAAAAATAACATCATAACATATCACACCTTGAGATAGGCTTTTTCAATCAAGCTCACCCACATTTCATTCTTGTTCATAGAATATGAGCACAACAATTTACCATCATCACCCAGAGGTAGTTTATCATCAATAATTATCTTTAAAGTAGAAGTATCTACGTAAATGTTTTATTTCATCTGAAGATCGTCGTTGGACATGTGGTGCTATCAGAGGCGGACACTTAAGGACATATTATGGGGGAGGAGGGGGCCTCATCCTTAAGACATAACATTTCCAGGTCTACCATTGACATCAACCTCTCACCTCTGTATTTTTCGTACACATTGAGGTTTAAAAACGTTCGTTAGTTTTGGGTATAAAATACAGAAAAATTAAAACCATATACCTTTCGAGAAACACCATTCACCCAAAGTTTGATCATATATTTTCCAGATGGATTAATTACCGGATCTCCATTTCTGTTTTGTGGATATATGATCCTAAAATACAACACAATTAAAGATTCCAAGATTTGACAAAATTTCATTGAAGATTTCAACGACGGCCTCTTTAAAATAACGCTAATTTATAGCATCTTGTTAATACATACATGGAAATCTGAGTACCAGAAATTTTACTTTATGAAAACACACCAAAAATTTTAAGGAAAATATTTAAAAAACTAGTACGTTAGTTCTTGAAACTGAGAATTTTTACGCATTCGTCTTTCAAGTAACGTAAAAAACACTTTATAAATGTGCTTCTTTTGATTAAAAAGATGAATAGAGACAATTTCTTGTAGCCTTGTGCTCACTTTGTGATAATCCTTTTTCGGAATTTTCGTTCATAAGCCGCAGAAATCGCTAATGACGCAACGAAGGAACAATCTGTAACTACAGTCTGAAATGGCAAAAATGAAAAACAATGCATTTTTTAAACCTTACACACTGATCATAATTAAAAATGTTACATAACTATAGCCACAGAAGATCTCTACCTGACGGATACTTAAACTTGAGATGGCATAAATCATCTTTGGATTATCAGTCAGTTCACTTGGCCTATACAACGAAATAGTAAAAAGGAATTAAATAAAACCATATTTCAGTTATTGAGATGTCAGATTAATGGTAAAAAATAATCCTCACAAGCCGAAATGATTTAAATTATATATTTTATACAAACAAAATGAATATGTTGCCTGGCCAAAGAAGCATGGTCACACAGCACATACCTTACCCATTTTACAAATCGTGATTTTTGTTTCACAGAAAGTGGGAGATTTCCATCTGGATCACTAGACAGTAAGCAATAGAAGTTGATGCTGTACATAATGTTTACTGGATCACTAGACAGTAAGCAATAGAAGTTGATGCTGTACATAATGTTTAGTAATTGCTATTAATGCACTTTGTGATGAATTTCAAATAGATAATATTTGTAACTAACTGCAAAGAGAAATCTTTTGTAAAAATTGTGAATGAGCATGCAGTGCACTAACACAGCAGCAAGGATACATATTAAAAACCTGAACATATCCAGAACATAATCAAACTTTTCTCTAACATCAATATCCAACCATGGAAGATATTTCTTTCCATTAATATAAGAGGTTTTCCTTACAAAAATTAATGATACATCCGATAGTCAAGGAATGACATTCTTTTCTGTAATCAAAATGGGCAGACAAACTTACTTTAACACCTCAAGCTCCTTGTCTGTCAGTGATGGCTTTTTGCTGATTTTGTTTTGATTTCCACTTGATGTTGATGGCAGTGATGATTGTAGCTGAGTATCCTTTTTTGCTGGTGATTTACTCTTGATTGCCTCTGCCCTGTGTTAAATAAAAAAAATTCAATTTATATCAATATATGCTTAAAAATATCAGATTATGTGCTTCAATGTGTCTACAGTTGAGTTCAACATACAATGAAATTATGAAATTAAAATAAACAACAATTTTTTTTAAAATAAACATGTTTTGTTTATTTTAAATGCATAATTAACCTAGCGCTTCCGAAATATAATGAAAAGAAAATTTGTTCAACTGAGCTTTGCAATTTAAAAAGGTTTATCTTTAATGTCAACATAAAGCCCTTGAACTGGCCACCGGGAATAAATGATAACTTAATAGACTAAGGGGATACATAATCTCTACCTTTCAATAGCATTTCTTGCCAAAGATTGTAGTTTGGACTTTAAATCTCCTTCTTCTAGCCCTTTACACTACACATAGATTGTGAAGTCATAAGATTGATGAAAAAAAACATCTGAAGATTCATGATGAAAAGCTTTCTCAAAATTTCAATGAAGAATTACGACAGACTCCCGCAAAAAATGACAATATGAAACAACATGTTTGATTAAATTCACCCATATATAAAGGATGTCAATATGGATGTCATTCATGTATCTCAACAAGTTTGGTTTATAGTAAAAATATCATCATAATATACTTCAGAATAAAAACAACATACAGCCTTTAGGCATATATCTGCAGCATTTGTGTACAACGGTATTGCCTCATCTTTTCTACCCTTCTCATCTTCAGCAAGGCCTTGTTGAAGGAAGAAATGTGCTTTCTCCAAATCTTTCTACATGTGATGCAATTGACAATTAATGAAGAAAAATTTCGGCTTGTGTATAATATGCAACTAAGATCACAAAACTTGAAATTTTTATCACTTTTACATTTTCAAAAGTACAGCAAAGAATCAAATTTTTGCTACCTGTTGTGATGACTTTAGAGGTTTCTTTTCATTATCATTGCCTACAAAAAAAATGAAAAAGCATTTAAAATAAGTTTTTCCGTTTAAGTGTAGTTAAAATATTTGCATCCTTCCTTTATTGATCATCACAAAAATTATAATTCAGCAATAAATTGTGCGACAAAAACGCTTTTATTATTTCTTTACTGCATACGTATATAATATCTCGTTCCAATCTTACATTGTGAGAAAACTGGTCATAATAATTTATGCTGAGAAAAAAATAGTTTTGTCTTACAATTTATTCACACTTTACTATAAACTTTAGATTGTTCTAGTAATTGTGAAAATTGAAAGTCAGTTTACAAGATCACTATAGTCAATGACGGGCAAACCATATTAAAATACACAGTTCTTCAAATGGCAAATTGTTAATGACTTGATCATTTGATGATTTAATATATTTAATTCACCTTTGTATTTATGTAATTCTTCCGCACGAGCAATATACTTTTTAACTGTATTACGAACATTCAAACTCTCATCGGCGGAGCAAGCCTTTAAAAGAGCATCAGAAGCTTCTGAATAAAAAAATATTGCTTGCTCTATGTCACCAGCTTGATCATATTTCACTGCTTCAGTAGCAAACTTTTTGCCATCATCACATAACGACTGAACGTCCACCATTATCTACGTATTAAATTGTTTTGTATATTCAGTTTATTCACCCGATTCGATAATCTTTATGCCATTTAACGGTTTACGACATTTACGGTGATTTACATATCACAGGAATCGAAGTTAGAAGGTTAGAACACTCGTATTCGTCAATGTAGTTGTGGTTCAGGTTATGTGGTATAGATGGTCAAGCATAAGCACCAAAATCATTGGATGCTGTAGTAAAATTCATCAGAGACTTTGGGGAAAACGTTACGATAATGGTTTCTTACTTCCAGTGCAAAAATGACGTCTTTGTTCACGATTAATCGAATTAAAATACTTATTCTGCATTTGTTAAGGCGTAATATTTTTGAGAAAGCAAGCTACGCTGCCGGGCCACCCCTCCCAATAATAAAATCTCCAAAACGCTTATGGCAGAGTTTTCCTTCTGCCATCCGCTACTATTTATTTTCCTGTTTTTCTGATTACATTCAATACAACTAAAAAAATAAACACTTGCAATATGGTTATCTATGGAATATGAAACATAAGTTGTTTTTTTAAATCAATAATGGTAACACTCCAATTTATTAATTGTAATATTTGTTGAAGAAATAGATCTTAGCGTCTGTAACACAAAAACACTCATTTTCTAGTTCTACAACAGTACTGCTGGTACGTTTCACCAACAAAATACCAATAAATTTCATTGTTGTATAATGGACATTTGTAATAGCTTGTTTCCAAACTCTTAAAAATTCTCCTCGGCATGAAAATTACACATATAAACATGGCTACTACAAATCGTTTACGAGAAAAGAGAATTAGAATAATAGAGCAAGATTAGCGCATCAGGGAGGATGAACCATTTGTTGGATATGCAGTTGTATGCAGTAAACCAGGGGTCTCCAAACTTTACACCTAGAGGGCCACATGACTTTCATCCAGCTTGTTGAGGGCCGACGAATCGTATAACGCTGGTCAAAGAGCGAATATTTTAATAAAACGAAGTACATAACACAAGCTTCATTAGTTAAGAAAATATTTATTCAAAATTTAAAGGTTAAATTTCAACCAAGTGTAATATCATAACAAAATCACAATTAGTCTGTTCAGTTTTCTCAATGTGAGTGGTGAAATTGGCTTTCTTAAGTGTCTCTGCGGGCCGGATTGAGAGGCCCAACGGGCCGCATCTGGCCCGCAGGCCGTAGTTTGGAGACCCCTGCAGTAAACGATAAAAAACACACAAATACCAACATATATTCGAGTAAGAGTCGGTTGAGCGAGGACATCACAAAAACGTGCAACTCGACAAACAGCGCTTGATAAATCAACAATATTCCCGAAAAAGTTTCCCTCGAAAATTCATAAATTTGGTATTGAACTGATCCCAAGATCCCAGGCTTTCACAAACTGTTTTTACTTTTGGACTTTTGGACCAACCAAACGAGCAATTACAAAATACACCAAATGTCAAGCAAATGCAAATCAAATTCAGCACCGTGGTTGTGATATACAAATGATAAGTCCAGGTTACTCTACATATTAACTGAATAAATTTAAAACATTTGTACCTTTAAACACCTTTGCAGGTGGTTAATCTTCTTAAATATATTGCACAAACTGTTGAAGACGAAAGTAAACACCTGCAATATTTTCATTAACTTCTTATACATTTTACGTTATAATTAACCATAATAAATCGTTTTGTTTTCGTAACATTCAGACCACACTCGTCGGTTTCCTAGGAGTTTATGTTTGGCAGACGTTCTGTTTAGCAAACAGAACTTACGGCGACAGTTGGAAACGGTTTATCGACTTGAAACATTTCTTGAAAAAATTTTGCGTCATTTGAATATTTTTTCAGAAAATATGTATTAAAATCTTTGATGTTGATTGTAGTGAAAGCATGAATACTGTTTCCGAAACACCTTTTCAAGGAAGCAATCATTTATCTAAAACATTTCAGTCATCTCAAGTTCATACGCCATTTCACTCGAATCGAATTACCAACCACAAAAAATCGTAAGTATGAAAGAAAATTTCTCATTTTGAAATGCAGGCCCTGAAATATGATTTCTTCAAAGAATCCTATATTTATAAAGTCGATTTACAATTGAATCCTCGTAAGCACTGACAATAAAAACTGCATTTCATTTTCATTTTAGGTACAATGATTATATTCACAAAAAGCAAACGTGGTTTACTAGACCCCGTTGGGGAGATAATAGTCTTCTTAAGGATTCAGACTGCAAAGATTTGTCTTCAGAAATCAGTCATCAGTTTTCTCAAAACCATTTGAATAAAACTCATAAGCATTTTGGAGGAGGTGAACTATCTTACGGCAGGTACTGTACGTCATCATTACCTTTGAGCAGCTGGATATGATTATGTGACTAGAATTATATATAGCATGACATGGCATGATCTATTGCAATATGTCAATATGTAGTAAAGAATTGTTGCTCTGACAGGTATTTTCCTATTGATGTTAAATACAACGTTACTCCATCAAAAAAGAGTCAAGTCAGACAAACAGATGAATTGTGAGTTATCATTTTTTGTGTCGACTTAGCATGTATATAGCTGCAGCAATATCATTATATTTGTTTTAAACACTTAGTCTTTTACCCAACTCCAAATATTTCCCATGATAAGGTCTTTATGTATGTCAGTGATATCAAAAGATGCGTAAAATATGTATGTGACATTTTGAGAGTTTTTTTACCCCTCTTATAAATAAAATCCTGCCCGCGCCACTGTCTATAACGTACTTTCGTTGAAAGTTTGATCTATATGTTCTTACAAAGAAGGCATGACATCCTCTATGAAAATACATTACCGAATATTCAAGCTAAAAGTTATAAAGATCATCATAAGCAAATTGTAAGTTGCAACTTCTTTGCAGAATTCCAAGTAGTAACAAGGTTGATTTGAGGTAAAAGCTAATACGACTCTTAAAAGTGCAAACATCCAGTATTTCCGTCAGCTTTTTAGCCACTACTCATTGATCTCAATTTTTTGCAGTCTTCGTTCCATAAATCTTCCTTATCCGGCAGAGCATCCTCAAAATTCTCACTGCCCAAAGTTTGCATTATTCCCTTCACAAGACTCACCGGACAACACTAAAAATGGGCGACTGGCTTTAAAACAATCCACATCTTTACCATCTACTGCAGCATCTGCTACAAAAGATTTAGTTGTTGCAGAAAAGATAAAAGGCTTTCCACATCGACGTGAAATTGTCGATGTTTCAAGAAATTACAAAAGGAAGCCATTTCAGTGGCATGGACACAGTTTCGATCAGGTAAACTCAGTGTCTTCTAGTGTTTTGTTTTTATATGTATTCAAGTACAATGAGCATGTGTGTAATTTTCATGATGCAACAAATGTTTATTACAATGATAACCAAATGATTAAAGCGAGATTTAAAACATGTATTTACCTAGATTATTAAAAATCACCCAGAACAATGATTAAAAGCTGTAATTAACTAGATTCAACAAAAAGTGTTCACGCATTGATGTTCTATGGTTTGCTTTAAGCTACGCAAAGGTCTTGATCTTCCTAAACAGAAGTTTTATCCTACCCCACCTACATCGGTTAAACCTGACTTTTGGGATCGACATCCAAACCTTTCCGTGTCACAAAAGACTGCAGAAGCACAACAACATATAATTCACCAACTTACTGGGAGAACAGTATTCTCACAAGACTTTAACGGCCGACATAAAAGTTCACCTAATTCTGACAGTAAATGCGGTGAAGTAAAAGATAAAGAGGTACAAGAAATATGAAATCATATAATGTAGACTCCCATTCCATCGTCAAATTTTGCATAAGAATTTGCACGGTTTTGTAGATGTTGCGAATCTTTTCTTTTTCTTCTCTGGTTAAAATAAATACTATTAAACCAATACAATATAACAAAATACGATGATTGTCAAAAGAACTACGTACATGAAGGTGAATTATCGTTATATCTTTTGAAATTAATATAGGACAGCCACAATACACAGGCTGGCAATTAGAAGACAATGCTATTCGTTAGAATAGTCACCAAAATCATTCACAGTCATATGACAATCACAAATTTTATGATATATATTATAAAACCATAAGGTAAAGAGGTCGAAATCACGAGAATTAAGTCTATAATGAGACCACGAAACCATATAAGATGATGATCAGCCTTTTGTTTCAACATTTATCTTTATATGAAGGTTTATTTTCATTGCTAATTTAGTAGTTCCCAAACTTGAAAAATGCAAAGTGCTTTCTCGGAAATGTTTCGCCCATCAAGATCAATTTTTTTCATTTAATTCACATTTCTCAAAAGCGGATAAAATTAAATAAACATCATATGATCTTAACAGTTGGCTAACATTCTCCATTTTTTGCATACTTTAGACTAGATTGGTTGAGCCATATAAAACAAAAGAAAAGCACTGTAATCAACAATGCACAAACTACACAAACGATTATGACTTGGATATGGATGCATCAATTACTCAAACGCCAATTTCAATTATGCGTTGTGCAACATCATCGAAGGACTCCCGTCAAACGAAGCACAACAAGAGCGTGAAATTCAGTGAAAGAGTGACAGTTTGCGATGGTGACCTGACTAAATCGAATTATAACACAGGAAAGCTAAAAACTAATATCAAAAAGATCTCCGAAAACATTAGCGAAGGCTGGAATCTTAGCACACAACTGTCTATGGCTGGAGATGGACGAAAGGTTTTGTCTGAACAACGTGATAAACGACAAAATGCTGAAATTCTATTCCCTCGTTCATTTCCAACGCTCTCCAGACCAAGCACCACGGGTATTTCAGGAGTGTCTCTACGAAATGAATTGCGTTTTTTACAAGACAATTATTTCAAATCTGCAATTCATAAAAAATTCCACAATGAATATCCAGAAAATGCTCCAGACCTTCGTAGAACACCCGACACTCGCATTACTCTTAATGAGAAACGTCACGTGATTCGAGAAACTGGACAACATAGTTACTATTTCCATGGATGACTCATATAAACTATCAACAGAAGTCAATGGCTAAGTCAATTAGACGATGGTCACTTTTTAATAATAAAAAATACATCAAACTTTTGATAAAAAAGTGCTGTTACTATACTTCATTTAGGTAAAACTTTACTGTCTGATAGAGAAAATCAAGATCTGATATTTGAGTTCGTGTGCTTCTATTTGTGTTCGTGTGCTTCTATTTGTGTTCGTGTGCTTCTATTTGTGTTCGTGTACTTCTATTTGTGTTCGTGTGCTTCTAATTGTGTTCGTGTACTTCTATTTATGTTCGTGTACCTCTATTTGTGTTCGTGTACTTCTATTTGTGTTCGTGTATTGTACTTGTTGGCAACCGGCTTCACTGTAATATAAATTTGATTGGTACAATGTTCGAAGCTCGAACATAATATACTAACTATACTTCCATATAGTGTCACGTTTGAGAATCGAAAAGATATTAAACCATGCCAGTAAAGGTTTGTTCGTTTTTTTTTATTTTCTCGTGTGGCAGTGAATGAAAAATATTATTTCTTTGCATCGTTGTAAGGGTTGTTTCGTTTGAAATGTCAATAATCACGAGAATTCGAATCAAGAGATTACATCGCATATTGCAAACCCAGTTTTTTCGAAAGCCGCTTGGTGCCATCCTTGTATCCTCTTGCAAGTTGTATCGTGTAATGTTTCGTCTGCAATTTTTGTTGTAACAAATGTTAACAATATTTCACAATTGAAAATAAACCTTGCAAAATACAATTACAGTCAAAATTTATATGTTATGTAGCATATTTCTTATAATTTTTTGCTTTGAGTATTGCTCGTTGATTTCTAAAGCTCCTTCAAATTAGATGATTTCTGAAGTCCCAATGCAAAAATACTTCATGTATTTGTCATTATATTAATGCAAAATGTCATAAACTTAGCAACCCCAATGTTGCAGACACATTAGTGACTCTCTGCTTGGATGGCAAAGACCTAAAATATATGAAGAACTTTATTGCTTGATTAACTTAAACAATTACCTTGCTACCAGTATGGCATATTTTTATCACAGTACAAATTAATTATATGTGTCTTAAACTTATCATCTAGATTGGAATTATCTGTGGATCAGGTCTAAATGATCTAAACCTATTTGAAGATAAGGTAGAAAAAGAGTACAACACACCATATGGCAAGGTGATGTATTGTTATGGTGATATAGTAAGAAAACCACCCGTCTATGTATATTGGCAAGTTAGTCATATCGATACCCATGTATGAATCTATCAAATTAATGAGAACACTGTTTAAATGATAATATGATTTTGAAGAGAGTAGAACAGTTTAGATTAGCTGGTGATTTTTTTTATTGAATTATAAGACAATTTCTAGTGGTATATGATGTCTCTGGCTTTGTCTTGTATGCTTTCATAGGCATACAGGAGCTATCATTTGTGTGTGTGTGTGGGGGGGGGGATAAATATTTTCCCTATCTCACAATGAAGATTCTGCACTATTTTTGCCAAATTATGTTTAAAATTTGCCCAACTTTTCAATCTTCAATCTTTGTATGCTATGTATGCTTTACATAAAAACTGTGTCTCAATTGATCATATTAAAAACTGTGTTGAAAATATTGTGCTGTCTAATTATGCATATATTTTGTATTTTTCAGCCATCAGATGTGCTATCATTTGGTAAGATCAATGGTGTTGAATGTGTGCTGCTACCAAGGTAAAATTATTCCTGAAAAATATGCTAGTTTTGTTATTGATCAAAATATTTTTATATGTATTAATTTATAGCTTAGATATTATTTCTTGTTTAGGCATGATAAAAAACATAGCTTGATGCCAACAAATATCAACTACAGAGCAAACATTTATGCATTAAAGAAAGCAGGATGCACCCATGTTATAGCTACTAGTGCTTGTGGGTCTTTGCAGGAGAAGTGTCATCCTGGAGACTTGGTTATCATTGATCAGTTTATTGACAGAACAACAAAGCGTCCATCAACATTTTATGATGGTCAAAGTGGGCATTTGGAAGGTGTTTGTCATATTCCAATGGACAAACCATTCTGTGAACCTTTAAGACAGGTACCTGAAGATTGTAGTTGTGCATATCTTTCGTTCACAATTAGTTTTTACTTTTCATGGTTTGAATTTGAATAAATAGATCATTAGACATTAATCTTATACATAGCTTGTGTTCTTTTCTCAGATTTTGATAGAATCTTCAAAAACTTTGGGTATTCATTGTCACACAAAGGGTACGGTTGTCACTATTGAAGGTCCTCGGTTTTCGTCCAAAGCTGAAAGTAAACTGTTTCAAAGCTGGGGTTGTGATATAATAAACATGACAACTGTTCCTGAAGTATGCTTAGCAAAAGAAATAGGAGTTCTTTACTCTACTGTGTGTTTAGTCACTGATTACGACTGTTGGAAAGATGATGGTGTGGTGGTCAGTCAATTTACTTTGTTTATATTCATTTATTCAAGTTCAATGTTATGGACTTTATGTTTTGTTTGGATGTTTTGTTTAGGTTAGCGTAGATTCTGTGTTAGAAATATTCAAAGAAAATATTGATAAAGCTATTCGGTTGATTGTCGCCGCAATTCCAAAGATTGCAGAAAGAAATTGGAGCAAAGAAGAACTGCAGTTAAAGGTTAGGTCAATGCAACGTAATAAAAAACATTTCACAACAGTTCCCCCACTTAAGTTGCTTAAGTACGTAGATGACGATATAATATATATGCGTTGATGACAATGTTAGTTTGCTAAGAATAGTAGTTGCACAGGTAACAGACAGAATGGTCATTAATTGAATTTAATGATTCTTATGAAAAGTCATTAAACGGATGAGTTCATAGTACATACTCGGCCAGCAACACTTTAATTTTTACTTAATAAGTTATTGCGAAAGTCGTGTTTTTCTATTAATGGACATTGTTTGTTCAATGTTTTCACTTATCATAAGACCTAATGTATTTCTGGTTTTAGGACTGTATTAAAATGCACTTATGGAGATGAATTGAGTTACCTTGCAAGAAATGTACTGAATCTGAATCACGAACACCTAGGTTATACAAATTTTGTAATAGAATGAAATTAAAAAATATGAAACTCTTACTTGCAAAACATGTCTACTGTTATCTATTGCAATATCTAGAAAAATATTTATGGTAATTGCAACACTTTTTGCTCCCTGGATTCTTGAAACCCTGGGCTATTCTCTGAATCTCTGCTCTTCCTGCTCTCTATTTGACATTTCTCTGAAGTCATTGCACTCATTCTCATACCTCTTCAGTACGCGCATTTATTGAAAAGTAAACAACTAAACATTTCCGGCTACAACAAAGGAGCCTGAAAAATTTGTGGTATTATGGAATAGACAATGATTTTGAGGTGTCACAAGCAAAAATTATTGATTCATTAATGCCATGAATTTTATCATAATTGCACATCATAAGATGGTATCTCGAAATGGATCGCCGTAATTTTAGAAACCGCAATGAACCCACAAGATGGCCATTTCTGGCTTTTATGACTGTTGTGGCTTGTCTAATTTATCGTAATGTAATTACTTCTGTCGAAGATAAAAAATTAGAGGATAATTGTCTTTTGTGGTTGAAGAGTAATGGTTTGTCTTTCATGGTCGACCTGCTTGAGAAAAAAGAAGGTATTGTACGATTCTTATCTAATGCACATATCTGCGTAGCTAGAGTTAAGGACTTTTAGCTGCTTATAGAGATTACAATTCATTGGCATCTTTTGTTATCCGATTGGAATTTGCAAATTGCCATGTTATTGAAAGGCTTGTTTTAATTTGTATAGTTTAATAATTTTGTTTTCTGTAAATTGAGATGCATCTTTGTAAACATTTCAAAATAGGTATTGGATCATTTGTTGACATTCTACAAATAGACATTGAAAAGTTAGCTAAACAACACAAAGTCACAATCACGGAAAGAGATAAATTTGTTAAGAAACGAAAGGCTTTAACCATTGAAACAAATAAAGTGGAAAAATGGCTCAAAGACAAAGGTTTAGAGATATATGCTTCAGGTTTTTATGAACTGGGTTATGTCAATATTGCACGAATTTGCAATGAAATGCAGGCAACTGAAATCAAAGATGTGATTCAAAAGAAAGATGGATCATTTTCAGATTATCAATCCCTTCTTACTGCACTCAATGAACTAAAAAATGACTCAAATATCTGGTTGATTGTTTCTGTTTTCTATTTCATACTGTCTTCTGCGAGCTACATTTTCAAATTGCTACGTAAGTAAAATTTCATCAATATTCCTATGTTGCAATGTGTAGAAGAAAACTAATGTAATTATGCTATTTTCTAGTTTCTTTGTTTATTCTCCTAATTGGCTATCAACTTTATTGTGGGACCTTGGCTCATTACCATAGATACCGGTACCAATTGTATAATTTATCATTTTCTAATTTCATTGGTTATTGTTGGGATGCAAGTTCTTGTAAGGTTGAGTGGTTACAAAATGATGATGTTGTTGGCTGTACTGCATCTTTCATCATTAAGGTGAGATTCATTTATTATAAGTAAAAGCATAGCTTGATGGAGAAAAGTGATCAAATGACGTCGTAATTTGAGTTGTACTTGGTTTTATATTGTTAGCTAATGTAACTTAAAGAATAAATGAAAGTGTTTTGTCCTTGGGCAAAGCATTTAAAATGAATTTTTTAGAGTCAGGGAAATAACTTTTGTAGATCATCAAATTGATTTGAGAACAGTTGCAATGTATTTGATGTGTTGAAAATTTTATCTTACTCAGTTTTTTGTGCCTTAGAAGTATGTAACTCAGTGCCGTAAGTAATGTACATTGAAGAACACCCTTGCTTTGTATTTAGTGAGAAATAATGTCTAAAGTTCTACTGTTTAGATATGTATCATGAAAGCTATATTTTCTTTCTTTAATTCATGTGTTTGCCCATGTAAGCCACTTTTTGCACGTAGTCAACTTTTTGTATGACCAAAAAGCCCATGAGATAACATTTATGTCATATAAAATACATTTCAAAGTTTCTTTAAATAAATTTAACTGTCTAAAGAAGTTATTTCTCTTATCCTAATGCGTGTACATTTTAAAATGGCCACCACATGTATGTGCTTGGAGGTGAAAACAATAGAAATCTGTTGAAGCATGTTATTATCCCACCATGAGAGTTTCATCCATTGTATGTTGTGTATTTGAAATGGTTTTCTGTACTTTGGCTGATTATCAATGACTGTTTAAGTAACCTGTTCATCCAAAAATGAATAACAAGAAAACAAACAACTTTCTTTGTGGGTGCATAATTTTACCCAATAAATTGTTAGTCTTTGGAAAATGTCCGGGAGGTAGGAGGATGGCCCTTGCCCCTCCTGCTCTTTCCTGCTCTTTCGCCCAGGGTAAGATTATCATCTTAAGATGCACGAAACCTTTGAGCCAAGAATAATTCCGTCGAATTTTTTTTGAGATTGTTTTGCTGTCATATTTTTAGCTATACCGTCGTGCGTGGTTTTTTCCATATAAAATAAGAGGTGATGAAAATGTCCATGTTGAAATACGTAACAAGAAAGGCGTTGAGGCGTTTCTCAAAGAGCGTTATGATAAACGTAGAAACGCTTACCTGGTGACATTTTTTCCAAAGATTTCTGGTGTTTACACTATATCAATTTTATTAAACGGTCAACGTATCAACGGGAGTCCATTCAAACAAGTTTATAATCCTGGTGGGTCTGTTAATTGTTAAATTGAATTTTTTTATGCAAAAGTTACGTTATTGTGAGTGTAATTGATTGTGAAATAAGGAGGACGTAGTAACATTCATACAAACTTACCGTGGTCACTTAGGAGGTGCCGAAAAAACAACTTATATAACTGTAAATTTAAAAATTGTCATAAAATGGTAGAGTTTCAGTTTCCTTTTCTCCCCCTCTCGTTCTTCAATCTTCACTACGTCTATTTGTGGATGTTTATTTATAAATAGACATGAAGTTAAAACATTCAGTTTTGAGTACATACCAATTCTTTTACGTTATGGATGCTGAGAAGGAAAATATGATATTTTTTCTTCTTTTGCAATTTATCATATACCTACGACAGTCATGCTTACTTCCAAGTATTTTCAAATAGGTGTCGTCGACACGTCGAAAATTGCAGTACTTAATGAAACCGAAATAATCGTTGTCAACAAAGGTGTTTATTCCCCTCTGAAGATTGATGCGCGTGACAAGTATGAGAATCATTGTGAACTTGACTTTACTGTTCACACGTGTGAAGTTCATATTAAACAGGTTAATATGAAAACATTGTTTTTCCCTTATACGTCTTCACAGAAAATTTTTAAAAAATCCAACGTTCTTGTTTACCAAGGAATTTACGTAATTGTGATTTGTAATAAAGACGTTGTAATTGTCAACGGTTTTTGTTATCTTTTATTTGAATAAATTGATTTATTTGAAATCGTTTGTTTTCATAATTATTGTTAAATTGATGAACATAAAAATGAAAAAAACATAGTCTCTAACAAATGAACCTTCTCCTTCACAGCTGACATGTTAAGCGTTTATTTTGATGCAAATATTGAAACAAGTATTATTTTGTCTTCAATTAGGCTGGCTTGAATGGACGAGTTGTTGATTCTGAGCCATTGTTCTTTGCCAATGAAGACAGAGGTCGAAATGTTTTGCACATTAAGCTGGAGGATGAAGGCTGTTTTCATGCATCGATCACGTGTCAAGGGAGGCCATTAAAAACGGTGTATTTGATATTGTATCTTTGAGTGGTAAGTTTACGTAACTATGACTTCATGCGTTTCTTTATTGAATGATTCACAAATCCTTTTTAAACAAATACATATAATACATAGACTGTGCTATGGGGAAACTTAACACAAACACATCTCGAGATGGTTGGCATCAAACCTGGTATGATGGATATCTTCTTCCGTCAGATTACGATCCTGACCTGCAGGAAGAATGGACTGGCATCCTTAGGCACTCACGTAAAATATATTTTTACTTTTCATCAAGGGTATGTTTGTTTATGTACACTAGTTTTACTTTCTGTGTGACGTTGTTTAAATGTTATGGTCACATCACGTTAGTTCATGTGCTTTGTCTTTTTCTTAAATTTTGTATTGGAAACTATATGAAAATATATACGTTCGTTCCAACTTGGGCTATAGTCAGTTTTTTTGACTTATTGTTTTATTGTGTTATAGAAATTATCGTAAAAAGACTTGTTTAATTTTACAGCAACTAACTGTGAAAGAGTTTTATTGCAAGATATTTCCGTACAGATTGTATTCATTTAGAATTTCTCCCTCGACTAAGGTGAACTTTTATTTTTTTATTTTAGCTTTTTCTTTTTCGATTTTTTAATCATGTACATCTCGAATATACATTTCACTAAGGAAAATTCATTTTGTAGATTATATTACCAGACTACGACGAAAATCACCAAATCTTCTGTGTTGATGATGGGATTCAATCTGTTGTCATGTTTTCATCCACCAAGAGAAGTCTTATTTTAGCTACTTTTTCTCGGTTTTTACTTCGTAATATTGGTACGTACATGAAGTATCGTTAAACTATCCGGAAATTTAACCGCTGTGAGTGAAATTTGTTTTTCAGGTGGAGCTGAGACATTCCTAGAAAAAGACGATATTTTTTCAAAGCTCTTCAAGCACATCATTCCAGGAATATTACAAACCAAGAAAGAAGATTTCAATTGAAGTAAATCGGAGAAATATTTTAGAAAGTGTAAGAATTTTCCTTTTTCTCTGTCGTTTTCGTGTAGTTATAATGCATATTTTGTTTTTCTGCTCTTTCATCTTCCTTTGTTCTTCTCAACTTAGATGATGAAATTTTTTCATAAAAGTTTGTTTGTGCATGACAATTTCCATATTGGCTAGTTTCCATCATTACTATATTGTTGTATGCTTAAAATTAACAACCCTGTTGCAGTCTCAAAGAAAGCATGCACTTGCTAATGTCACGACAAAATTTTCTTAAAATATTCTTTAGTCTTTTGAAGCAACAAAGAATTTTTCGGTATCCAAGTGGTGCAGGCGCTTTTTTATAAAATTTGAAGGCGAACCAGGTGAACATAGTTATTCAGTTTAACTTATTTTTTGAAAGTTTGCACCAGTCTGTTTCTGATGTCATAGTAGTCGCCATCGTATTAACGGTTATATTTTGAACCGTTTCTTTTATGACGAAACAATAGTTGTATTTAATTCTTGCCGTTAGGACATGACGCTGGAGGACTTTCTAGAGAATGGATATCTATTTTATCTGATGCACTCTTTAATCCAAAGAATGAGTTGTTTACTCATTTCAGCAAGGAAGATAAACAGTCACTGGTATGAAAATGATCATATCTGAATGACATAAGTTGTACCATATAGTCACCACGTTTCATTTGCTTTAGCGGCTCGTGAAGATTTCTATAAACAGATAAAAAGACTATTTTCACATGTTTGTAAATGTCAAAATGACTCTTAAGATGACTACCGCTAAGGTTGTCAAAACGTCAGTCAACAACTACAAAAACAGTCCTTCTCAGGACTATACCAACCTGGACGATCTACATTTACAAACATGTAACGATACTCCCGGGTTCAAACCATTTACTTTAGACTATTTTTAGTTGGACTTAGACTATTTTTTTTCATAAACTATTAAACTATTAAACGGTTATTATATGTATTATATTGAGCTTTCCTTAAGTTTCCTAAAGTTTATAACTATGTACGTTTATGTTTCTGTGCACGCGTAGAAATTCAAAATTTTGACCAAAGAATAAGATTTCTAGTCTTCTAGATGCCTAAAATAGAAGTACATTCGAATTTCGAAGAGTCTCAGTCAATGAAGATTTATATTTTCTAATATTATTTAGATATGTCCAAACCAAAATCGACCATCACGACTGAAATTAAAGTATTATGAGTTTGCTGGTCGCATTGTGGGCAAATGTATTTTTGAGTCTTCGTGCAGCGAGTCACGTCGTTTGAATATAAAGGCGAGGTTCATGAGATCATTTCTCGCTCAAGTCATTGGACTTCGCGTTAACTTTAAGGTGAGAACGCAAAATCCATCAAAAAATGCAGATTAGATATTCGTGTAAAAGCTACCGACTTCGCTATTATCACCTTAACTTTTCCTTCAGTATTTCAAGACGGATGATAAGCAACTTTATTCTAACAAGATAAAATACATTCAAGAAGTTGATCCGGATGATCTTGATTTGGTTTTCTCCGAAGAAGAGTATGACAACGATGGCAATCTTCTTAAGGTTTGAATTTTGTGTTTTAGGTTTTTAAGTGCTTGTTTTTACCATGAGAAATTTGATATTTTTTGTAATGACGATTCGAATGAGATGCTATTTAAAATAGAAAGGCTTTCTGTATTACTAATTAAGCACATTCCTACCAAAATTTCACATTTCAGGAAATAGACCTAATTCCGAACGGCCATACAATAAAGGTTACTGAAAACAACAAAATGAAATACCTGGACGCTCTTGCACAATACAAATTGAGCGCTCGTGTAAAGAATGAAATCGATGCGTTTATCAAAGGTATGTATGTACACTAAAGATAGTTGCATTTCGGTTTGAATTGATTTTCATTTAAAAAGTACTTTGTGTACATAAATTAAGAAGTTGACAAGTTGTATTTAAAGTCCCGATTACTATCTAATTTTCAAGGACTGAATGAAATTGTACCTGATAGTCTAATTACGATGTTTAACGAACAAGAGTTGGAGGTAAATTGAAGAAATATTCAATCCGGTTTTTCTAATGTATTTTTTTAATGCAAAACAATCTTATTGTCTCACACAATCTTGTCTGCAGCTTCTTATTTGTGGGACAAGTGATATTAGCGTAAATGATCTAAAGAAAAATCATCTCGAGTTTGCCAGTGATGCATATTTTGACAAGGTAATGTGTTGGTATAATTTACTTTTCATCCCCGTGATTGGTTGGTGAATTAGTTTAGAGCAATGACCTAGAACCCAATCTACTAGATATTTGACTCCGCCAAAATTGTATAGTAATGAGTGAGGCAAGCCGCCATCTTGAAAGGTGGTAAAACTGAGAATATTTACGACTAATATCTGCTTTTGCTGAGTTGATATAGAGTTGCACAGTTGATAATCTATGTTTAATTCTTTAAATGTTTGATAGGATGGTTTTTTAAACTTTGTTTTAACTTACTTTTCATTTTTTGTTTTACTTTTTGCCACTTTTCAAAAAGTCCTTGCCTCACCTTGACACGGTAGTTAGATATCTAGAAGACTAGGTTCTAAATCATTGGTTTCGAGCAATGCACTTTCCTTCGTTTTACTTTTGTTTTTATGGCTTCCATGTATGTTATTTCATGTCAAGCTGTTGTGACTTGTTAATATCTTTATACCTCTCTTCTCTTGTGTTCTTCATTTGGTTGTATATTGTCGTAGATAGTTTGGGACGGTTTGGGTCTTAATACTCCCGGAGTAGTTTTAGAAATGTTTTTCAAAATTATGTTGCCACCTAATCCATTTTGTGCATATATGTATGACATTTTCCAGAAAGAACTATGTCCCTTTGGATTCTAGATTAAGTTATAAGTTATTGTTAGGTAATGAATTGGTTTTGGAAAGCCGCCTCTCTGTTTAATCAAGACGATTTTGCTCGATTACTACAATTCACAACAGGAAGTTCTCAACTCCCCCCTGGTGGATTTTCTTCTCTATCTCCCAAATTTTCTTTTCATCTTCACCACTAAGGAATGCCTTGCCAAAAGCCCATACGTGGTATGTATTTTAATATATATCTTAATCTCATTCTCTTGCATCAACAATTTAAGATAATAGGTATTTCGGCATCATTGCTACTATTTATACTAATGCCGGAAACATCATATACCAGAAAGTGGACGGAAATATTGGGTTTGGAAGTTTTGAAAGCTTTAAAAAGAATAAGTTAAAGAAAAATAAAATATCTTCAACATCTTTACCAGTACTTTATTCAATGCTTTTCAATGTAAAATTTGAAAAGGTTCACTCTCCCGTTTCAAGTTCACATGCGTGCAAAACAATGTAAACAATGTTGTGGATGTCAGATGGCACAACAACTTCATTTCGTACTTTTTAATTTTGATTTTGCTGTTAATTTTAGTTTTAACCAGCTGGTATTGCCTGACTATTCAAGTTACGAAGAATTTCAACGTTGTTTGCATCTTGCTTTAACAGAGGGATGCGAAGGATTCAGCTTTGTATAATTAACATACACCATGTACAAATTATAAAAGCCTAGTTTTCTATTTGTGTATCAACATGCATTAGTATATTTGACTAAGTTTCCCTTGAAGTAGATAATTTATTTAATATAATTTGATATTTAAAATGCACAAAAATCCAACAAATTGAGTCTAATTCTTTTGTTTAATTTTTATGTCTTCACCAATGGACATCCACTTGCGTACGCCCTGTGTATCTATTCTTATTACAGAGAAGTTTGATGATTTTCTAACATGACGTAAATGGATGGAGAAGTACTTCTTTAATTTTATTGATGTACTCCATTGGTTACAAGAATGAATTAGTTCAAAACTAGCCAATGAACAAGCTCGTTAGAAAAACGTGTGGTCCTTCCATGAGGGCAGCTATAAGCTAATCAGCTTGCCCTTCAAAACACCTGAACATCTGACAATTGAATCCAAATTGAGAGCGTGTCGCTCAATTTTTTCCTTTATTTTTGTTTTATTTTCCTTTTCTGTTTTGGTTGTCGAAACAAGCAATGGATTTATCATATGCTCAAGATAATTCGGAAAACAACAATTTAATTGTAAATTATCTACCGCCGAGTATGACTGAAGACGAAATTTCCAAGCTGTTCAGTTCAGTCGGCGAAGTGTGCGAGTGTAAGTTGATTCGAGATAAGCTCAGTAAACACAGTATGGGCTATGCGTTTGTAAATTTTAAATATCCCGATGATGCGAAGAACGCGATTGGAACACTGGATAAACTTCGACTTCAAGATAAAACCATCAAAGTGAGCTACGCTAGACCCTCGTCGTCCGACATTAAAAACGCCAATTTATATGTTAGTGGCCTGCCTGAGACAATGTTAATTGAAGAGCTCGAAGAGATGTTCAGTAGATTTGGCATGATCATCACTTCGAAGATCCTTCGACATCCCGATGGTAAAAGTCGCGGAGCTGGTTTTATACGATTTGACAAACGCTCCCAGGCCGAAGTGGCTATAAGAAATCTCAATGGAACTCTACCAGATGGGGCTGACAGGCAAATCAATGTGAAATTTGCAAATCCTCCTTATGGGAATAAAGGAAAAAGGGTTTCGGATAATCAGTATTTGAGTTCAAATAATAGCATCCCATTGGTTAATGGTCGAGGGCAGAGTTATGGAAATGGTAACGTTGGTCATGTGTATCCACAAGGTAATAACTATAGATATTCTCCAATGAATCCAGTTTCAAGTTCACCAATGTCAGTGGGTGTATCTGCTAGTAATCCCAATACCTCTTTCAATGGTACAACTTGGTGTATATTTGTGTATAATTTGCCGCCTAATTCTGATGAAAAACTTCTTTATGAACTTTTTGCCCCATTTGGTGCTATTCTGAATGCAAAGGTTGTTGTGGATGCAGAAGGTCAACCAAAGGGATATGGGTTTGTTAATATGCCAGATTATCAGGCTGCATTTACTGCAATATGTGGCTTAAATGGTAAACCAATGCCTCATGGGAAAACTTTGCAAGTTTCCTTTAAAACATCAAGAAATAAGTAAGTTTTTAATCATTAATTGCATTACATTGATGCATGAATTGCTGTAGATTAAAATTTTATATATATAAGGGCTATGTTATATGCTGAATATATATATATATATATAAAAATACATATATACGTATAAACTTTGTATGGGTGTTTAAAAACTTGTGTATGTGATGCATACTGTTTATAATGTCAATTATCATTGATAACAATGGTAGAAATGACAGTTCATTTCTTCTATCATCACAAACACAAGCTCACAATATAGGAAAAAGAAATATTGAGTTTTTATTGTGTTGACAACTTCTACAATCATTTCACACAATATTTACTGAACAGACTGTCATATTGTAGAAGGTGCAATATCAATAATCAGCTCAATTTTTCATCACAAAAAGTAAAATTTTGTTTGTTGCATACCACTTGTCTTAGAAATACATTATTAGCATAAGGACACTAACCTTACAAGTTGATTTATTTGTTTATGTATTTCTAGTTATTATTACTTTAGTTTTCATTTGTTAATGCTCATTTGATTTACCCTAACAGTATTATTTTGCTTTATTTTTTTCATTAAAACTTTGCTGAAATATTTTGCTTTATTTTTGATTGCTTAAATTGAATCTGAAAATGTGCAAAACTAATCAGTTGTCTGATTGTTTGTGTTATGGCAACTATAAAATGAATCGATTCTTTGTGTACCATTACCTCTTATAAAATAGGTAATGTAAAACAATATGTGGCTATAATAAATAAATTTATCTTTTGATATTACTTTTAAGGCTATTTTGTAAAGGAAATAGAAAACATATTTGTTTCTATAGAAGTTATAGAACACATGTGAAACACTGTGTCCGCAACCTTTTCCTGTATTTCTAGAAATCTATAAAAAATGGAAGATGTTTTCTATTTCTTAATTTATGACTATAAATATTCATTATACAGTTTCATTTCACATGTATCAAACGTTGTTTTGAAAAGAAAGTTTCACGAGTTGCCAGTCATAGAAACCATTTGTGCTTTAAGTTGTGCGCTTTACAATCATCGATCAATATTTTTGTTGTTTGTACTGGGCATTTGTCGGCGCAAGTTTTCTAGACAATCGTTATAAAAATCGTTTTGTGGAGTAGAGATCCGCTTTAATGAAATACGAATGAAAATGTAATCATTTTTTCATCAAATTCCTTTTGGTTTCTGAGACTTTGTTTTGTTGAAAAAGAAGAATGAAGAAAAATATTTTCTTTACATGCGCGATAGAAGTTAAATCCGTCAGCAAATTTGGGCGGACAGAATTCATGTGTATTCAGGTTCCCGAGCTTTATGCGGCTAAAGAGATGACAATTGAAATAAAACCTAATTAAAAAGATAATTGAAAAAAAGTAAATTACTAATTTTGCTTGTTTTGTCTTTAGTTGACTCTATCCAACTCTACCTGAACATTCGACCGCTTCAAATATATCTACGGCATTGTGTTCTCAAGTGATTTGTTTCAAATTTCTTTGCTAATTACCATTCTTCTTAGTTGAATTATTTTTAATTACTTTCTGTTGTACACAAAGAACTTAAAAAAGCATAGCATAGAAACGTTATTTTGGAAAAAGTTGGGAGTGCACGAAAGTCGTCTGTTTTTGACAAAAATAAATTTCTTGTGTGCCTATCGTTTATACAATCAAATGAATTCGAAATCCTCGAGACGATCCAGTAATATTAGAAATCTGAAAATGCGAAAGGCTTCGAACGATGTACATCACTCTTACTGGGACCAGTTGAGTATGTATCCCAACTCAAGTTGTGATGAATATTTTCAAAACAGCTACAAACTAGAGCCAGACAGAAAATTTCCCGTTCAAGAAGTGCAAAATATCATTAAGGATGTTTTAAACCAAACTTTAATTAACGAAAAGTACGAAGCGAGTAAATGTTCCAGACTGTGTCAAATGTTAAGTCGAATCATCCAGGACAAAGTAAAAAAAACTGGACTTCAGCGGTACAAACTTATAACGTTTGTAACAATTGCTGAGAATCAATCCCAAGGGACCTTGGTCGTTAGTAGATGTTTGTGGAATGAAAATTTTGATAACTACGCTACAAATTGTTTTTACAACGATACAATCTTTTCGCAAGCTACGGTTTACGGGATATATTTCGAATAGTTAGGTTACCATGGAGACAATAAACAGTTCGTGTGTTGCGCACGTCGTTGTTAAATAAATGATCCAATAACTTGTAGTCAACTACCAAGTACCATTTTTTAATTGCAGTAGAATTTACTGAATTATTATGTACATTCAATTTTTAAACTGATTGAATTGTAGAAAATTATTTTGAGCGATGAATAATCGGTACATCACTGTTTTGTAATTGTTCAACTTAGCGGAATAAATGGTACTCAATGCTAATTTGTATTGATATATATTTTGTAAAAATATTTTGCACGTAATTTCAAAATGAATTGTGTAAACTCATGCAATTACTTGACAACTTTTTCCAAATTATTATATAATGGTAGACAAGTTCCTGAAGGTAAATATCTTCCAGTGTTTTGAAGAACACCATCAGGAGCACATATCCAAGGATCATATGTAAAATTCTGCCATTCATTCAAATCGTGACGCAAACCTAAAAATACATCTCGAAAATCTTTATTCTCGGCAAGATTTACTTGTTCCTTCGGGTCGTCCATCAAATCGAAAAGCTGCCAACGGGGACGGTAATAATAATCGTGTAAACTTATGAACCAATGCGTTTCTTTGCGTTTACGGGTTCGATTAAGAATGTCTTGAAATGTATTCGAGATGAAGAAATCTTCATCAATAGGAAATGGCATCAGAAAGTTTAAATTGTGAATTAATTTAAACCGTTTTGTTCTTACGACTCTTGATGGATAATACATGGTCACTTCGTGCAAATTGTGGCTTGCAAAAATTTCATCGTGTATTTTCGTCGTGTCTGGTTTACTTTCTTGAATTAATGGTAGCAATGATTTACCGGAGAGGCTCACCATATTTGGACCAAATATCTTGTATTTAGGATAGGTTACCTTAAACCAATCCAAGACAGTTGGAGTTATATCCAAGAGACTGATTAACGCGTCACTTCTTGTGTTCCATTTTTCACGGTGAAATGGAGATGAAATAAAAAATGGCTCCTTCATTCCTGGTTCGTAAAGGTTTGTGCGACCTTTTAAAAAGTGAAAATTAATAAATCATCAGAATATGTCCACATAATGTTTACTAAGTTATGTCTGACTTCAAGAAATTTTTCAATCGAATTTTTCCCATAGTTGTCCTAAATCATAAAAGTCAATAGCGTGTTTTCACAGGTCACAATGTTGGTAGAAAAACGAGACGACGTGGGAACAGATAGAATTGATGTTGATTTCATGCTCTGTTAAATATAGGCCAGTTGAATTTAACATGGTTACTTCACGTAAAAACACAGTAAAAAATACGCTATAGGCAATGCCTTGTAATTTATAACTCCTAGTTTAAACTATAATTATTTAATAAATATAAAGTTATGGAGAGAGTTTGAATTGGTTTGCTACATTCTATTGCACATTGATCATACCAAGTGGAAAAGGTATTCCGTTATCAGAGCTATATAAAACCATAGTGGAATCCTCAAAACCAGCCTGTTTTAGTTCATCCAGTATTAATCCAACGCCTTGATCCAACCTGCTGATAGTTGTGTATTGTGCAGCTAAATCGTTTCTAGCCACTATCGTATCTTGAACAAAGTATGGAACAAACACATCTGACGGGTCATAATGGATTGGTTTCCAGTCTTCTATGTATCCCATACCGGGTTCACCGTTTCCAAATTTCTCGCAGAATTGGCCTATGAAAGCAACGCCAACTCGTTGATCAATAATTCTTTAGAAAAGGGAAAAATGGTGTGAACTAATGAAGTTAAAAGTTGGTGCACACCATTCGCCTTTTTCAGGGACCGCGAAGCTGGGGATGCTCTCTGGCTTAGGGGGTGCTGAGTGCCCATTGTTAATTTTTAAAAATTTTTACCATACTACAAGTTGCATACAACTTTGGCGGTCAATAGTCTCTCAATAAAAAAATTAAGTCCGCGGGCACTTCATATTTAATTCTGTCTGCAAATTTATAGCACGTGATACAGTGTGTCAACTTCTGGGAAATTTAAGAATTTTACGAAACGTGTCATTAAAACGTCATTTAAAGATCTCAATCTGACCATATTGTGGATTTGTGCTCCCACATCTGTGAGGATCGTGAAAGCCAATGTAGAGAAAGAAAGAGCGATTATCTTGTTGCGATTGTTCAAAGAAATTCCTGGCCAGTAACTTCATAAAAGTTATGTTGCGACCAACTTGCAACATAGGATATTGCTCCTCAGTGAACTCATATTCAAATGGATACACCTGAAAAATTGACAACCGATAAATGAAAGCATGAACGGAAGAAAACTGCTCAAAAATTTGTGTTCTGAGAAATTTATGTATGACGGCTTACGTATTCCGGTCCAACATGTTTCTTTCCAATAATACCAGTTCTTATGCCATTATTTTGAAGAAGTTTTGGAAGACTTTTCACAGCATCAAATGAATTGAAATGATGCACCTGATGATGCAAACCATACATCCCATTCTGATGTTGTGGCAAACCTAAAGATCATGTTAAAAAGTTATATGTAAAATAAAAACACATGTTTGTTCCTCTCAAACCGAATATTTAGCTGAAGTCCCTTGAAACGTTTTGTATTGTGGATTATTCATCCGTTTTCACGGCAGCCTTTACATATATTTGTTTAAACTTGAAGTGGAAAAATTATTGAAGGTGATAGAGTAACAACTTGTTCACTTTTTTCACTTGAAGATGGAACAAACTTACAAATCAGATCTGTGTTTGAAAGTTTGAAACAACAATTTATAAAGCTTTTTTTTGCATCAGCATCAATTATGAACTTTCACACATTGCGAGAAAATTAATGCTCTATCAGCTGATTTTTGATTACACAGAGAAATAGTCTCGCAATTATCTCAATAAATGACGTTAGAATATTTTTTTAAGAGAAGTAGAATAATTTATTCACATATTTGAGAATACTTTAACATACTACTGCTAGTAATTTTAGTATTTATTACAACAAAAATCGTGAAAAGCTTGGCTTGGCAGCTGGCATTATGCAACCTGTGCTTATGAGAAGAGGGGGAGTTCAAAGATTGGCAATCTATTTTTCAAGATTTTGTAAGTTAAGCCCAATTTCAATACCCTCCCCGCTGTTTCTAATTTCAATCTAACAATGTTATACAATGGACTAAAAACAATGTTTGATTATGCGTAATTTGTATATTCACCGACGTAAAAAAGATCTTTTTAAAATGCTTCTTCTGACCTGTTAAGATGGTTGAACGACTCGGAGAACAGCTGCTCACTGACGTAAATGCTTGATCAAAAACAACACTTCTTTCAGCCAATTTATTTAAATTTGGTGTTTTGCATACAGTGTTGTTGTACGCTTGCATTTCAAATCCCCCATCATCGGCAATAAACACGAGGACGTTTCTTCGTTTGCCATTAATTTCAGAGAAGTTAAAACTGTCTTTGCTAATCACCTGAAGAAAGGACACACAGAAAATGAATAAATTCATGAAATGCATTCTAGAACTAAAATATTGAATGTCAATTATCGAACTTGAGTTACAAAGAAAATTTATTTGGGGTCAAGTGTCAATCTATAACTTGACTTGACAAATTGACATCCGCAGTATAAACAGAGAGAGATATCCGAAAACTGACAATTTTATCATTTTTATATTGTTATTTTTTTACTTTGTAAATCATTGGCTGTGACTTGTGACATTTGCGCTTTTTACGAGAATGTCAATATATCAAGATAATGCAATGTGACGATGATTCTCAACCTAAATTTGTTCAAGATGAATCTTGGAGCTCTTACATTGTCACGTCGAACAAAATAAAATGAAACTCGCCTTTAAAGTTTTAACTACATTAATTAATAACACGGATCCGGTTACAATGAATTATGTATTTTCGAAAACAAAACACGAGAACGTATTTAGGGGGTACGAATTAGAATTTAGAAAACTTTGAGAACAACATAGTATTTTGGTAAATAGCTTCGGCGTTTCATTTCCCTAGAGATCATAAGAAACAATATATTTTTTCCTGATTGGCAGCGAAAAACTCAACTCAAGCTTCTGGTGAGCTTCGCGGTTTCGTGCTAAAGATACACATCAACGTCGGTCAAATAATTACGACCAAAGTCGATAAAACAAGTGCCTACAGAGCATTATTTGAAAATTCATTTGCAATTTTCGCATCGCAAGGTCACCGGAGCGGTACGTTAATTGCCACTCGCTTCAATTTTAAAAGTTATATTTTGATAAAAATGAAATTAATAAGTAGTAAAATTTTGGTTTCTCTTCTTGGTAGATGGCATTCAACATATGACGACTCACTGTATGTAATAATTTCCAATCAACAATATAACTTTGTATATATACTGGTGTCATGAATTTTATTTCTGCATAATTAATTAATAATAACAACGTGTCTGCTCGACGTGAAAATGGACACGGTGCCGTCGATGAAGGCGCTCTTCCATTTGGCTGCTTTTACGGCTATATTGGGTGTCTTGTTTATGTATTTTGTTCACATTGTTGCCATAATATATGGGTAGGTTGATTTAAAATAACTATTTTCAGATTTTGTCTTGCTCTTCGAAATAACAATTTTGTCATTCAAGATTGCTGACGTACTCACCGTACTTTGTAGGAAAATGAAACTTCATAAATACAATCATTCATCCAATTCTGATACAACGAACTCAAGTGCCAATTCTTGCCCAGGTGTTACCATGCTGAAGGTACGATCGAACAATCACTGTGCTAACTTGTTATTATATCTCCGGCTATAATGTACAAATTTGCCTTTCAAAATAGTTATCTAGGATAAATAAACTTCGAAAGAAATTGACTTCTAAAATCTAAAGGCTAAAGCCTAATTATTAACTTTCAATCACTCTGAATGGATGTGCTGTGTAAGCAAGGTCAATGAATGCTTGTTATAAGTTTTATTTTAGCAGACTGCCACTATGTATAATTTCTCACAATAAATTATAAAAATGTTGGCACAATCAGATTTCACTGACAGTTCGATTTGCAATGGCAAAATATCTCCATAAAGGTAAAAGTACGAAGGATTGATTGAAAGGAAGATGTTTCATTATAAGAAATTTTTAGCCTCTAGTTGGAGACGATGATAATCTAAAGATCAATTTGAAAAGTTGTTTGGATATCAACTATACCAAGGTATATATATAGCAGCTGAAGCTAAAAAGATCACCTTTAATTGTTTACAGTAATTATTTGGTCAAAATTTGAACCAAACAATTGATTTTAGCTTGAAATTCTGTTTTGCGTGCAAGATGAGCATGATCCAGCAGCAAGGACTGTTGAAAAATTAATTGATCAGCATCCAGATGCAGATGTCAAGCTTCTTACATGTAAGAAATGATGAGATGATATAACATATGATTGATAGTGTATTCACATGATTGATGTAAAATAGTTGATAGATCTAGTACACAATAAACACGACATATTGTCTGATGATATTAACAGGCGGTGGAGGTGTTGGTGGTGTGAATCCTAAAATCAATAACATGTTACAAGGTTACAAAGTTGCAAAATATGATCTGTTGTGGATTAATGATAGTTCACTTTTTGGTATGTTTCACATTGAAAATCCAGGATCTGAATATTTCATGGCTTTTTGCAAGCAGGTTTTAGTGCTTTTGTGAGGTTTTACCTGTTTTACGCTTCTCTCTTTCAATTTAGTTCACCCTGATACTCTGAAAAATATGGTTCTTAACATGACTGCAGATGTTGGAATCGCACATCAGGTGCAAGACTTATTTTAACATGAAATCCTTGAACAAACCTGGCAAAAAATCTGACAATTTTTTACCATAACTTTCATGATCATTTCAACTTTTCTAATTGTTTTATGGGTACTATTCCACATTTACATGGGAATACTAAGCATATTCTGGGGATGCTAGTAAAAATATTTCAATTTGTCTTTAATATGAGGATTTTGGTTTTTGACAGTTACCTGTCTTCTCCTTTTGCTATTCGCTGTTTTTATGAAGGTATTGTTGTTTATAGGTACCATTTTTAGTAAACAAGTCATCTTTCACAGGAATATTACAAAAGGTAGCATTTTTAATAATTACAATGATTAGTAAGTAATGCTAAACCCACTCCAAGCTACTATGACTAAATTTCTGTATGTTCTATGTTTTTGCACAATTGCATTACTCGACCAAAACCAAATCAAATTATTTATTTAGGTTTATTTTGGAACTCAACATTCCCGTGTGTATCTCTTTGCCAATGCCATGGGTTTTACATGCACCAATGGGATGTCAATGCTGTTGAGGAAACACGTTATAGATGATATAGGTAAAAGTAACAATTATTGATTCTATAGTACAACTATAGAATCAATTGTGGTGAAACATCGCGCTTTGATTGGCTAAGCATGAGCCATGGTTCCTAGAGGATAAAACCAATTAGCGATGAGTGCCATCTTGTTATGTGCATGATGACTTTTATCCCCCGTTTAGTGAGACTCCACTATTTGCTTCAATGATAAAGAAAAAAGTCTTTTCGTATTTGTTTACTATAAGTACCCTAAAATACTTCCATAAAGAGGGTTTGATTATTCAATATTTTCCTTTTGCTGAACATTGTATTTATTTCAAAGATTTTTTGACCAAACAATTTGTCAGTGTAAACTAGGAAACATATCTTTTCGACAAGTGTTTTGTCTTGGGTTTTTTTCATAGAAACAGGTCCAAATGTTACTCATTAAACAATTTATTGATCTCAATAATGTGAAGTTACAATATCAACATATTATTTAGTCACATATACTGACCTGTCATCATATTATATAAAACAAATTCCGAAGAAGCAAGACATCTTGAGATTGCAAAATATGAATCAAAACAAGACAAGAAGTAAACTGTAAATTTTCGACTTTATTTCAAAGTCATCCTCAGATGGAATGAGGATGACTTTGAAAGTCGAAAGTTTGCAGTTCACTTCTCGTCTTGTTTTGATTCATATTTTGCAATCTCAAGATGTCTTGCTTCTTTGAAATTTGTTTTATACTATATTTCTTTAAATTGTCGGCTGGTCATGGTTTTTTATCATCGTACTATTTGTTGTTTTGTTGAACAATAATTGTTGATACGTTCATGGCTGACCGTTCAATCGCCATTGAAAGTAATTCGAAATCTTTCATTTGTGTTGTAGGTGGTCTTCAAGAGTTTTCATCTTACATAGCGGAGGATTTTTTCATTAGTAAATCATTTGTAGACAGGTTAGTGCTGCTGTTTTGATTATGACATTTGAGCTGTGAATGTTAGCCAATTTAGCCATGTTTTTTTTGTATGTTTTGAAGAGGTTGGAAGATTGCGCTGAGCTGTTACCCAGCGTTGCAAAATCCATCAAGAATAAGCTTTTCATCTTTTTTTTCCAGAATGGTTCGGTGGGTATTTCATGTCTTTGATCTCTACTTACAGAAAATTTGTTTAAAGGGAAAGTGTCATATATTGGGTAGCTAGCCAGTGCTCAAGTTTTAGCTCTGCTAAGTATGTTTCTGGACAGCATCATTATTCATTTTTTTAGACATCTTTTCTTTTGCACAATTAGTGAGTACGGCAAATTTCAAATGTAGGATTATATAAACTGGTTGGCTACGATATCGAGTGTGATAGTATTTTGATGTTAGTGTCCAAGTACGTCTGACGTAAAATTGTGACTCTCGTTTTCTCTCTTAATTGAAGGTGTTAACTTGTTCTAATTTACTGCGTTTATGACCATTTACTGTGAAGAACATCGATCTGAGATGCGAAATTTAGCCTATCATTTTCAAATTTTGATGTCAAAGAATATGCCGAAATAGTTTTTGAAACTTAGCAAAACTTTGTGAGCAAAGTATTGTTACACGAGAAGTTTGCTATTCTGCTCGAAAATCAATCAAATTAGAATGTATACACCATGAAACACGGAAGGATTGATGTCACATGTTTTTAGAATTATGACTTGTCCGATTTAAGTCAGGCATGGTGAACGAGATGTGTATTTCTGCGTTATATGATATTGTGTTGTCCAAACTCTACTATGTTAAGAGTTATATGTGTTATTTACCTGCTGGAAGGTCCGTACGGACAAAATATTTTCACGAGGTCTCAAAAATGGCCCGAGGCCGAAGACCGAGGAACGCTTTTGAGGCCGTGTGAAAATATTTTTAAGTACGTACGCACCTAACAGGTTAGTAACATATTTTTTCATTTTTATTATGAAGAAATTCGCGTTGTAAAATGGCCGATGGCCCGATGCAACTTGACGTTGAGACTGAAATTGGATTGTTTTCTACCGGCAAATTTCGCTTTGTTTGGATAGTAAAATTTACTCTCGCTATAACTACTATTTGAATACATTTTTCTTTCTCGTTGAACAATTTACATTGTTTTTAAATCAATTTTAAAAATTTTAATTTCACTTCGTAAACAAATACATTGCGAAAAAATATCACTTTTGGCCCACGGGCAAGTTATCGTAAAAAGCTGAGGCAGCCAATCGAATTGCTGGAAATCAAAAAGTATCACTTCGCATGCTTAAATAAAAAAATAATGATATGATTACATTCGCGACTCATAAGGGATGTTTATCAAAAACAACAGTGACTACTTAAATAGATACCAAACTTCCCAACTCTGATAAAGTATCTGCCACGCCCATTATAATTGCCCATTGGTTGGAAAAATTAAATCTCGTACCCTGTTGATGCAACTTTCCGCTTAACGATCGCGGTTGTAACATCGATAGTCGAAGTTCGTTAAAAAAAATAATTGTTTCACTTGTTTCTAATTGTTTCACTTCTATGTAAGATAAACTTGACTTTACAAATACTTGAAAAAGAAATGATTGCCCAATCACTGTATAACAACTTTGCGTACAACAAAGTAAATGAACAATGTTTGTTTAGATGGACCCGTTTACGTGTTACAATGATGCCTGTGATCGGTGTACTGGAACCATTGACGGAATGTTTAGTGATAGGATTGCTGGGCTCTTGTGGGGCGAAATATTTATTGGGTTTTAGTGCATGGAAAGTTTTACTGGGTCATTGTTTGTTATGGTTTTCTGCAGATATACTGTTGCTAAATATCATGCAGGGAGTATGTTTTTGCTTTTACTTTGTACATTTAGAAAATATTGCATATATAATACAAAATATTTATTTCCACTTTTCCAGCCTGATACGTTGCCACCATTTCGTAAAATAGTTTTTGCATGGCTTTTACGAGAGACATGGACCTATATCATATTTCTGCGAGGGATGTGTGGACGAAAAATCTCTTGGAAGAAAGGAGCATACCGTATCAAGACAGGAGGAAAGGCATTTCGTATTCAAGGCATGAAAATCGAGGATGATAAACATTGTCTTTAATGGCAAAATCTCCTTTTAATAAATTAATTCTTTTAATTGAATTATTTACCACGCAAAGTTTCGTTACACATAATCTGCTGTAGCGTACGTAGCCCGTCTATATACTCCCGCTATGTTAATATTCTGTTCAGTGACAATGAAAACAAGATATTTGTAAATAACTGAAGGCAATCATTTAAAATTTACATAGCGGAAGTTAATCTGCTAAGCTACTGAACGTATGTCGAGAAATATTTGAAATTATTAGAATATTAAATGAGAAATAATAGTGACAATTCCCAATTGAAAATTACCTTCAGGCATGTAAGAAGTGAAAAGTTTTACTTTTTCTAGTTGTATGTTTTAAATTAACCTAAACAAACGTCACATTTTAACTGCTAATGTTGTGTTATATCTAGAAAAACTACGTTATACGCTTTTGCAATAACCTTAATACCAAACCCGACAATTTATTTGACCAAATAAAATAACAAAGATATCAACAGAAGTATAACTTAAATATCAATAAATAACTAATTGCATCAAGATACGTATATACAACATTACATGGGTTTCAAAGAATTTTAAGTCAGTTGCTTCACTATGTGCTCAAGGCCTAATAATAATTTGAATTCCGCATCTTGAGGATTTGGAATGAAGTCAGGGGCATTGGAATTGCTCGCACATTTTGGCAGTGAGTTGCAGGGTAATGCAGTTACCTGCTTGGCGTACAAATAAACTTTATTGTCATTCATTATGCCTACATTTCGCATTTCTCCCGAGTTGGATACATGAAGAAGTAGCTTCGTTTTACCAGTACTGGACGTTGCTTGGTTATCAATATTTTTTGTCTGACTTGGAGGCAAAAAGTTGCAAACAAGAAATTTACCACTGCTAAAGTTGCTGACAACAGTCGCAGGAGGAACGGTTGAGACCACGCCAGCGCAATTTTGTACGGTACTTGTTAACACTGCACTATTAGCTTGAGCAGTGCTAATTTGGGCAGCGTTGCTAATGTCGGAGATCCCGTAAACGGGAACAGTTTCGTTGGAATATTTAACTGATGTAGTTCCAACAATCGAGTGCTGTTGTGATAATGTACTGTTTCCAACAGTTAGTTTGGAAGCCATTGACACTGAAGGAGGAAAAGATATCGCCACAGAATGAGATCGACTTGGAAGAAATTTTTTGGATTTGCAGAGAGTTTGTGAAGGCTTGGGTAAAATTAACCTAGAAGAATCTCTCTCTCTGTGATTACATGAAGTAGCAGTGGTAACTAATAAAGGTTTTGGAGCCAGGTTTCGTTGGCTAACCACTGTTCTCGGTGGTTGACTATTTTTATTAGGTGCGCTATTTTTGTCAGATGACTTTATAGTACGTAGAGTGGCGTGTTCGTCAATGATGCATTTTTGTTCTGGTGCTACTTCGCTTGTCGTAGTATTGGTAATTTGGGGAGGCTTTTTCGCTGCCTCACTATTTAAATCGTCGTGAATCGATTGTGCGCTAAGTTTAGCAAGCTCATCTACCAAATTTTTATCTTGCAAATTTGCAATAGGGATTCTTATTGTAGAATTCAAACTTTGAGTCGAATGAGTGGAATCTTTACTTGTTTTGTTGACAGTAGTTGTACTGCCTGAGTGTTCACCCACCACAAAAGCAAATAGTTGGTTGGAATCATTCACTCCATTTATCGTATTGAGTTGCACCAAAGGATTTGAGGACCAATTGGGCTGCCTACCCACGTTGTTTTGATTTGATGAAGTTACGGTTGGCTTGTCAACCACAGACGATTTACTTGTTTGTGAATTACCTGCAGTATTAAGTTTGATAAGCCGGATTCCTTCTTTAGGGATTGGCGAATTAGAATCGAGTAGAGAATTAGAAATCTTTGCAGTGCTTGGAACATTATAACGTGCAGTTTTACTTATCTTCGAGCAGGACACAGGAGTTGTCTTTGCTCCAGATTTTCTTTTCAAATTTTTTACATCCATATTTTCTTCGCTGGGATTGGCTATTTCACCACGAAGTGAATCACCCTTGTCTTTGTTAACATTGTTTCTATTTGATAGTGTTTCAGACTTATTTGCATCATTGGAATGAAAAGATTTACTTTGCTTCTCGGGCAATCTGTCTTGAGAATTGAGGCCTTTCTTCGCCAGAGAACTGATCGTACTCTTATTCCTTTTTAGGGGAACTGCTAATGTTCTCGTATGGCCTTGCAAAATCTTAACGTTGACAAGCTTATAGTTTTCGCTGTTTGTAAATTTAGTTGATGTTTGGCCGTTTGTGGAAGCTTTTCTTTTTCCTGAGGAGCGGCTATTTTCAGATACAGCACTAGTAGTTTTGCTGTTAATGTTGTCGGGTTTGGAATGTGGTTGGACGTTTATCGCGTTTGACGATGATGGCGATTCAGTATTCTTTATTACTTCCAGCCTTGGACTTTTTCGGCATAGCGAAGGATTCTTCTTCACAAAGTTTTCTCGCAAATGTGCAGCGACCGATGTTGATACAACTTTACTCTTGAAACGACATTTTTCTAATTCTTCCTCTTTCTTTCGAAGTAAATCCTTAAGTTGGCGAATTTTTTCTTCTTGTCTTGTTGGAATTTCTTCAATATTTTCTTTACAAACACCAGATTCAAAACCCAGTCCATCATTTGCGCACACGTAATCACTGTTATCACCTTCCTCATTTGAACATGGGGTGTTTTCTACCTCAGTTGAAGACATTAGTTCAGTGCCACATTGAACGTCGTCGTTGGAAGTATATTCATTAATGTTATCAGAAAAAGCCTCTGTATTTGTACTTAAATTTGTTAAATTGGTTTCGTGCAGTTGCGATTGAGTCTGAATCGATTGTACATTCGTCGTGGATTGATTTGTTTCACCCTCACTACATCTGTTCTCAATATTTCCATCCTTTAAAAAGGTTTGTTTTTCATCTACCACAAAAGATGTTGACCCAACCTCTGTTTTGGAATACGGAATCACTGTTTGTTTGGTTGCATCAATAAAAGTTACAACATTTACATTCGGGCTTGTTGTGTATATAGGAATTGAGACAGTCTCGTTGCAAGGTGGCATTGTTAGAAGCTTAATATTGCTGTCGGACATACTAACAATGTTCTCAGTATATTGCAATTCTTTACTAACATCACAAGATAGGGAATTATTTTCACATGGGTCTTTTGTGTTATCAATTGTCGATGCCAAAGAAAACACGGATGTAATTAAGAGAAATCCATCTTCATCTTCAACTGGTTCTTCATCCAGTAGTTGCATCTCAATTTTAGAAGCTTCTACTTTGTCTTCATTTGTTTCCGCATTCGTCTGTGAATCAGTTTCCTCATTTTTAATAATTATGTCGTCTTTACTTTTGCCTAAACGGCTGTCAAAAAACTTACGACGTATCTCCTCCTTTGCAATGGAATTAATATTAAGTTTTGATAGCTCCATGGTAAAAACGTTTCTAAAAGAACACGAGCAGGTTAACATGACAAATGCAGTTTGACTATTACTGCTGGTGCTTTGTCTACCTGGCGCGAATTATCTAGAATCGAGATTCAATGCAGTGCCAGTGTTCTACAATAAAAATCATCGAACCTCTCTCTCCCCCCCGTATCTCTCCTGATAAGATCATCCTACATATGCTTGCATTGTTATAAAAATATGCGCCAACTGGCGGAACCTTTGGGTAGGGGTTCGTCTTTGAGGCGCAAGATCTCCCAGAACATCATAAGGTTAAATGCTTATATTGACATTTGCACAGTACATAAGTCATAATTTATGATTTTGGGGTGCAAAATTATTAGGGTTCACCCCCCCTGAGGACGCCTCTGATCCCACCCACAAAGTTTAGTGGAACTTTACCGTACCTAACTATTGCATGCGTTATTGTGATTTTGACGACAAAATAAGGTCATAAATGCATAAATCCCGACCCAGGGCGTACCAGGTCATTTATCGTGTTTTGTTCACACATAGACATTCTTTAATCATTTGATAGTCTCGCAAGTGAGCAGCGAGGCGCGGGCAATGAACTGAAGGTGATAATCAGCGCGTAAGAAAAAAATCACAGTGATATATTGACATTCCTGATTATGTTCATCAATTACCATTTCAAAACAAAATCTCTCGCACAAGTGAGCATTATTTTCTTTTTGCTCGGTGTTTACAAACGGTTCTCACATTTTCTTACATAATAGGCAGCGATTGCGCAGTCACAACACATGATTAATTGACGCAAAACTCGGGCATGGAGAGGTAAACGGATGTTGCTAGAATAAGTCCCGTCGACGCCATATTTTGCACGTTGAATTAATTTGGGCCGTTTTGTACTTTGTGGGTTTACAACGAAACAATACCGCGCTAAATACAACTTTTTTTATTACAAACATGAATAAAAAATATTGTAGGTATTTGTGTTGCAGATGCTTTCAAAGAGTAGAATTCATACGATTGTCGCGGAATAAACTGAGATAAACATTAACTGTTTCTGTCGGAATAAAGCTTTGAATGACAAAGTTACGAGTAGCATAGCCGGATCAAATATTTATCAACTACTTTAGAAGAATAAGCAAAGTTGAAGATTCAAAAAACTTTAGAAGACATAATCGTCTGAATTGCCAGTTCCTTGAGCAAATCGTAGACGAAATGGAGGCGAACAATGCAAAGCAGCCGCCATTACTGTGAAATGCGGGCATCCAATAAGCTGTGGTCTATGAGTCAACAAAATATTTACTACAACTCCGAATTCATTAGATTTACAAATAATACGATTTGCTTACCGTCTTATGCCGTGAGATTGTAAGACAAGAATGGTAACAAAACATTAACAAGAAAGACAGCTATCATTATTAACATTAAATAAGTTGCCGTCGGCTTTCTTCAGTTTGTTGACTTATTAGTTATTAGTATTCTCTCAAATATCAGAGTTCAGACAGGCAGCTTTTTCACCTCCTACAAGAGCACACCAATCAAAATTCACAATTTTACTTGAATATCCAATCAAAATATCAATGGAGTTAGAAGAATTTTACTTTAATCAGCGAAAATTTTAAGAGTACATTTCCCTCCACGTACTTCCGGTAAGATATAAATAAATGTAGTTTTGCCATGGGGAATTGGGGACGAAGACACGATGCGCAATAAAGACTAGAAGTTACTATCGCAAGAGGAAGTGCTGCTCCAGCCCCTTTTCTCCCATGGGACGAGTGCTCAGAAGAAACGAAGTCACGCGCTCGGAAAGCTAATGCAAGCTCTTGCGAGCATATGTATATCCGCTTCCGGTTCTTTACTTGCACTATTATAGAGACGTCCTTGTTAATTTAACTTTAAATTAATTGCTATTTTGAATGAAAACCGTTTTTATTAGATTATACTATATCTTCATTTGTTATCCAGGCTCTTTGTGAAGAGTTACATCGTTGTTCCCGGATAAATCGAACAAAGTTTACTTCCAACGCTGTAATTCACAAGCTGTGAATAGACCTTTTCAAGGTTATTGCAGCCATATTGCAGGGGGTGCAAAAACATTGGGCCGAGCGCGTGGTCGCGCATGGCGTCTATATAAATTACTAATAAATGCGCAAAAATTACCCTTATACATATTGGCCATTTCTTTCAAACATATTTCTCAAACTCGTCCATTTTAATAGTCGAATTATTATTTGCGATTTTTTATACACGTGAGTCCAATTTTGTGGCAATCAACAAGTGGAAAGTTAAAGAAAACATTTGTTTTCTTTGAACAACTTGACCGTCGTTTGAGCGATGTTCTTGAGTTCGCAAATGTGCGGAACTCAAACGAACTAAACCCAAGTCAAGCAAAGAAAAGCCAAGTCAAACGAACTAAACCCAAAACTAGCCGAGTAGCTGTGAGCAGTCATAGCCGAAATTAGTAAAAAATGCGCGTTGTGCAGTTGGATATTGCGATAATGATAAACGCTATCCTGATTATCATGTTAAGAGGTCTCACGTAGAAAAGTTAGTTTTTCATTAGTGGCCCAAAGATCAAGCACTTGCTGAAATTTTGCGAAAACAAATAGCAAACAGCAGAGCCGATGACTTTAACCCAAAGCCTTGTGCACAAGGTACTTTCGTTTGCTCAAATCATTTTCCCTTGGGAAGAAGAACCCCAAACAACCGCGCAACGGATTATCCTTCAGTTTTATTACGCTATCAGAGTACGAGCAATTGAGGACTCCGCTTAAACGTAAAGGAAGAGAAACATGGACGACATCAAAGCGTCCTCATCACGCCTATGACACCGAGGATTCTGATTCAAGTTTTGATGGAAATCCAGCAAAATCTGAGGCATCTTTACTCCCTGTCCTTTTGGAATTTGAGCAGTTGACGAGAGAGTATGATGTAAGGTTTCACACCGGCCTGCCATCGACTAACAGTTTTAAGTGTGTATTTGAATACTTGGCTGTTTCTTCTTCTGGCTGTTTAGTCGCCTTACATAATAATAAAAATAGCAATGTCTCTTTACAAATAATTGGAAATACTAATAAGAGTTTGCCGTAGAATAGTTCCTCGCGATACTTGCTGACTTTGCTGTAGACATGTGCGTGTGTTGCGAACTGAAGAACATCGCTCAAACGACTGTCAAGTTGTTCAAAGAAAACAAATGTTTTCTTTAACTTTCCGCTTTTTGATTACCACAAAATTGGACTCACGTGTGTAAAAAATCGCAAATAATAATTCGACTATTAAAATGGACGAGCTTGAGAAATATTTTTGAAAGAAATGGCCAATATGTATAAGGGTAATTTTTGAGCATTTATTAGTAATTTATATGGACGCCATGCGTGACCGCGCGCTCGGCCCAATGTTTTTGTACCCTCTGCAATATGGCTGAGATAACCTTGAAAAGGTCTATTACCAACGCTGTATACGTCGCAAGCAAAAGGCAGAACTAGATCTAGCTTTTCTCCTGAAGTGCAAGAAGTTAAATATTTATCCCAAGTTTGTGAAATGGAAGAACATTGACACCCTGCCTAAAACATCCCGGAACAAATACCATCGACTCCTCCTGAACGATTTAATCAAAGATAAGAACGAGCACTTGAACAACCTCACCAAAAAATCGGGCGATCTATACACTGTTCTCTTTAACTCGACAACTTGGATGAAAGCCCATTTCATCTCCTTTTCTATTAACGACTTTTAGAAACTGAAATGTCTAAAGTTAAAGAACGGCACTCCATGAAAATGGATAATTTACTTGCAACAAAAAGCGCTATTGATGGTCTTGAAGAAAACCCGAACAACGTTATTCTAAACCTCACCAGCCAAAATCTTTCCCCCGAGCAGATTGAAGTTTTGAAACTTGGTCTCCGACATGGCTTTGCTACCTGACCTAATGAACTTGAAATGCTGTCAGTTGCAGAAGATATTTGGGATCAGATTGCCAGACTGAACCAATTCAAAGATGGAAACTATGTTAGAGATAAGTTAAAAAACTCACTACGCTCCTTTACGTATAATTACTTAGATTTGGATTTAGAACAATTCCATATCGATAGTAAACGTATTCGTATACTCAAAAAACTCAATAGTGATTACGCCATTCTGAAGCCTGACAAAGGCAATGGAGTTGTCTTGTTTAACCGCTCTGATTATGTCAACTCTCTTAATTCTCTGATCGAAAATCCCTGTAAATTTAAGCGTATTTCAAGCGACCTTACTTCTAGTAGACTCTCCACTCTACAGTCCTATCTATGCACACTTCTAAAACGGGGTGAGATCAATGAAACCGAACATACTTTCTTGCGACCTACTCACGCGCACTTTGCCAGAGCACATGGACTACCTAAAACGCACAAACAATTTGACACATTACCTAAGTTACGACCAATAATTGACACCACAAACACACCACACTACAACGTAGGCAAATTCATTGCAAACCTTTTGAATCCACTCACCCTAAATAAATTTTTATTACAAGACTCTTTCGATGCTAATGATGCTATTAAATCTATACCTAAAGATCTATTTTCCCAAGGTTATAAGTTTGTCTCTTTTGATGTTGAATCCCTTTTCACAAACGTGCCTTTGCGTAAAACCATCAACATTGCACTAGATCGCATTTACAAACAAAATATTATTAATACCACACTCCGAAAATCAACACTCAATAAAAATTTTTTTTGATTATGCACCAAAACTATATTTTCTTGCAGCGGTATTTTTTATGAACAACTTGACGGGGTTTCCATGGGGTCTTCTCTCGGTCCCGTCTTAGCTAATATAATTCTCACTGAGTTTGAAAACATTATTGTCACTGATTTGATCAACTCAGGTGTTCTTAAGTTTTACCGACGTTATGTTGATGATACCCTTGTTCTTATGCGACATTCTGACATTCCTCGTGTTCTTGCCAAATTTAATAGTTTTGATAAAAATCTTAAATTTACTTTTAATGATTTTTCTGACTCACATGTCTACTTTCTAGACCTCAAAATAACCAATAATGACATTTATATATTCCGTAAAACAACTCATACTGGCCAGTTTACACATTTTTCAAGTTTCGAACCTTTCAACCGCAAAACTACTTGGATCAATTCCCTATTTTTTTCGTGCATTTAAGATTTGTTCTAACCAAACACTATTCAAAAAACAAATTCAAACACTCCAGTCTTTTATGTCATGGAATGGTTTCCCTCTTACAGTCCGGAAATTCTTGATTCATAAACTCAAAACCAAAATCATAGCTAAAAATAACCCCCCTAAACAAAATACTGAGAATGACCTTCGTAAAATTTTCATTAGAATACCATATCTAGGCAAACAGGGTGAACGTTTGGTTTTCAATCTTCTTCGTAAAATTCGCCGTAGCTTAAAAATTCCCATCAAACCTATAGTTGTATATGAAACAAAAAAGACATCAATTTTTTGTCCCAAAAAGGACAAAATTCCGGAACTCTCTAAAGCCAATGTTATATATGAACTTAAATGTCCAGGCTGTGGTCATACATACATAGGCAAAACTGAACGAAACCTACACACAAGATTAACCCAACATGCCACTAATTACAATAATTCTAGTGCTATCACACAACATTTACTCATTTGTCCAGACGCCAACTACATCTCACACCTTTTCTCACTTCCTGACGTTGATTCCGATCCGATCTCACACGCGTGCCACTTAATCCTTGTAATTTGATTCCAAGTAACACCAAAATCTTATATCGCTGTAAAAATAATAATCCTAATCAACTTCTCATCTTAGAAGCACTTTTGATAAAACGCAATATGCCACAACTTAATAGTGGTCTTAAAGCTTGTAAGAAACTATCTCTATTTTAATGTAAGTATACTGCCTGATTGTTTAGTCTTATAGTTCTCTAATTACATAACTGTCATTTCCGCTTGTAAATATATACAAGCAGCCTGCATTGTAAACCATAAGTCTGATGATGTCTTTGGAATAAAGACGAAATATTACACCATCTTTTGTTTCAAACTCTTGTAATATCTTGAATATCAAGAAAACGAGATGTCCCTCTTCGGAATTTGTTTTATTTTGTATTATTTGAAATTGTCTGCTTGTCCTGGTTATAAGTTTACTTCCGAGTCAACAATGTTTGCAAGATAATATACAAATTGACTGTATCACCAATTTTGGCACCCCAGGCCACGTAATTTTGTTAGTATTTCCTTAACTTGGTAGGATTATATTGCTCATTGTTAACAATTCTGTTCAGCACATTTAATATACACGACAAGTTTTTTAAAATAGGCATGCTTCGACATCTCATGATGCCATCTTCAGTATAAGTAAAATAATAAATGATTCAAGGTGTATATAAAGTAATATGATACATAAATTACAACAATAAAAAGGAAATAAGATAAATTAATGGGGAGTGTCCGAGCGTGTTATAAACTAAATATTGTAGTGAATTTATAACTTCTGTTCAGATTAATACTGACCAATGTATGTTCAATTCTTGAACGGAGAGCTTTATCAAGTGGCAAGTATTTCTTGGCCATCATATTACACGTAAGTACTTAATTTAAAACAAAAATCATTTGTCATGCTCAAACAGTTGTACTACATGAAACATTGGCTCTATGACTATAAGGTCACTATTGAGAGATTTTACATATTTATTGTCTACTTGTAATAACCCATTAAATGTAGTTTTGTCCACCATGCGGTCAATGAAATATTCGTGCCGTAAATAACAGAAAACAAATTGCTTTCTCTCAGAGTGATCGCCTGGATGCAAAGCAGAAACCGTTAATAAAGCAATATTACTGCTAGTGTTATAAAATGTATTTTTGTCCACCATGCGGTCAATGAAATATTCGTGCCGTAAATAACGGAAAACACATTGCTTTCTCTTAGAGTTGATCGCCTGGATGCAAAGCAGAAACCGTTAATAAAGCAATATTACTGCTAGTGTTATTAAATGTATTTTTGTAAACCATGCGGTCAATGAAATATTCGTGCCGTAAATAACGAAAAACACATTGCTTTCTCTTAGAGTTGATCGCCTGGATGCAAAGCAGAAATCGTTAATAAAGCAATATTACTGCTAGTGTTATTAAATGTATTTTTGTAAACCATGCGGTCAATGAAATATTCGTGCCGTAAATAACAGAAAACAAATTGCTTTCTCTCATAGTTGATCGCCTGGATGCAAAGCAGAAACCGTTAATAAAGCAATATTACTGCTAGTGTTATTAAATGTATTTTTGTAAACCATGCGGTCAATAATAACATGAAAGCACATTGCTTTTCTATCCGACTGGATCGCTTCATGCAAATCAGTAGCTGTTAATAAAGCCATACTATTTCTAGTATTAGGTATTCTTCGCAAATTCTTTTTCTGTTCCTTTGTTAAATAAAAGTTACAAAAAACTCTTAGAATGATCGTTTATGTTCATGAAGTTCAAAAAAACATGCGTGCGTAAATTTTACCGGACGGATAAGATGCCAAATCCATATGGCCAAATCCAATTGTTCACCAGTACATAGGTCACGTTAAAAGACTGGGTCGAGTGAAATGGAATTCATGAACAGTGTGCTGCCTCGCTGACGTTCAGCAGCAATAAGTTAGTATATTTGAATTTTGATAAATGAAATTACGCTCATTCTGGGTTACTTTTTATGATTAGCAACTCGCTCACCTGAGGAAAAGAAAGCGATCCGATCATAAGCAGTAAAAAACTCGGCTAGCACTTCGAAACATTTTTCAAGCAATGTTGTTGGGAGTTACTACTTGCGCATGCGTTACGATTAATAAAATCGACTCTCTAAAGAAATTAACAGTAAATTGGTAAAAATTTTGCATTTTTGGAAGCAAGAACTTGGGATGTCTTCTTAAGACCTTAGATATAGCCACATGCCTGTAAGGTTCATTTTATAAAAATAACAAAAAATTATAATTTAGCTCCCTTAACAATGCAAAAATAAAGTAAACATTAAAATATGCGACGAAACCTCTCGTTGCTTCTTGCGTTGTTGGAAGTTTTGGGAAGAGCCAACACCGCATGTCTTTTTGTAAGATTTGTACTGAACATTCGGATTTGTACTGAACCAATTCACTTTTCAATGCTGTAGCTAACCACGAAATTTGTGAAGCCAATATTCATATCTACATTTCGTAAATGAATAATGTTAATGATATAAAATTTACATAGTTTAGCAGGACCAAAACTTGCAGGCTGGCTACGCTACAGATTTTTAAAGTAAATTTTAAAGAAAAACAAAATGCTTACAAGTCTGAAAACCACAGACTGATATCTTTTGGTTAGCTTATGACTGACATTTGGTTTTAATATAGGCAAATAAATTATTTCGATAGGAAGTAATCAATCATCACTGATCACTTTTAACCATTGGCCGGTAACCATTGAACTGAAAAAATGGAGGGCCCCTTCCAGCCAAAAGTTAAATAATTTCAACCATTTCCAATCTTCCACGCACGGCCAAAAGAAAGTTCATTTTCAACGTTAATCCAGATTCTTGTAATTATCTACATACTAGTTGTCAACTTTTAAACTCCCCACCAAGTCCCCCTTTCCTGTTAGCTGTTACAGATACTCAAAAGGGACCTTTTATCATTTTTTCCAAATAATCTTTGCAGCGACAAATTCAGTGTACAACATATGTTTCAGTCGCATTTATAAACTTTAAGATATAATCTTACAGAAACCGGAAGATTTATTCACGAATTCAATGATTTTTTCAGTAAAGCTGTGTTAGAATTCATATAACCCATTAAAAACGATTTGCAACCTACGCTGGCAATAGAGTCTTTGCATGTGACGCATTGATGTGACGTCAAAGCAGCCATGTTGACGGAATACATCAAAGTATGTGGGATTGTGCGTCCTTCCTTGAATTGAATCATGCCATCAGCCCTCAAGCCACTCACATGATTCACCTATAGCTTTCACTTAATGCTTTCAACATGCGTTTACATTTCGAACAAAAATCCACTGACGACATTTGGTAATTCATGAAATCGTGAGAGGGCATTGGATAGAGATATCAAAATCTAATGAAATTTGGCCCCTTAAAATTTCGCCAAGGTTTAATGAATACTGCAAAGTATATCTTACCACGCCGTTTGAGAAACCGACAGAATCTTTTGATTTCGAGCGGCTCATATCATATGTATTTCCGTTAAGTATATCCGCGTTCACAGACCTTAAAAACAACCAATTTCTTGTATATATAGTCTAATTACCCTTCTTCGTATGATTTTTTTGAAGATTAAGCCATTTATTTAATACACGGTGTGTACCAAAAAATTTATCATATGAATATAAAAATATCGAAAATCAAATAGGAATTATGGGAACACCATATGTTTTTCAGCATCTTTCAAACACAATTGAATTAGGTTATTTTCTTAATGGTAAACGAAAACGTAAGTCTATTAAATGATTCAAAGAATAAATGTAAAAGTTCAAATTAAAACAAAATTGCATTAATTTTTCATCTCAACGTGAAAGGGTCGAGATTATTTTGATCACCTTGTGTGCTTATAATTGTCTTAATTGTTAATCCCATTGCGTGGATCAAAAAAATTAATTCACGATGTGCTTTGCTTTTGAAAGGTTGTGTAAACCTTTAGCCTGCTTTAATACCAATTCAATTTTCACCAAATATAACAAAAAATGATATATTTGGGATATGCTGCTGGCAAATGGGCATTTAAATTAGTGCGTGCCTGTATTTTGTGTTGTTGCTGAAAGATTGTTACTCGACAATGATCGAATGCATTTCATATTTCAGTTAGTTAGATGAAGTGAATATTGTTCACAATAAGTGAGTTAAAGCGTCGTTTTCTTTTTCCGAGCACATGTCTTAAATCGTTAGACCAAAAAATAGTAGGTTTTCCAGTTTATGTTGGCTCATTTCTGAGCATGGAATGATCAAATCAGAGCTAGCAATGACCATTTATATCATCACGTATGTTAAAGAAAAAAATCATTATCCTAAAAATGGAAAAAGTAGATTATGCCAAAGATGTTGAAACATGTCATTTTTTCAAGAAATGAATGTCGTTTTTTACTAGGCTGCGTTTACACTATATCGGATACGCTTGTCTGCGAAAAATGAAAAAAAATGCGGCTCTTTTCAAAATTCCAGAAAGTTTGGATAATTTTTGGAAATGCAATTAGCAAATATCGTCTAAGTGCCATTATGAGATCATTATCGATGATGGAATTTAAAAGCAATTCTTAAATATTAGGAGCACATACCTAAATCGTAATCCAATATTTCTTTATTTCCGAGAATATGTCTACACCTTTCAGCTGGAAGTGAAAAACACGCAGGAAAGCATTAATAAGTGGTAGTGCGCCACACTATTGTCACTTTATTTGATCAACACCACCAGTGGTTGGTTTTGAAAAACGCTTGGTTATCTGAAAGGTCGTCGGCAGGATTGTAAAATCATTATCGCCAGCATTAACTACTTATTGAGGTAAGGCTTAGAAAACGCCATAGTGAATGTACAGTAGTTTTTCGCTACATACAGCGTGCCACGACAAATCAATTAAAATAGAAATTGTTTTTTGAGGGTGTTTCAAAACTATGAACCAAATATCATTTACGTAACTTTTTATAATCATGCACTAGATAAAAAAACTTTACATAGCGTTTTTGTCAACATTGTTCGAAAAAAGCAATAAAATGCTAGAGCTCAAAATCTTAGATCTCCTTTATGTTATATGCCATGTTACAAGTAATACAATGGAGTCAAATTTAAAAGAGTATAAAACAAATTACCTATGCTAACACACAATGTTACTCGGATCATAAATTATTCGACTTTCAATTCTCTATAGATATAATGATGAACATAACTTTGATGATTCAAATGTTTGTCCAGTCGATTTTAATCTTGCTTTTCACTCATGAGGTCCAATCTATACAAATAAGAAAAAATTGCTCCAATACACAGCAAATAAAAGGTACGTAGAGATATCAAAGTAAATTGTTGACGAATTTGTATTATTTGTTGATATAGCTTTTACCCTTTTCTTTCTTCTTTTTAAAGCCCGCGTTTTTTTTGTGTTGATGTATTATGCGCACTGCATACGTCTTCTTCCGTCACACCGCCCACATATTGAAATTATATCCAAAAATAATGCATTATTAAACCATTCATTTAATCTTTTCGTCCTTTCATATGATAAAACAATGTAAGGCAAAGTTTCATTTCCATTGGACATTTATATAATGTTCATGATGCTTGTAGATATACTTGTCACAATCTGTTTTGTCGCTCAAATGTAATAACCACAATAACTGCATTTAAAAATATTTTTAATGCATTGCTTTCTTTGTAAATGTCATCCTATTATTTCAAAATTACTTCCTTATCAACTCGGAATATGGAAATTGATATGTCTGTGGTTTAGTATAATTTCAATGCGACACGCATACCACCATCAGTGATCGTCATATAAACAAAACTTTGACGTTACTTAAATAGTCTTGTATCTTGTTTTTCTTCCAATCACCTTCACGTCGCTTTGTAATATGAACTTCAAGGATAGAATGTTTCTGCCCTTTAAGCACTCAGCTAAATAATGTACAGTGACGTATGAGGAAATTCCAATTTATACTTAGGTCATTGGAGATCAAGTCCTCATTATTATAATCATTATAATGATTGTTTTTGTTTGTTTTGTTTATGGCATAATCCATATTTTGTTTTTGTTGTTTTTACATACCAGTGTTCATTTTAATTTTTCGAACTAAGCTGGTAAAACTTTTTTGTATACATAAATTTGTGTTTGTGATTTATTCCGAGACAGCACATCATGCAAAATTTCAATGAATTGATCGCCCTTCGTTGATCAGCTATATGTGGTCCATTTTAGCTTCACGAGAAATGGACCAAATAATCGTATTTATTAATTTATTAATTTGTGAACCGTGACTTGCGAATTATGTGAAAACAAATCTACATTACTTTTAATCTATATTCCTTTATTGAGAGTACGCATCCAAAGATTCCTCCACATAAATAAATATAATTCTACTTCATTGACAGTATATAGATCCGTAACTCGTAATTTGATTCCACATAAATTTGTTTTAACTAATAAGAATCTCTACAGTAAATTTTTTAGAGGGGAGGGAGGGAGGAGTTCCCTTCCCATCACTTTATACACTCGTACTTCCCTCTAGTTACTTGCATCCTCATACTTCTTCATACTTGATAAACAAAAAAAACCATTCATTTCATGATTTGACAATGGCAACGATGGATAGCAGGAAATATTGAACATAAGGGTATCACAAAATGCAAACGATCAATTTAGAAAAAGTTTGTGACCCTCCTGCTCAAGTGCAATCCTCGTTTATTTTTCTATTCCTTGCAGCTCCTCCAGTTGAATTGAGATACATGCTGAATTATAATTTGCACATAATATGGCTGGAAAATGCAACAATTGGCTACAATTATACACCTCAAGTCTGCTGCTTAATATCTGACCCGTCCCTTCCTAATGGTTGTCCAAAAACCTGTCCATATTTCATCGACGTAAAATCTTGTGTGAGCCACTCTGCTGTGCAGATTGGAACTTATCGACGATGCATTGTGCGAGTTTCAGAACTTTTTCGATATGGAATTCGCCTAATTAGACGCAATGTATGTAATATGACTGGCCAAACAGTATATATAAAGCCACAATTGAGAAGTAAGTAAAATATAAGTGAAAGTAATTATAATAGGTTAGCATAGTCTTTGAAACTTACAGTTATGACGTCATGACATCGTTGGTTTCAATTGGGACTTTAAACTTGTAAACCAAACATGATGTTCCCTTCTCGCAATGTTTTTTTTACTGAGTTTTTATTTATATTTAATGCTTTAGTAGCTTATCCGAACTCAGTTTCAAGACTTGCAGTCGAAAGAATAGCTAATGGCTTGATCATAGAATGGGCAAAACCTGATCGATTCATTACTTATTGGTACTTACTCTCGTGTAAAGAGAAAAGTGTGGTAAGTTTGTTAAGTAAAAGATCTTGAATTATTTTGCTTTAGTTAATAGTATTATTTTTGTAATAAATAAATTTTTAATTATACAATTCTTCCTGTTGATTTGTCGAAAAATTTTGTCTATGATTTTACATTGTCATGTATTTTTTCACATACATGTCATAAAGTTTAGTTATTTGTAAAATGGTATTTAGAATTCCAATTCAAAAGGAAGAGACGTAAAGGTGTATTTTTGCTGTGTTCGGGCTTATATTCCTCCATACAATCAATCAAGTTCATACTTTTCAGAGGTTTGCACCGACAGTAAACCTGCAAAAGGTACTGTTTTCCAAAATATACTGCACTTCGCATGAACACAGCAATTAGCATGAACTGCGGTAAGTTCATGCTAATTGCTTGTTCTCAATAAGAGATCAAGGTAAATAAAATATCTAGTGTGCTGGTGAATATCACGCTTAGCATTACTAAAGATTTTTATGGCTTGTGACTGATAATTTCATAAAAATTACATTAGTTTGATTATTGCTACGCATTGGAATCCACTGTCAACACTTTTCAGAATATTTCACCACATGTTGAATTTTCTTTTTAGAGTTGTCTGTCAATGTTAGATGTGACAAGTCTCATACGTGTGTAAATGCAACCGTAAATGAATTAATATCATTTAGTGGAAGGTTTAAAGTAGTAAGTACTAATATACTCACGTATCAGAGATCAGTGCTGCTGCTGATTTAGCTTTTAGACAATATATATTTATAAGTAAATTAATCAAAGATCTTCTGCTGCTGATTGAACTTTTAGAAAATAGACGTTAAAAACCTTAATGAAAACAACGTCTCTATAACGTAAAATATTGTTTATTATAAATTTTATGGAGGAGGAAACAATTTCTCTGCGTCTAGTGGTGGTGACAATTGACAAATGCCATTTACGTTTTTTCTTTGTAGGTTGATGATTCAAAATGGCCCAATTTGCCACCTTTAATACGTGTGAGGGTGAGGAAATTTTGAAATTAACAAAGGATTTATCCATTCAGAATAATTCAACGTTGGGGGTGGAAACTTCTTCAAAACAATTGTCATAATAAAATATTACATTCCATTTCCTTCATTCTATCTTAGACAACTTAATTTTCCTTTCTCATTGCTAATTATGAAAAACAATTTTTATCAGTGATAGCCTATATCATTACCATTTATTAACAGTTGTCTGCATGTTTACTTACTTGCTTGATTTTGCCTATTTTCATTGTTCAATCAATGGCAAAAATCACGCATTTCCAAACAAACAAAAAATGAAAATATTAAAACAATATACTATAACACATATATATAACACGTAATATTATGACAATATTTTGAACTGGTTACAGTTGATTAATGCACGAAATTAGTTTGTATTGGATTACTCTTTGCCATATTTAACTATCAGTAATGACGATATATAATGCTGAGAATAATGCAATATCATTAGAAATATATATGTGGAAAATATGTCGATTTTATGTTTTTGAATGTGAAGTCAAAGAAATTTTATAGTTTTCCTGTTGCAATGAAGAATGTTATATACACATTTCTTTATATCTTTGTCTATTTTATTCTCTCTACCTTGACTGGCAAATTTTACAAATTAACGAAAATTACGATTTTAGTAAAATAATTGCAATTAACGAATATCAACAAATGATTCTTACCTCTTGACGAAACCAATAGACATCTGGATAATGCATGTGAATAAAATTTTACAGAAATAAAGTTGCAAAAGGAAAAAATTTCATCAGCTGCTATAAAAAGATAAATTTTTGTCAAATTTCAAACCAGATTCTCATTAAGGTGAATTTGAAGTTATTGACGATTCGTGATATTCCCATTTCCCTTACGCTCATAATTCTTCTGTTTGCTTGTTTGCGTAGGAATTCCCACTTAGATATAACCCTTTTCTTGGTCAAAAATTGTTCTCCAATGATCCAATCCTCTAACTCTGAGACGATGTGTTTTTCAACGAAATCAACTGGTTTGATTACTTTTGTGTTTAACCAATGAAAGATAATGCCTGTTTTTTACAAATGTATGTCCTACAAGTTCCTAGCTTATATCGCAATCTTTCTCAGGCAGATAGCTTACTTTTGAAAAGTCAGTTTAAAAACTTGACTGGCGAAGAGTTGAAGACAGACTGACAGAAAAAGATTGAGTTTAGAGTTGTTGGAGTAATAAACAAGTAAATTAGTTGTGATCAACAACCTACAAAATATTATTGATTCTAAACAACATTTTTATTTGTATTACTTGTTAAAAATCACTCTAGCCTACCAAGACATTAGGTTATTAAATTTCATTGTCGCAAGTCGCAAGTCCTAACGATAGCTTGACCGTAGCATGACATTCTTAAATTTTGACACGGGGTGGCAACTGTTGTATGCTATTTTTGATGAAATATCTTATTCGTCATTATTCGTCATCAGTTATTTAGCGTTTGAATTTTCTAAATTTGCGAAATCATGAAGCCATTTAATAGAAGTTGTGGCAAGAGATTTGTTAGGCGGAAAGCGAATTAGTTTTCAATATGAACATGACAGCCCAACATATGAACATAAGACTTTTTTAAAAAGAGTCATTTCGAAGACAAAATAGAAAAGTTAAAAACGAAATTAAAAAATCGTCAGCGGACTCCATTCGCAGATTCACAATACTCACACTCAAATCATATGCTCATCATATGATCATATGACTCAAATGCACTCACAGCTATTTTCTTGACCAGCGTGCGATATACGATTTGGGAGACTTACTTCATGTTACCTAATTTGCTTGAAGAAATCTGCAGTGACTGCACACACGACACACGTGTGTTTCTAGCAATCGAACTGTAGAATAACGATAAAAATATAGAATTCGAAATGTCTTCATTGGAAAACCAGTTAAAAAGATTGAGAATACCTGACAGTAGCTCTTTGGAGACAGCAACAAAATTTAAAAAACGAACTTCCTTTTTGTTTGATCCTAAAGAGGCTTCGGACATTGACAACGAAACAATATTCGCTCTTGCTCAAAATGGTTTAGAAGAATTGAAGCTAGTGGATTCAAAATTTGAGGCATATGAAGCACTGCTTTTCAATGAATCGTCAAAGAATCTTGACCGAGGTTTGCAATCGCAACAAGTGAACGATAAACTTGGCAGTTATATAAAAGATTATCTATTATTTCTGTCACCTTATATTCTCCTTAAACCGTCTCAGAAAACGCTTGAGTGGTTGATTCGACGTTATCAAGTACATCTTTATAATGTGGATGATATGTTGGCGTGTGTATTTCCATATCACCAGTCTAATTTGTTTGCTCGTGTTGTTCAATTGTTAAACATAACAAATACAAAATGGTCATGGCTTTCCCCTGTTCAAAAGTCAGGCAGCCCTTTACCACATAGTACCATTATTCAACATTGCATTTCAAACCATGCATTCTTGTCTTTTTTGTCTGGAATACTGTTCTACATTGAAGGAAAAAACAAAAAAGGATATTCGGGGCTTAAAACTTTTTCAGCATTTTATGCATCGACTGTTGTTGGTGTTGTTGATTGTATTGATAGGATTTCTGAAGACATTCTGAGCTCATTGTTATCCCAGATTATTTATTGTTTGAAGTCACATATGTCAGATCTCAAGGCTACAGCATATATGATTATTGGGCAGTTGACAACGAAATGTGTTATGGAGTTGAATGTTGTTGAGTCTTTGCTAAAAACAATGTGTAAGGTATGTTCCACTTATTTTCATTCAATTTTTATATTTTTTTCCAATAAATTGAAATCTGATATGTGTGAATGAAACTAACGCACAATTTGAAGAATATGAAATTTTATGAAAACAGTTCTATAAACTTCAGCCCCAAAAATAAACTTTTCAGTTTTTCACTCTGTTTTCATCGGAATAACTAAGTAATATCACAAGAGAAATGCTTTTGTTGAATGAAATTGGTAACATTATGTGTCTTTCATTTATAGAACAGCTTGGTAGAACTTGCTGAATCATTACTGATGTGTATTAATTGTTTGTGTGCAAGTTATAATCTGTCTAAGTTTCCTAAAGTGTAAGTGAAAGAATCTTCTTTCTTTGAAATCTATTTTGTTGCAAGTCTGTCTTTGTTTTATGTTTTATGCTGAATGAAAAATCTGACTTCAATAAATTTACTTTTATTTTCAGGGTATATAATACTATTTTCCAGCTCCCTAATGTGGAATCTTTGTTTTCAAATTTATCAAAAAGATATGAAATGGATGACATTTTAAAAGTTCTGTTAATGGATCTTGTACAAAGATCAGTGGATAATAAAGCCATTAGCGATGATGTTATTCTTAGTGTACTGGAAAATGTTGATATTCATATGACTACAAGAATGGATATCATGAGGTGAAGGAGTAATGATGCATCTAATTTTGCTAGGGGAAGGTTAAGCTTCATCTTTATGTGCATAATGTTATCAAAAAACTATGTAAATTAATTTGTTGCATAGAATAATGTTGTTATTGCTTAATTCAGGGTAGTTGGTCCAGCAGTCATTTTATTGCCTGCTTCTGTACATGTGAATTAGATTTTTAAAATGTGTAATCAAGTAAATATTGATAATTGTTAATTTTTAAAGTTTTACATTTTAATGTTTCAAATCCAGTATTACAGCTCCATGTGAGTAACTAACTTTGGTACGTAAACTGTCATTGAATCATTGACTTGATGCTCTGATTCTTTTTAGATTTGCTCTAAGTAAATATTTAGCAAGAAGATCTTGTGAAAATGATGCCATGTCAACTGTTGAAACAAAGATAAAACCAGTGCTGAAAATTGTTGAAAATAGGTGAAGATCCTGTAACTCAATGTTTATGATATTTTTGTATGAAAGCACAAAAATACATCACATATGAATGACTTAAATGCAGAACCATGCATATATATCACAATTATACAAAAACTCTTCTCTGTTCACCTTTTTTATTAAATGTTCAGAATTGCTCTTTGAATGTTGTTTTTTTTTTGCCAAGGTGGCCAGGAGAATTTGACAAAGTGATACAAGAGTATTTAGTTAATATGAAGACGAGTGAAGTGTCTGAAGTTGAGAAGACACAAACAGTGGAGTGGATCCAAGATTTTGTTTCAATGATGCTGTCAAATATTAGTAGTCAGGTGATCTTGCTTGTTTATGACCTTTTTTATGGTTAGGTTAGTTTAAGTTTTATATTTCTTTGAAAAGGTCTTTAAATTGACAAACTTAGATAGCATGCTCACTTTAAACAAATGAAAATATAAAAGTTTATAATTAAAGGTGGTAAGTGATTCAGGATCGACCCTCATCATAGCAATACATCATCCTGAAGCAGAACATAGAAAGCTTGCATTGAAGAAAATTGCCAAGATTTTGAAGAATCCTGTGGTAAAACTTTTCTTCTGACAACATGTGCTTCAATCGAAAGTTACATTTGAATCTTTATTGTTGCAGAATAATACAGAGGATTACAAATTTTTAAAGGAATCCTTGCTTATTAAGTTAAATGACGAAGATCCCACAGTTGTTGTAGCTGTCCTTCAATTAAAACAGGTACGTAAACAAATTCCAAGACAGTGTGCGCTTATTGAATAGTGACTTTAAGATTTTTTGGGCGTTATTTTCAAATTTTTACTGTTGGTTTTAGGGTCTGATCAATGTTTTAGGTTCGGAGTCGCTAGTTTCAGCCGTGTTGAGGGTGATGGATAAATCTTCACGACAATGGTAACTTTTTTTGTAATAACCATACATACTTTATATTGTGCAAACGTTTTGATAAAATCTAAAGAGTACAATTTTTCTACGTGGCTTGATTGCACTGTTGGAGTAGGTCATAGGTGTAATATACTGAGTCTCTTCATAAAATGTTTTAAATTTTGAATAAGGAATGTAAGCGTAGCAATATTAGCGTATTATACATACATCTGTTTTTTTAGGGCAGAAGTATTTTCCGAAGCAGTCAACCTACTTTTAATGAAAGAGCTTCTCAAGGAAAGTTCAAGTGTTGCAGAAACCATATTATTTCAACTCCTGCCGTTTATATTTTTCACGAGTAAACATGTCGATCGTGCGAAACTAGTTGTAGAAAGTCTTGGGGAATCTCTTCTTAAGTCTCATTGGATAGTGAAGTGTTTACAAAGGAAAACAGTCAAAGAAGGTAATTTTCACTAGATAGGCTGAGGAAGATGAGATTGGTTGAGGTTGAGAGTATGTACGAAGAACTATTGTGGTCTGAACAAAAACCATTACGAAAGTATGCACATACATTTACTGAATTGACTTTTTTATGCCGGCATTCTCTGTGAATGATGAAATATCTTGTATGAATAATCTTTCTGTAGATTGTGATAAAACAAGCACTAGATAGTATCTGACACAGAGAAACATTTGTCAAATGTATATTCTTTTTTATTAGCTACATCCTTCCCTAGAGGAGACATGCTTAAAATGTCTCAGAGGGATTTTAAAATGAAAAATTAAAGTTAGGATATTGTAACCAGTCGTTTTGCGCTGCTTCTTATTTGATTTTTTTGTTTAGCTATCTGTAAATGCTCAGAAGAGTGGAGTTTTGAAGAACTTGCTGAATTGAACGTCAAAATTATTCAATGCTTAGCGCAGGAAATGAACAGCCTAAAACATGAAGCTGTTATGGAAAATGTAATTAGAAGTTTTATTTGGTCATGTATTTCGTATAATAGGTTATGGTTTGGCTTGCGTTTGTTTTGAATTTACTGCAATAGTGTAGCACTGTAATTGTTAGTATCCTCGAATATTCCATCCAACCGGCGTATATTTTAACAGATTTCAGTTTACATTTACACCATGTTCTATGACTTATCAAAAATCAACATGCCACTTCTCTTGCATATAATGCCATCTGATATGTTTGATCACGTTTTATAGAGTAGACTGGGGTGGGCCCAAACCAGTGGCGGACACTAGGGAGGGGGGGGGAGCTGGAGGGCTCGAATTTTCTTAGAAATCTCATGCCTTGTGGATATGAGCCCCTCAATATTTCTAAGAGTGTCCGCCACTGGCCATAGACTACACTTCACCACATCTTTAATAGTTAATTATTTCATTTAGAATGCCAACAAATTATTATATTTGTTTAGTTAAATAAATTGAATGACGTTGCAAGCAACAGAGAAAACTGCACATGCTGGATTATGTTCTTCATGCTTTGGTCATGCTATATATCAATTTGTGATGAAGAAAATGAAAAGTTTGCAGCAATATCTGCTTTCCTTCCTCGGTTGCTGACACTCGTGAACTCTGCCATAGATGATGAAACAGTAAAAAAGCAAAATAAAAAGGTGAGAATGATAAAGAAATGTTAACGACACGCACATATTAGAAATAACGCTGTGACATTAAAGAAGCAAAATTAGTGAACACAGTTAAAGTTATTTAACTGATGACTTAACGAAGTAACGTAGAAGAAGTTTTAAGAAATAGTTTGAATTAGCAAGTTATCGCGCGAATCCATAGCTAATAATCTGTTTATTTGTTGTGTAACATTGGTCTAACAATTTTATATTTTTGATATTCCTGCATGGCTTTGAACGAATTATCTGTTAAATGAACTATTTAGACTTGCCATGAGTTGGATCGTGAAACTGTTGGTGATTGTGAAGGAATTTCTGTTGAATTACTTACTGAATACCTTCGTGCATTGAAACGAAAGAAAGAAAAAAATATATCCTATGTTGCTTCAAAAGTCTTTGTGAATATTGTTGTGCATGTGGTTGGTTTCATTGCTCCCCAGAAACACGCATGGGGCACGTGGTGGGAAACTACTAAAAATGACGAATACACCAAAGTGAGAAAAATTAAGTGTTATTGTTAGTGTAAATGTTTTTGTTTGTGTGCGTGAAAAAAACACGCTTGCGTATGATGATTTTATTTTTCAAAATTTTTGAAAAGTACAGTTTTGTTCTCTGTTTCGTGCTCTAGATGCTATTTTCCATCGTTGACATGACTTTTAAAGGATTAGCAAGAGGTCATACCTTTCTACTTCACGATGAAGTCAATAATTGCTTCAAAGCACTCGTTAAGGTACCAATTTTCTAAGTCTCGCTGACGAAATGTTTCCCTTGATCACTGAAGCATTTCATATTTTTAGACGCAATTTCCAGAAAAGCTTTGCTTTCTCCACTTTTTACACTGTTATGGTCCAGTAGTGTGCGTTTTAGTTCTCAAAAGGAACAAGATATTCTACCTATCCCTAATGCTCTCATGGTAAATACAAGTCTTCGTGTTGCCTCCACCATGATGCAAACTCTAGATGAACAACAGATTACGACAATCACATCGGACATTTCACCAGGTTGAGATCGATGTTTAAAAATTCAAATATTTACCTTACCTTTTCTATGCATGTTATACACTTGTATGAAAAATCAAGCGCTTTAGTTGAAGACAAAAGGAGCGAGATAAAACGGTTTACTCGATAATTCATATTTTTTCTGATTATTGGTCCAAGAAATTGGCTTCATCAAATTCAGTGCTCTGTTATGGGCTTAGTAATGTTTCGTCAAATTTAATGGCTTTTTTGAACACTTGATTAAACTGTACGATGTCAGGTGAACTTTTCATTCTTTTTCAGTCAAAACTAATTGTTTTAAATTGCTAATATACACTTTCTAGTATTGCCATCTCTGTTGGTCTGTTTGATGAGTCCCGTTGAACTTATACGTCAAAGTGCGTTGGATGTAATATTTGGATTGGTTTCCGTATCACAATGTTCTGATAAAACTACTGTGATGAATTTGGCAAAACTCTTCGTTGATTCTACTCAAGAAATTGTTGCTGACGAAGCATTTATTAGCTGGTGACATACATAGAAAGTGTTGACTTACACGTGCAATCACTACAGCAAACACGTGCAATCACTACAGCAAACACGTGCAATCACTATACAACATTCATCGTTACAATTTTCCCTTCAAAAGGCTATTTCTGAACTCATTTATCTCTTTGTTTAGCGTTTTGCAGCGTCATCTTCAAACCAACAAAAGCAGCGACAAAAAGAAATCTCGGAAACGTGAAGTCCCTTCGGATATTTTGACTTACTTGCTTAGTCGTACATTTGCTAAAGATACACCTTCGTACATTGTGCGGTCACTTTTGAAAGCTCTTGTTAAAGTTGACTCAGAGGTATTAGTGAATGATGATCTTGTTGCGTTATTTCAAACGTTTGACGTTCTCATAATTCATATTTATTTTTAATATCTAATGCATTTAGCATTTGAAAATTTTGACGTTTGGAGAAATTGGTAACGAAAAGGAAAAATGCAGTTCATTAATTGAAATGATTTAAATAATCGAAACGAAAGTTTAAAAATGAAAGTGAACTTCGCTTTTGTGTTTCCTATAATAAACTCACACCAATTTATTTACGATAGTCTGAAAAATAATATTTCACTTTCATGAAATTTGAGGAGAAAACCCACAAAACGTAGACTTTTTTATGCCACTTTTGGTGTTGAAAATCATGAATAAGCATACAATAATCACAATTTGTATGTTATTAATTGTGTACGCGAAATTTTTTTTCAGCAATTTATAATCATGGGCAAAAGTATTTTTACGAAAACTCCAACGGATGTGATTAATTCAAAAGGTAACCACTATGGATAATTGTGTTATCCATTCATGATAATAAAAGTAAGTGTTTGTACTTTTCTTTATCTATATTCATACCGTATTGTTTTAAGAAATTTCATATGACGAGAGCATCGTGTTACTTCAATTGATAAAAAAGTTCACTCCACGTACTGCACATATTTTTGCTATTGATGTCGATTTCCTTGAAATTTTTCTTCAACTATTGGAAAGGACCAAACCCGGGTTCCCTGGTCACATGACACCACAGGAAGCCATTCTCAACCAGGTTGGAGAAAAATCTATTTTTTTTTTACAAACATTTTGTTGAGCATGTATTTTTTTGAAGTACAGCATTGTGTGTAATATTTCATGTATGGCCAGTCAGTGTTGCTTCTTAACTATTTCTTGCAGGTAATGACTGAATATTTCATAAACTTTCTTTATTTTTTTCCAGATAACGGCTGAATATTTTGCTTCATTAAATCACGAAGACATTCAAAGTCAAATTTTCAATAAGTTGATTGATGTCCTTCTTGATACAGACAATTTGAAAATATCGACGAAGATTAAAACCGTTTTAAAACAGGCAAGTTTCAATTGGTAGTTCTCTATCACATAGCAAACATTTGTTTCTTGACGATTTTTTCTTTTCTGTTTGTTCATGTCTTCCTTCGCATTATTGCATAGCACAGTATAAAGGGAGTAAATTATATGCCACTTCATTAAAATTTTTTTATCACATGCATAACGTATCTTAACATTATTGAACCCTGACGCATACATTTTCTGAAATTTGAAAACAATGAATGACCACAGTCAATCATTTCATTAAATATAAAAGTTATCCAATACAGTTTATTTCTTATGTTAAAAGATATCAATAAAGTCGAACGATACCAATTTATGATAATTAAATTATTGTTTAATGTTTTAACTGCTCGGTAACTCGATGTTAAATATTGTGTTAGATTCCTGTATCTTCGAATGTTGTCCTCAAGATGCTGAATAATTTAATGGCGGAAGAAAGACCAAAACAAGGGAAAAGGAAGAAATCTAAGTATATTATTGTTTTTAAGATAGTGTTTTTTTATAGTACGTATTTCATGTATTATTCTTATTTTTTCAGAGATGAAAATGTGGACGAAAGTTGCATTTTGTTCCTTCCACATTTGCAGAAAACAATTGTGATGATTGAAATGTTACATTCGAAAGATAACTTTAAAAACGCAGGAATTTTGCTTCCAGCTCTATTCAAGATACTCTCCGTGTAAATGTCGTCGTTTTTCATGTTTCAAGCTCAAATAGTACCAGCAGACAGAAAGTAATATTATTTTAATAAAATCATTGCTTTTAGATGTGTTGAGATGCAATCTCCAAACTCCGTGGATTATCTTAAACAAATTCTCCTTTCAACCATTTTAATGACTTGTCAATCTATTGTTGGTGAAAATAAATTAATTCCACAAGGTGAGTGTCAAGGTCGATTTGAGTTACGCATTGGACTATTTTGCGTTTGTTGCTACAAAAGTTCTGGTTGGGAAAAACTTTCTCATAGTTAAAAAACTTTTTATGAATGACTGTCGTATTGTGAAATGACATTTCCCAATATGTTTTTTGCTGACTTCAGGCGTCCTTAATGAAGATCATTTTAGCGTCGAACAAATTGTTCACTGTATTCGTGTGTCTGAGAATCCTCAAACTCATCATCATGCTCTATCTTTATTGGCTATTGCTGCAAAGCTCTTTCCTGTGAGTTACACCATACGTATAAGGACAATATATTATTACAATACTTTATGTTTGGTGAAAAAATATCTATAAGTATGCACTAGAGTTGATACTAATAATGATTATGAACAGATAGATTCTATAGCAATATACACATATTATCTGATCCTCGCTCTGGTACAAATTCAACACTTTTTTGAAATAATTGATTGAATATATAATTTTGCTTTTACGATTTATTTTATAATAAAAACTATCACGAACATTTTTAACCGTGGCAATAACTAAACATGTTGCGTTATATTTCCAGGAAAAGGTCCTTCATAATGTTATGTCTATTTTTACCTTCATGGGTGTCAAAATCCTTCGTCAAGATGATTCGTACAGCTTTCAAATAATCCAACAAACAGTTGAAGCTGTTATTCCAGAACTTTTACAGGTTCGTCAATAAAACGTAGTTTAACGTACGTAGGTATCAGAACCCTTTCCTGGGTATAATGATGTTCATTGTATAGTGATGTTTACTTCGTTTTTACCCAAGGGATATAAAAATAAACCAAATGGGCTATCTCAAGTGACTAAAGTGATGCGTGTTTTTGTGGATGCGTATCCTCATATTCCCGAGCATCGTCGTTTGCCTGTATTTGTTCATCTTTTGACAACGTTGGGAGCTCCGACATACGTTCATGTTTGTTTGGCATTGTTTCTTGGGAAAATATCAAGCAAAGATACAAAGGTATTCTTAATAATTCCCGAAGTAACATAAATATAACAGTGGTGATTTTTGCTATCTTTGATTCTATCTTCCGTGATAACCTTTACATTTGTCATGTACTTTTTGTTAGAGTGAAAACAAAGAGTCGTGTTTGGCATTTTGCAGTTTTTTATGTGCTGAATTTTCTCTTGAAATACAGGTACAGGCTGTTCGTTTTTGGTATAATTACGTGGTATTATCTTGTGCTTTCTGAGTATCTGGTTCATTTAATGAGGGGTCGTCTTTTATTTTATTTTAAGATGAAGTCTCTTGTTAGTTTGTTGGAATATCTGGCCACAATTCCAGAGCAAAAACCAGAAGGTTGTATGTTTTGTATTTTATGATTTATCTGTCAAACAATTGATTTGATTTTTGTATGTATATACATCCTCTTCCATGTATATTTAAAGAATTGTATGATGTTGTTCAGTTGGAAACGTTAAGAAAGAATAATATTTTGAGAACAACATTGTCAAAATGTATTTGATTACTTGCCTATTCACGTGTATGCGTTGCGTACCCTATTTTTTTTACTGTTCAAACAGAGCCTTGCACGGACTTGCCAGATCAGATCGACGATTCTTACAATATTTATTGAATGATTTGTAGGTTACAACAGGAAGCGTTATGTTGATAGTTCTGGTATTGTTTTTGATGTAAACACTCATTCGAACAAGGAATTACATCAGTTCAAATTAAGTGGATTGGAACTCATGTTAAATGTTCTTAGTGATGTAAAAATTGTGGTAAGTCTTCAGTATTTTATCGTCTGTTTTTAATTTTCGCAAGCTCTTTTCTTTTTAGGTTTCTATTTCTTTGTTTACTCTTATTTTTTAAGTCATTTTTATTCCATTATTGTTAATGATTGATGTTTTGCTTTTGTTTATATGAAAATACGTAGTCTCAGTCAAGTAATGAGAAAACTACAACAGATGGAGAGGAAAATATGTATTACAGGTGGAAACGTATTACATAAAGTATTTATGTTTGAGCCCCGTATTTCCTTTCATTTGTGTGTTTTTAAGTTAAGTATTATCATATTAGTCCTACCACAATTTTTATTCCAGAAAAAAAAGTGTTATTGTTTTTTTTATTTTGTTATCGGTAATTTTTTCAAAAGTAATTTTTTCCCTTCTAGTTTACTTGAAACCTGCCTTGCATACATAATCCGTAAATCTCATTCTGATAAGACAATCAACGAAGCAACGGAGAAATTCATTCGCGTATTAATACACAAAATTTATCAGATTATCGAAAAGGTACTCAATGAAATATTTCCTTGATAGTTATAGAAATTAATGTTAGTTTCAGGTGTAGGTAAGTTGTAAATGGTTTTTCTATTTAAAAATATAATATATAAAAAACTTATGAATAAATAAAGAATGTTTCACAGGAATAATATAAATCGTAGCTAGTACTGTCCGAAGGTAGCGGGCAAATTTACCGATTTGTGTGTTTGATGCTTTCAAGATTTGTTGTTTTGTTTCTTGTGTAGGTTTGTGACCTACTTCCTCAAACTGAATTCATCAGTATTACGTCACAGCTTCTACATGACGAGGACTTTCTCACGCGAAGGAAATGCATGGATTTATTTTGCAAGAGAATGCTCAGAAATACCTGTCCTTGCAACTTAGAAGAGGTCTGAATATTTTCTGCTTGCTTTCGGAGATTTTTGTGATGTTCAGCAACTAAAACATATTTTATTACATTATGTATATTTTAGACAGAGAAATTGTTGTCTCTCCTTGATGCTATTTTGCCTTTGATACAAGATACGGAAGGTTCAATATCTTATAAACAGTCGTTGTTCAAAAGTGTCGTTGTAATATCAAAGCTGTTAGATGCTGATCATAACATTTCGCTGAAGAAGGTGATCAACATATATTTAGTGTTAATTGTGTTAAATTATTACCGCCAGTTTGTTGATGAAAGGTATTTGTGTTGTTTACAAAACAGATAAAGTGAAAAAATCCAATTATCAATGTTTTTGTGCTTTATTGTTTACATACATGATTAGTCTTCAATTTAACTAAAAAGATTTTCGATTTTTGTTTTCAGGTATTTCCTGTTGCCATTGAAGTGGTGCATGATGGGGATGTAAAGGTAGTGACGATAAAAATCTCGATATCTTTTGAATTCTCTCTGCCTCCATCGATGGATGTCCATGTATGGAAAGATGCAATGTTATAACAACTTTCACGATCCAACTTTCGTAAAATCAGCTTAGTTGTTCAAGAAAGTATGTAGTACGTTTTTGTTTCTAATCTTTTTCAGATTGCCTCCACTGCGTTACATTGTCTTGCCGAACTATGCTCTTTGTTGAAAGTACACACAATACCATTCGTACCAAAGCTACTACTAATTATCCTACAAATACTCCAATGCAAGGAACGTGCAATGAGGTACTGTATAGTACATTTACACGTGCACTTTGTAGCGATTTTTAGATGTTGTGGAAATTGACGTTTTTATGTAGATCTCAAACTTTGTGGATGAACTGTTTGATGCTTTTGCAAAACATTATCAATGATTTGCCAAACTTTCTCAGTCCATACCTTAAAGACATCATTCTACAAGTAAGAAAAGTGTTTTGAACCTTTTGATTATGCGTAGTAACGTCTTTCGGTAACTAAGATGAGATGTTCGTAGCTCCTGTTAAGTGTTATGTTTCCATGGAAACTTTGCAATGTTGTGACAAATGGCGACAAGTCAAACGTCTCATACATAGTGTAAAGTTTCCGGGGGGGTTGGATGTATGCAATTTATGTTCGTCTTGATTTAATGGTTCGTGTATGTGCATGAAGTTTTAACATGAACATTAATTTTCATGTTCAGCTTGTTGGACCAAATTTTGCGAGCTTTGATGAACATGGATCGGAGAAAAACTCAATTTGGCGGAAACAGATTTCAAGCAGTATTGTGAGATTGAGGTAAAATGAGATTTTTTTAACGAAACCTATTTATTCATTTAACTAACCTGATTAACTCTTTACATTTCGTAAAAATATTTTTCAGAGGTGACATTGCTGTCAGAGTCAAGCCACGTATCTTAATTCCAAAGATATCAAAATGCTTGGATGAAATTGTTTCAAATGAACAAAATGTATGATGCACAATACGCTTTAACCACTACAAAGATGAATATCTATGATCTCCATTCCATATCTGTGATGCGCACAATGTCTCTTGATGTCCATTGTGTATCTATGATGTCCATAGTGTATCTGTAATGTCCGTAGTGTATCCATTATGTCCATAATGTATCTATAATGTCTATAGTGTATCTATTATGTCCACAGTATATCTATGATGTTCATAGTGTATCTATAATGTCCATAGTATATCTAAAGATGATGTATTCTTGATGTCTTTAGTGTATTTGTGATGTCTTTAGTGTGTTTATGTTTATTGTATCCATGGTTTGTTTATTGTATCTATGATGCCTTTGTCGTATTTGTCATTTCTATATTATAAGCGTGTCAAAACCTTTACGTATTTAAATTTGAAATATATTATGTATTTTTTTGTAGAATTCATTAACTGCCTTGTTTGAGTTGGTTGATAATTGTGTAACTAATATGACCAAAGAAGATGTGGCGAATCATCACAATGAACTTCTGTCAATGTTTGTGTCTGCTTTGGATTATTGCTCCCGACATGTTGAGGTGCTGTGATTTTATTATTTTTGAATTTAAAACATCAGTTGCCTTCAGTTCGGCAAGAATCTTGACAAAAAGAAACAATTGCTTTTTCTGGCAAAAAATTGTGAACATTTTTTTCTTACAAGGTGAATTTTAGTGAACAGACAACAGCAGAACGTAAACTAATTAAAGGTCTTTGTTTATTGCAAAAATATCTTTCATATACTAAAAAGAGAGGTTACGTCATAATTTTAGAAGAAATGAATTTCTATGGGACACTAAATTTTTGAAGTCATACTTTTCCTTTCAAAAATGGTAAAGTGTATGTCAAGGTCACAGCTTAATTTGTTGTCGTCATTTGCTATAAACCATGTCCTAGTTCTCATTCATCGCAAAGCGTCGCATTTTTAATGCGTTCTCATTAATCGTAAGCGCTCGCCGAAGTTGCAAAAGCTCTTTCGCCGACGTTTGGTGATGAATGAGAACTAGGCTTGATCAAAAAGTATTTAATACAACGTTTCTAAAATCGTTAAGTCGTATGTATGTTTCTTCTGTTACATTTTAGGATTCTAAAAATGAAAACTCGTATAGAAATGAAGAATCAGTGATTGTTGCTTTTATCAGCTTAATCATGCGATTGTCAGAGTCTCTGTTCAGACCAATGTTTTTGAAGGCAAGTGTTAAGCAAGACGTTGTTCTTTTCCTTGTTGTTGTATCAACTTTTTCCTTAATCTATGACGTATTCAAATAATTATATAGTTAGTGGATTGGGCGACAAAGTCGTCTGCACCAAAACAAAGATTATTGGTGTTTTATCGCTTGGCTGACAGGTAAAGTCCATAAAAACTGTGTCAATAATGTGCTATCTTAGAGTGAATTTTGTACTTTAATGACATTGATTCTTCATTGTACTTTTTTAAGAATGGCTGAAAAATTGAAAGGTCTATTCGTCCTGTTTGCTGGTTATCTTGTGAAAAATGCTGCCATCATTTTAGATGAGACAAATTCTTCCAAAAATGGTAAGAATGAGAGTCCATCTACTTAGAAAACTTAAACGTTGGTTTGCAATACTTAAAAGCCCAGAAAATAGCTTATAGTATCAGACAAATAATTATAATGAAATAGTAATAATAAAATACATTAAAACATGATTATTTAACTACGTAAAATAGATAACGGCTCAAACTACTTTCACTCTAAAATTAGAATCTTCTCACGCACTTTCGGTCTGATGTTTGTTGACTACGTTTTTTCTTAAAGCGATTTTTTTACTTTAGAAAAGACATTTTTTTCAAATGAATATGAAGAAGAAGAAGCGATTGAGAAGTCTTCTGAACTTTTGGATTATGTCTTAGATTGTTTGTACAAATGTTTTTTGTATGACAATCAGAGATTTGTGAACAGGGAACGTTTTGATAGAATGATTCAACCGTTAGTTGACCAGGTATGATGCATCACTCTGATTATGTTTCAAAATTCGTAAATTTCTCATTCTTCATGCTCAATGTATATAACTGACTTGGATAATGTTCTAACAAAAAGATAATTGACTTGGATAATGTTCCAACAAAAGATAATTGACTTGGATAATGTTCCAACAAAAAGATAATTGACTTGGATAATGTTCCAACAAAAAGATAATTGACTTGGATAATGTTCCAACAAAAGATAATTGACTTGGACAACAAAAGATAATTGACTTGGATAATGTTCCAACAAAAAGATAATTGACTTTGATTATGTTCCAACAAAAAGATAATTGACTTGGATAATGTTCCAACAAAAAGATAATTACCCAGACTAAATATAAACCTAGAAAAAATATCAGTACATGCAAATCCGTTTTCGTAAAATTTTGATACATTTCCGTACATACAAAATAAAGTAATGCAAAGTACATCTTAAGAATAAGGTTTTTACAATTTGCAACGTTCAAGAGCAAACTTTCCACCTGAAATATGAAATTTATCTTTTACAAAAAGTTTACGTACTTTATAAAAAGTTCTAGTTTCTAGGAAATCTTGCTGCAAAATTTTTGTTAAACATTTTAAGTAATGTTTCAAAAACATATTTGATTTTACACATGTAGATTGAAAACTTGCTTGGTCATTCAGAAACGTTTGACAAAAGAATATCACACCATCTGGCGCCGTGCATTTCACAGTTTGCTGTAGCAGCTGGTCAAGAGATATATTGGAAACCTTTAAACCATCAAGTTTGTTTAAAAACTCGACATTCTTCTCCTCAGGTACGAACTACTTTTTCCATACCACAGGGTGCCATGCATGGTAATGACGTCATCTTGCATGCACTATTGACATGAGTAAGGAAAGTCATGTCAGTCATTCTTTAGATATCATTTATCAACTTTCCTGGAGTTGTATGGAAATCCTTGTTAATAGTTTTTTGAACAATAATTTGCACTTCATCGCTTTTTCAAAGTATGCTAGAGCTTCGTTTCATCGTAGAAGTCAATATTTGCATGTCGTGAAAATTTTACTAATTTGCATAAGAAAAAATTTTAAATCAAAAAAATAGTGAAAGGCTCCGTGGCACTCTCTCTCTCTCCGAAAATGCGAAATGTATTAAACATATTCAGGTTGATTCACATTATGAATCAAAAAGTGTTTGATTGAAATCTTGCATCATCCTTAGATCCAGGGCCGCAACTAGAACGTTAGTTGGAGGGGGGGTGAATGTTCATATAGTCAGCTCTCCCTGGCTGATTTCTTTTGAAATTAAAATCGCTAACAAAAAAAGCAGACGGGCAGTGCTGAGTATATGAATATCCCCTTGAATAACGTTCTAGTTTCGTCCCTGCTTAGATCTCCAGCTTGTAACCGTCAACTTGAGGTAGTGTATTGATTATAAATCTCTCAAGCATTCATTTTACCTCATGTAAAATTTCGGCACAATTCTAGAGTACCCTGCCACAAAATGGCATGAAGAAGCATCAAAAACATAAATTTCATAACACAGAAACTATTTGTAAGCGGGAAAAATCATGCAATATTTTATATAATTTAAGGTTCGTTTAGCTGCGTTAAAAGTTATACAGGAGTTGAATCGCAAACTTGGTGAAGAATATCTTAGCTTGCTTCCTGAAATAATTCCTTTTCTTGCTGAGCTTATGGAAGGTAACTGGAGTTATTCAAATTAGTATTTATTTAGGCTGAGCAGTTGAGGCCACTGGCATAAGTTTTGATTACTTCTTGTGACCGCTGACTAAATGTTAATAACGAGATGTATAATGTTCATGTAGACGAATCCTTTGAAGTGGAACAAAAATGTCAGCATGTTATCGGCGAAATGGAAGAAGTACTCGGTGAATCATTGCAGAAATATTTTTAACGTTTTACTGAATGATCACGTGACTTGTTACACCATTTGCTGAGCGTCAAATGTCATTATTTTGCCGAACATGCATGGTGTTAACGTTGTACAGTTATACTGACAGCTATAGAGTAAAGGATGTTGATAATTGTATTTTTTTATACCATTTATTGTACAGTATTTTATTTTATATAATGAGTTGACAACGATGTGTGTAGCTATGATGTATTAAATGCTGTTGAAATAGTGAGGCTTTTATGTTATTGTACTACAGGGTGTGTAAAAAAATTAAAACCCTTTGAAATCACACGAGGTTTAGAATTTACAGGACTCAATATTATTGATTATCAAGTAGGCGAAAAAGCAATTTAAAGAAATTTCATGCTTGAGATATGCAATGGGTAGTAGCCTTAATTCGTATGTTCTGCTTATAAATATTTTTTGCCTTTTAGTCAATGTGTACATCTAAGATAAAGGTCATTGTTCTTTATGTCTTGTTGTATTAATATATAAGTAAAACCTCAGTAGTGAAGTTAGTGTTAAATGTACTCGAAGTCGAAAGCCGAGGGAGTTTGGGTAAAAGTCACGAGGCGCGCAGCTCTGCTTTATTGTGAAGGTTGTGTGAAATTCTCAAGAGAATAGCTTGTGTGCTTCTAAGAAAGCTATGGTGTTTTAATAAATGCATGTATAGCGGACAATATTTTACGCATCCATTGGCTTAACATGATTGATGGTTCATTGAAATAGAAACCAAGGTTAATTTCTACCCAAACCGAACAATTATTTAAATTCCCGATGAGATAATAGTACAATTATAGACTTAATAAACCCAGTGATAGATGATTTTTGGAAACGATTCTATACTTATCATTAGACTAATTTATTTCAACTGAATTCATATTGCTCAGTAAATTTCAACTGAACCAGTCATAAGCTTATTTTACTCGAGTGAAACAAGCATGACAACAAACGAAGGCAAATTATTAAACTAAGATAATCAACAAAGCGGACAACATTTTAAATCGAGATTAACGCAGACATAAAGAAAGGACTTCAGCATAAGTCGAAAAACGAACAAAAGGAGATTATAAAAAAAGTAAAGATTTGTTTGTCGTTGTAAACCTCCAGAGAAAAAGACACAAGAAACTTTTTTTCTGTGATAAGAAATATGGAAATTTGACTGTATATAAATGCTGGTCAAAACTTCTGTTGTTCATATCACCTTGTTAAAGTTCTGCCGAGAAGAAGATGCAAGTAATAATTAAAGGTATTTGCTGTAAAACGTCGAAGGTTTTGATTATATTTATTTAACTGATGTGGTTTTTTTATTAGACAAGTTCGGACGTACTCAACTTCGATGATTCAAATGGCGTGCCTTTGAATGTTTGTCTGTAGTTTAGATTCTTTGTGAATGTTGTTGATCGGATATGTAGCAGTGACGGGCCCCACTGTTATGTGTGAGGTCAACGACATTCACTCAGAATTCAATCTGCAGTTGAACATTCTTTGAAAATGCGCTTTGGACTTTCAACGCTTCTTGCGTGAAACGAAATTTATGGATTGCGAAAACTCATCGATATAGACACTCAGATAAATTGGCTTTAACTGCCTGGTCAAAACAGTGACAGTAGCTTAAACAATGCGTTTCTGTGTTTTTGACGTTCACTGTAGTCTTTTCGGTGTTGGTCTGGTACTACTCGAAGACTGGGGATGGTTATTGCGGTATGAGTTGACTGTATCCTGTGGTCGGAGATACAAGCTGGATAAATATGACGGTCCACGATAGTCGTATATGGAACTAGCTGGTATATTATGGTACTACTATAAAGCGACTTGGGAATAAGATCCACGAACTGGTTGTCTCCTTAAAAGAACGGTAACTGGATGATGTTTGGAGAGCAAATTTTCTAAGGATAATCTTGATACAGACGAAGATGATGACCTGGTAACGATTCAGGTTTATAGTACGTAGTAGATGTAGGTAATGTAAGAATTGCATTTTGCATCCAAAATATCCTCACAGTTTGAAAGCATGGTTTATAGTACGTAGTAGATGTAGGTAATGTAAGAATTTCATTTTTACAACCAAAATATCCATACAGTTTGAAAGCACAAAAAAGTGCTGTGGATATGATGTTGATCCCAGTGGTCTTAATTAAGGTCTTTATTGGCAGAGATCAGGTCAATTTTCTACTATGTTGGACAATTGATTTCTTAGCAGTGGCAAAATTGCGGCTTTTTTGTCATCGACCTTTGGCAATGCTAGATTTTTGCACACTTAAAGTTGGCGCAATGTTGATTTGCTAGATATCACTCACTTTTAAGTTAAGTGCATGTGATGACTTTGGATTTAGCCATTTAGGTTATTTCTGATCACTCCAGTTACTACAGAGATCAGTGGTCTTTTATGTATATTGTAGTTTCTTTTACTGTCAAAGCGTTTTTCTTTGATATGCTGGATAGTTTTTCATAGAATGTTCTTAATATAATGTTTTAAAATATATTTCATTAAAATACTGCCATAGTTAACTGTCATTTTAGAATCAATCCAGAATCATTCCATATTATTGTTTTCATGCATTTCACGATAGGTCATTGTGTACTGTCACTAAATATTAAAATAGTTTACTGAACCTAAATGTCATAAATTTTATGAATTTGCGTGGTAATTGCAATAGTTGGGTTGGGTCATGAGTGGTGTTTCATATTTTTTTAACCTACACTTATCTTAATGTAATGGCATAACTAATTTTATTTTAAAGTGAATGTTTTGGACCCGGGAATATCGTTACATTTGTCTCTGAAAATTGCTCCTAAGGTCGTCAGAACGTTCATATAGGCCTTTTGATTGATGTTGAAACTGGAATGATCAGAATTACTTAAAATTCAAAGGAAAAAATAAATCAGTTTTAGCGTGTTTGCGTACTTTGAAATTTAAAGTTTTATGCGTTCAAACGTGAATGCAAGCATTAAAGATCTCTGGGATTAACTTTCGTCTACAAAATTTCAAAACCATAGCAAAATTTTCAAAATGCCTAGAAAACAATCCGTTGAGCACTTACAATATCAATTTTCTTTTTTCGGTTGGAAGGTTTTTCACCGGATTCGCTGGTTTTCCTTCCATTTCGTTTCCACGAAAAAAAATGATGTCCATGTTTTGGGGCCAAAAGTCAACTCATCAAAGTTATGTGTAGATTTTCTATGATTCAAATTGTTTGGCCTCTGGGTTAGAATCCCAGAACACCACACGAGAAAAAGCTATGCATGAAATACGTATCACATGCAAGCAAACAACTCAAGCTCATTCATCTGGACAAACTAATAACTAAGCACAATAACCTAGGTATGCGAACAATTGAAAATATTGTACGCACGGCGCACCAATTTGTATGTACAAATTAGAAGTATCTAATACTGCGTTGAACTAATGTACGCATGGTGCACCCACTTTTATGCTGATGCTCAGCAGTTTTCGTCATCATGAAAAAATATTACCTGACACCTGTATTTGAAGGTTGTAAATAATTTTGCAATACAACAACGGAAACTAACTGAAATATGCACTTGGTATCACAAGGAACAAATCTTTCTTGTATAATTTATCTTTTAGTAGTATTTTCGAGATGTAGTATTCGTAGACATAAAGTTCCCGCGGGGGAGTAGCATTTATCAGATGATCACGTGACGTTATCTCTCGTTCAATTAAAACAACGAGGAATAAAGATTTAAAGGACACATTTCATGTAATGATGGTGATAATTATGACCTATGATATCTTGTTAACGTTGCTTCTTTTCACCGGAATACTCGATTTATTTGCATGATTAGCGACCGCAAATATCATCCTGCTCGCTAGGAATCCTCTGTGCTGTCATGTCTTGGATATCTAGCTTTACTACAAAAAGACGATCGTCCACTTTTGATACTTTTTTGTGTGGAAAACATCGAACGGACGTTGAACGATTACAGTGCGGTAAATCGACTTGTGGTGTGCGAGAGCGATCTTTAACATGGCATGGTAATGGTTTAAACGTAGAAAATACACGACATGCGTATGGAGAAGTGAATGTTAAATATAGTGACGAGAAAGCGTTGAAAGAACAACTTGAGAAGATGATTACTAATGAACTGAGGAATCATTTAGAGAGTGTTATGGATCCAAAGATTGAAAATGATTTTAACGAAAAAAGTGCTACAATCGCTAAAGTGATCATTAGAAGAGCGAGGAAAATGAATATGGGTTTGAATAAAAAGATCGTTTCGAGCGTTTTTATCGGAGAATTGAATGGTGAAGATGTCAACTTGTCCAGTCAATGTCTTTATGATCCTATTCAAGACACATTTTCCTCGGGATATTTTAGATCGGCGAGTATCTTTGCTGTTGGAACTTTATTTATAACGAATTTAATCCAAAAACAATAAGCAATTCATCGAAGTCAACTAACAAATTGTTCCGAAATTTATTACCAGTAACGATATATTTCATCTTCGCAGTTGTGTTTTGGGTTGTCAAGAATCAGTAAGTCATCACCTCATGTTATGGTGTTCTAATGACTTTTTAATGTTGTGTAAATGATAGTGTCATTTTCATCAAAGAACATCAAAAGTTACATCATTTATACGTTTACTGGTGGATAAAAGTATGATTGATGTGATTACGGAGTATTTAGTTATTAAGGATATTGACTTTTGTTCCAGTTGTATTTTCAAGCACTTCTGCACTACCTAGTGGTGATTTTCAGAAATATAGTTAAAGCACGATTTTACTTTCTTTGTATACAAAACATATTGCAATAACTAAGCGTCTAAAAAGAAATACCATTAATTTATCAGTTTCCAACCTACTTAACGCTGTGGGAAGGGTTTTTGTTGTTCCAAAAAGCAATAGCTAGCCTTTGAAATAAAAACAAAACCATTAAAACGTTCGTCAATCCTGCGCCGTTATGTTTTTGTTGTACTAATTTTAGCTCAGATATTGCTGCACAGCGGTTATTTTAGTACTAATTGCCCCAGCCCCGTACTCCTTGTGATCTCAATTCAAACATCATTGAAAAGTATCTTACGTGTACACGAAAAGTCGTTACTTAACATGAAGATGGCTCCATTAACCTAAACTTGTTTTACACGGTCCTGCAAGTACCTACGAGTGGAATAAACAATGAAGTTATTCATAATAAATGCCAAATACTGTCCCAACAGCAAACAAACTTTCGTTTTTATACGTGGCTGTTCCTAAGTTATCCTGAACCTTGTCCCAAAGACATCGACTAGCGACTCTTACACCTTGCTCTGCAATGGATCCCATATCCACAGTGCATACTATCTTGTATCGTGCAAAACCCATTTGTTTTACTCTATGTCGGATTTCATTTGCAAGAGATACAACTAAATGTCTACATTTTTCAGGATCATATTTCGTATTGTCCAATCTTTCTTCTAAGACGTTATAGACCAGGTTTGAAATATCGGCTGGTTTAAACTTCTGATCAGGTTCCATTTGGTACGTATTTGCAAACTTCGAGTATAATACCGAAAGAGATACAGGATGGTTGTCAAGTAAAGTCGATGTATGACGTGTTGTTGAACCACATTTAATAAGATTTGTGCCGTGCGTATCCCCTGATGTAGCAATTGACAGCCTTCTATCCTGCTGGTGACTTCCACCTTCGCTTAATGAGGAGCGTCGACTATTATACGCGCGATTCATATTCAGTGTTGCATCTTTTGCTATATTTCACGTTTTTGTCAGACAAAGAATCGCTTCTGTAAAAGCAGGAAATCGAAATGTGTACGCAAGGCTTAAGAGACTTTACTTTTAAACTCATATTTCAATGCAAAAACTGTAGTCTCATCTTCATTTGCACAGAGATTAGTTTGTGAGCTCAATATTGTGGTTTGAAGGATTTCGGGTCTTTTCCATTTGTGTACGTTGGCTTTTTATAATGTAGCCTTTCAGTTCAGGGGTTTTATTTAGGCAACATATGTTTACTTATGTTAGGTCTCACCGTCCCATTACTTATCTCCAGTCGACAAAATAATCCAGGCTCATCCTGCAGAATTAATTTTATTTTTCTCACAATGCTTCAGAACTAAGTTTGTTGATTCTTACGTTGTACAGCTTAATTGTAAGACTTTATACTTCATTTAACATGTATGTGTTCCTCTAAATAAGGTTCGAACCAGTACAGACATGTGGTTAGAAATAAAAATTTATCTAAACTGAGCATGTCCTAAGTTATCATCTATTCACCTCTAGTAATCATTGCAATTTTAAATAATTATTTGAATGTAGCTTCATCAAACAGGACCTGTATAGCTATATTTATGCCTTATACTGTTTAGCTAACGTTTTATCGCCTTTATAAAAGCATTTTGTGTTGCAATAATCTTCATTTAGCTGGCTACAATTTATTTGGTTGCAGCTGTCCCTTTGTCTTCCGTGAGTTCTGTGTAAAATATAGTTCTCGTATACATACTCGTGAATGATTTGACGTCAAATGACTTCTAATAAGCAAACAGTCAATAACTATGTAGTTGTAACAAGATTGGAAAAAAGCGTTCTGTTAGTCCACCCAGGATCGCTTTGACTGTAAATGGCAAATATTGTCACAATGGCGTAGAACTCTTCATTTTTGAAAACAAAATCCACATAGGAATCGCTATCTACGCATGTCAATTTGCTATTCCATAATAAACGACTTTCTAAAAACATTGGAGGCTTATCAATAGAACTCAAAATACACGTGCAAACTACCTTATAACGTTCATAGTTTAGGACTGCCATCTTTTTTTGAATATCAGTGATAATCTCTTTGCACAGGTCGTCACTCTCTTTTCTTCTATATTCCATGCCATTTAGATGATATTCAAGAACTTCTCTTGCAAGATTTCGAACTATGTCGTGTTTAAAAAGTACTTTTTCATTTTGCTTGTTGCTATGTGTAGTCTTCACTGATTTATTAATTGCTTGATGTTTGCTTTTCGGTTCATCGCTGTGACACAAAACTGCGATACCGTGATCAAGAAGAGAGTATTCAACAGAAAACAACGATTGTCGACGACGAGAAGTCATTTCATCAACTTGTGAAAGTCTTTTTCTTCACTGCAGGAGTTTAGAAGTTTAATGCTTTTTAACTAATATGACACAACTTAGGTTTTGCCAGTGAAAATGTGAAAAGAATCAAACATTAAAGGAAAAAAACATGATACGCCAGATTTAAAGTACTGTGAGGTTATAAATTTTAAATTGATAAATAGTGTTTTATATTATCATTTGCAGACCAAAAAAGTTCGTTTGAGTTACCTCCTCACAAGGATAAACAAACAGATGTTTGCTCATTAATTAGTAATGTCTTATATCTTTGAGTATCGTTTGTGCTGAGCTTTGATAGAGCCATTTGCATCGTTTATAAATGGCTAGCTTGTTTATAATACTGTTAAAATTAGCAAAAATGAACTTTGGTGTTTTTGAACTATATAAATTAAATTTATCCACTATTTATCTTGATTCATAGCATTAAAGAAATTCTTAATCTCGCTGAAATATCTCTCCTATAGTCGCTAGTAAGTCTTTATTAATGCTTCCTGATCTACATGCATTTTTACCACAAAGATGGATTTTTAAACTTCATTAAATGAATATATGTAGAGGAGGAAATATAAGGGGTGTTCTGGCCATTTCCAAAGAGAAGATTTTCGTCCAAGATAAGGAATCAAATATTGTTCATCTTTAGTGATGCATGAAAAGTTTTCTGTTTATCATCAATTTCATCGTTGATGATTCTTTGTTTTAATTGTTTTGTAAAGTCGTGAAATAAAATTTTTGTCAATTTTTACTTGGTAAATGAAGGCGTTGTAGTGTTTTATGAATCTATCCACACAGAAGGGAAAGTAAGAGAAGAAAGTTTGCTTTTTTTTAGAATGAACAAGATTTCGAAATATAACCTCAGGGGTAAAGTTTGTTTCATCTCTTTAAAAAGTCTGAACAAGATATCGTTGCCGTCATTGTTGTTTTGTAGTACATATAACCATGCATGTATTTTTTTGTTTTAATTTGATGTTTGCGAATGGAGTTTGCTAGCTGTTCCTCAATTCATCACCTTTTAAAATATCGATGACTATCGACGAAGAGTTTGCATAACCTCTAGTAGACATATCTTTCTGACATTAATCATTCCCGCTTATGATTAAACATTTTATTCAAATCTAAGATCTTTTATATCCTATGTAAACTTTCGATAATTCCAGCATCGATTTCATTCATATACATGGGATTACAATTCTTTCAGAGAAGCTTTATTATATTTATCATGTGCATTTTGAATAGTTTACTTCATGCACTCTACGCGCTAAATCAATATCACAGAATTCTGTTGCAATGAATAGGGAGATTTGTATGCAGAGAAAGCGGTTATTTCATAAAAACCCACCGGAAATAAACCACATGTAGTCCGCGGTCTCCATATTAAGCAGACTGTATCATTATATACGCTGTAAACCGCGTTGTAAAGTGTCAGTAAAAAAACGGAAACTACAAAGTAGCTATACTCATTGCTGATGTTTTCCAAAAGTTCATCTTTGCTGGTTTAAACGCAATAATGATGTCGGACAGTCGGACTGTCACAATTAAACGTTTACACAAATGGCGTGAAAACACATTTGGTCAATATTATTTTGAAATCTTCTATATTCAATACAACATACCTACATTAAAATGAAACATTACCATCGAGTCATTCTTTGTTACAATTATCATATATGTTGTACATTTATTTACAAAAAAATTCTTCCAAACAGACTTTCCATGCAGCTAACGTTAATATTTGTTTGACACAATTTCTTCAGTAAACTTACAATTATTATATTTTAGTTATATTTCCACACGGTCATCTCCAAATAATGAAAGACAACGTTCGATCTATGATCTACATAGTTACAAAATAAAAATCAATTCATTCAACTATAATTTTGGGTTATTATAATTCATTACATATATATTATAAAACGATTTTGATACAAAATGTCTTGTATCCTTAACAAATCATATACATATTTATTTTGTCCTTCTGTTTTTGAACAAAATCACCTACATTAGTCTTTTGGGGCAAAAAAAATTCGCCACAAATGCTACAAATTTTTTGCCTTGCAATTTTTCTTTTTGGAAAAAGTCTCAGGTGTGTACCTAATTATGTTCAGGACTCTAAATTCTGTATTAAATATACATAGGTTATTTTTTTGCGGTTTTGTACCCGCTATACACATGAAAATTTGAAGAAGCAAAACCTATTGATTTTTAACTACGAAAGTGTGCATTTCCATTAATCACGAAATATTGTTTGCCATGACATGCATATAATCGACTGTGTATTATTCGTGTCGGCTTCGAAGCCGCTTCAATGTTTACGCGCAATATACTTAATAACCTATTATTTTCAAACTTGAAATTAAACTACTTGAAATTGAACATGTAACCGCTATCACGCGTTGCTAGGATTAAGATACTATAAACAGTAAAAGCATGCTTGAATGCACTCCATGGCTAAAATACAAAACCTTAATAACATTGTCAACGTATGTTGCTTCATTTATGATCAACAATAAATCTCATCATAATATCTTTCAGTTAATCGTTTGCTGTTTGGTTTCCACAAGATAAGCTTTATTTTCCCAAACGGTTGTTTTTATTTTTTGGGCAGTACTTGATAGTATGTGACTCATCGCCGGTAGCCTTGCACAATGGACAAGTGTATGCTCGAAGTATTGGACACACAGTTTTGCCTTGTGAATCTTTAAGAACATGACTAGTGTACACTTTTTTGCTTTCGCCATTGTTACGACAAAACACACAAACATTCTGATTGCGCCTTCCCACGACAATCTTGCTGACATCTGCCAATGCAGGACGCCCTCCTGTACCTGAGCTGTCGTGAAAGATTCGTGCTGGAGTGAATCCGGGTGCTAGAGATGGACTTGTTTGGAGCGATCCTCCGTCTAATGTGTCGAAATCGCGTCCTCCACTTGACGTATCGCTCCATACATCTGAATCCATGCTATCCAATCGACTGCGTTCTGTCGCATAACCTATCATATCTCCGTAACTATGCTGCGGATGGCTTCCAACCTCACAATTTTGAACCAAGTGAATGAGACCAAAATAGTCGCGGAATAACCGAAATTCAGCTTCTCTTTCATATTCGGAGATATTTTTCCCCTCTGCAGCTTTAGTGTATTTTATAATTTCCTTATCGTAAAACAGTGTCAACATTTCATCTCCCATCGTGCTGAATTGATGCGAAATGCTTTCCAGTGCAACTGATTTGTAATCTCAATTGTATATAGTATACAGTTGAAAATCTTACTTGTAAAGATTCAGAGTATCTTCTCTCCTTCGCTACTTGATTGTATAAATTTTGGCGCCTTTTCGCGTCGTTAATCGTATGTCTCCGCGTGTGATGTTTGCGACAATGCTTTGTCTTCGACTGCAGCGTTGAGCAATCAGCATACAAACTGACGGCTTTTGCAAATGCATTTTAAATTATGGAGCACGACACAAAAGGACATGTGCTTGCTTTGTTAGTGTACATTATACTTTCCTCTCAGCCAATCAGAGAAAAGTTAACTAAGTACACATACGTTTAGAGATGAGACGAAAGTATCACTCGTCTCTTCTCGAGCAAAATTTGAACCATAGTTGGCGCATTGTCTTCACTATTAATAGAGAATGTTAAAATAAACAAATTACGTTTTAAATGGATTTTTTTACTCGCTCAATCTTGACTGCATAACTATTTAGTCTTAATTTGCTCAATTAATATTAACGTCACGCTAACTTATCTCCTGTACATATACTCTTCAAATTGTCTTAACGCATTTATAATTATGTGTAGTAAACTGTTGAAGCTACTCCTCTAGAAGCAAAATAACTTTGAGTTTATTTAATTTTTATGATGTATTTTTGCGTTTATGTGTTATGATATTTATGCATGATATTAACGCCGTTATATTAGTTTAGTGTTGAAATGTCCTTATAAATTGAACAAACAATATTTTGTTCTGAATATGCTATTGAACCAAATCAAAACAACAAAAATTTTGCAGACAACGCGAGAAAAATAACGAAAATGAGAGCTCTTCATCCGCGACAATAAACGTGGTTAAACTTTTTGTTGTCTGATTCAAATTATACGAAAGCGGCAGGCATGCCGCGGCTCTTAAAGCTAGCTTGGGGACGTCATTACACTTTTGTGTCTTTGCTTAGTTGCAAAGTTGAAAGTTCATTTTGAGTAATTAGTGTAAACTTTCATGTTTTAACTTCCTTGGATACACTGATATGTTAACCCATATTTTACACGAATTAAATTTTCCCTGCATTGATAAATTCCGCATTCCGTAAAAGGTATTTTGACAACAGCATTATTTTCATATTAATATTGCATAGTAGAGCTTGTTACAATTACTCATCAACCAAAATACTCTATGGCGCTGATCACTTCGTTCTACTTTTACAGAATATCTAATGATATTGTATTATTGTCCATTTTTGTTTTTGCATGTGGTGGCACCTGCAAGAGAGCGGCAGCTGTCGTTCTTATCTAATGCAAATGATAATAGAAGTGTTGTAGAATCGGCCCCATCTTCTCAATTAATTCGCATTTGAACATCTTGATACGGCAGCCTTCTTACTTGGAAATAAACTACTTACTTACTTACTTACTAAATGATTGAGTCATTTCAATATTTGATCAAAAGCCTACTATCATTATCAATAATTCGTAGAGAGCTATTTCATAATTATGTTCATGAGAAAATATAGCATGTAGTTTCATATTGTAGATCAATACATAAAATTATTTATCGCGTTGCTGTCGTGAGCATATTTAAACTTCAGTTATACAAGCAAAACATGTGCTAGGGAATTTTGAAGAACACGAGTGTGAGATTAAGGAAAGAAATTAGTTCCTCTTATCGGAGACAGGTAGTTAGTTCAGACGCCTTTCCTCACAGGATTAAATAACCTCACGATATCCAGACAATCACTATTCAGGTCTTTGCAAGAAAGACTGCTGCAACAGTTGTAATATTTCTTTTGCTCATATTATTATTAATATACAACTGTTCTTTGTAACATAAATTTTTACTATCGGTTAGAGATATTGGAGTAATTAAACGGGGCATTTCATTGTAGTACACGTCTTCACAATTTGATCCAATGCAAGCTTAAATCATTACGTTCTGTTCAGAGGAATACCATTCTTGATGTATTTTTGGCTATTTGACCTTCGTTATGCAACTATTACCGACTTTGGAATATGAAAACAGCGGTTGGCTGTCATTGTTGGTCAATATACTCATCGTCCACCGTGACGATAAGCTTGATGTCCAACCACAGACAGATAGAATTTTTAATACCTATAATATTACCAAAAGTCAACAAAAAATTTGGAAATATAACAGATAACATTTCGTTCAACACTTAAGATTATTATATCAAAATGATTACGAAAAATGTCTACTTTTTAAGGTCTCTTCGCCATGATATAAAGATATTGCACTTGCTGGTTTACAATATTCCATAGATCTAAAATGCTGGAAATTCCCACACTAAAGTTGTAATAACTTACTAATGCATATTTGCATCATCTGACTTTTTTATCAATATTGTTTTTACTTTCGACTCTCTCTATAAAAATTGAAAGTCATAGGAAATTTATTTGAACTTGACCTTCAAACTTCTGGCCGACGTTGGTTGACTATGTCTATTGACACAGTAAGAGCACTTCAAGTCATTTAGATGTCGAATTAGTCTTCAGCTTTTCTACAGCTTGGCAAACAGGCTGCCTCAGCAATAGTAAATTATTTGTAATTTGTCAGCTCCCTTACGAGGTTAGCAAGCTGGCATTGATTCAAAGTGCCCAGAGTGTGTAATATCACTATTAAAAAATATTATTTCTCTGTTAGCTATAGCCAGTTAGGGTGCTTGTTCTCACACTCACAGAAAAAAGCCCTAAATGGGCCTTATAAATATAACGAGGTACAACATAAGTAACCAAAGACTTCATACAGTTGGAAAAATTCCCGAAATTCTCTTCGTCGACGAGAAATGACAAGACTCGAAAATGCTACGGGGTTACTGCATTTGCGTCGTTTTTACATTCAAGAGTAAATTTGACAGCGGCATACTTTTACTTCAGTATAATGGTGCAATGTTGCGACCGTTTATAGGCTGAGGAATGCAAACAATACAGCCTACAAACAGACTTCAATGAAGAAAAGGGAGGGGGGAGGTTGCCAACCCTCATCCATGGGAAGGCTTGAAGTAAGCAACACAACAAGAAATGTAAAATGGGAGTGGCACATTTGAAAAAACGTGTACGAACTGGGAATTTTATTGGCATTTTAAATCACGTCATTGTTTTTCTCATTGCTTGCTCATGAGATTTTTCATTTTGGCAATGTAAAGTACCCTCAGGAAGATGTCATAAATTCAATTATTTGTAAATATTTTGTCCGTTTCAACTTTTTTGGGAACAGATTTCGTGAATTGAGAGGAGGGTGGGGGTGCATCTTCATCCATTACAAACCTTAGTTACAAGCTTGAGTTTTACCAAGAGTTTCACCAAAAAGTTGCCGAATCCTTTTAATTTCATGGAAATTTTTTCACTTGAAGTTTTTTACTTGATTATTAAATTGTAGAAAGTTTACCAAAAGTAATAAAAAATATAATACACAAAACTCTGGTATCGTTTGATCAGATGGTTGTTCTCATTGCAATCACTTCATTGAGTTGTTCCTTTAGTTGTTTCCTTGACAACAATAACAAGACAAAATGGCCAAGTAAAAACAGCGATATTTTTGTGGAGATCTTCTCCATGATATATATGATTTGAGATGTCGCTGGAAAACTCACAGGATATTTCTGAAGAGGCAACCGCACCTTCAGATATTTTGCCATTATTTTTCACAAGTAAAACACAGGAGATATTCGGTTGTGTTACTGATGAACTTGTCACCGCCGAAAATCCGTTCAAAATCATAGAAAAGAAATTAATTCTGCAGGATTTCAAGGATCGAGCGGCTGTTTCTGACTTTCATCCAGCAAAGGCGATTGTACAGGTGAGTTGAAGTTGTGTGCCTTAATAATCGTGAGTTGGAAATCACAAAACTGGTCCTCCATGTTCTGACTGTCGAATTTCATCATATGAAGTTTGTTTGATGTAGGAAATGTGTAAAATTGTGTTAAACATTGATTTATCAATTTTATTTAGGAATATCCTGGTGAAGAATTGTTAGTTGTCTATGATGCTGAATTCAAGTATGGACAAAATTTTTATTTATGCACCACTGAAGAATGCAAAGAAAGAATTTTGCATGTAAGAATTTACAGTATCATTTACTGAAAATCTTGTTCCATGTATTCCTTGTATCTCTTGCAAAAAAGAAGAGTTTGGTGCAGTAAATATAGTACTGTACAGAAAAGCTCATTAAAGTATAAAACTGTAAAATATACTGCAAATAGGAGTGACATGGTACAACTCAGGACTTGGAGAAAGAAAATACACAATATTGTGACAACCTCACTTGACTTTGAAGATGACTACTGCTAAAGTTTTTGAAACCTCAGTCAACATCAACAGTCTTCTCAGGACTCTACTTACATGGACGACCTACATCAAACTTTTTTACACCAAATTCTTATAACAAATACAACTGCAAACATTTTCTAAATTGTGAATTTGTGATTAGTTTCAAGTTTAATTTCTTGCATCTCTTATTTATTATTCTCATATTTAATTTATTGATGTTATATAATTTATTTATTGTTTATTAGTACAATTTATAATCGTTATTATTGTGATATTCAAATGAAATAGAAAAGTAGTTTGATGTCAATTAACTCTTAACAAGAACTTTTAAAATATTAGCCTGAAGTGTCAGCTGAAGGCGAACATGAAATAGGTACAGAAGAAGAAGGCGGAACACAAGAAGAAGATATTGTTGTATGGAAAGGACCAGTAACACCTAGACCTTGGGAATCTTTTGGTAGTGAACTTGAGGTTCAAGAACTAAATGTTGTTGAAGCAAGAGAGAGGGTATTGAGATATTTTTTCTTATATTTGTTTTCTTCTAATGGAAAAATTTTAACGTTTCTTTCATGAAAAACAAAACGCTGATGCATATTGGTATACAGAACTGGGAATGGGTGTGGCAATTAAAGTTGGCTTTTTGGAAGAGTGGGGGACAGGCAAATTACTAGAAAAGTGTTAAGGTGGTGGTTTCACACTTATAGAAGGATGTTCGTTTTCCCAACAAATTCATTGGAAGCACAATGTCTCTTTAACTGCTGCATGCCTATGCAGTGATGTATCAAAATCGCTTGTGGTTCTTTGTTAATCAGTGTGCAATATAATTCCCCATAAATACGTGTGTGATTTTTTCCACGATTTTATGCTTTAGTCGTATACTTTAATGTTTTGTTGTTTATTTTCATTTATTTTGCTTTACGTATTTCAGATAAAAATTCGTATTTGGCGCAAACGCAGAGAATTTGGCGCTCCTATTAAACTTTCTGATCACTCTGAAAAAACAATGAAAGATGCTATTGTCGAGTGTCTTCCCTTCGAAGATAAATGTTATAGCATGAAGAAACTGATTTTGGATAAAGGAAGTCAGGTATTTTTCTACTTAAGTGTGGGGTAAAAATCAAATATCAGGGACATTGTATTATCCGTTTAACATTGGATGTATTCCGTGTACATATTAGTACCAAGTAAAAATTAACTGTACATGATTTTCGTTTTCACTTAAGGCAATTTTACGACAAGAAGAAAAAGGCTCACAGACTAAGTGGTATGATATATTATCGCGGTTACACAATTATTTTGTGCTCTGTTATAAATACTTTAACTAAATGACTTCCTTTCCTTCCTTGTTGTAAAGTGCATATGACACGCAAATTTTGCTATTTAATATATATATTTTCACTAAACAAAACTTTTATAATGACAGTGTACTTTCTAAACTAGTTCATGCATATTTTCGTTCTCTAGGTATAAAAGTTTTTGTAATGTCCAATGTACGTAACTAGTGACGTCATATTGCATAATTAGTCGTGGAAAAGTTTCAAATAATCTTCAGTTTCAACTTTTGGTTGAACTTACTAGGCAGTAATTCATATCATTTACAATGAAAGGAACTCTGCCCCTGTGAAAATAACATATCAGCAAATGTAAAGTCTAGTTCTTATGATGCAATGTAAGGTCACTGCTTGTTTAAATTGGACATTACAAAAACCTCAATATCTTGAGAGTAAGTAGAGACAAGCATAAACTGGTTTAGAAAGTCCATTTTCATTTTAAAAGTTCTGTTTAGTGAATGTATAATTTAAATAACAAAAAATGTGTATTGCGTACGCTTCAAGGCAATAAAAACTGTAGTTTAAAGCATTAATCCTTATTGTGCACGTAACAGGAAAAAACCTCGAAATGCTTGGGTGCAATATGAAGCAAGATTTTTCCCTGACAAGGAAAGAATTCAGGAAGAGAAATCACCAAGTTTACTGGAATTTATCAAGAATGTTACACCAAGGTTTCTATTATGAAACATAAATGTTTACAGACAATTGTTATCAATTCTTTTCTCCCTCCCCTCCTCCCCCATTCATTTGAGCCAGTTCTCTTCAGCTCGAGCGCTGCCAAGCACTGTTATATTAAATGAATGCCTTTGATTGATTGACGAGAAACATTGCTAACGAGAAACTGTGTCATTTTCAACATTTTTTTTGCGAGGAAAATTCGCTCGTTTGATTTGTTGTTGAAACAGTATGATGACGTCACATTCCTCGTCAGAAATATTTTTGGTAAAATAGAATATTTTAGTTCTATATAAACTTAGGTTTGAGTTGGCTCTGCAACAAAACGAAATCATGGATGTGTTTTATGATGATTATCTTAACTTGGGTGACGATGATGACGCTTTTGGATCGAAAGCAGATAGTTGTATAAAGGTACTATAAGATTTCATTACAAAATACGACATTGGATAGCTTAAGGATACTTGATAAAAAATTATAGTGGTCTCGTATGAAATGTAAAACTTTGGGGGTTTTTGAAGGTTTGCTGTTTTCTCCGAAGAATGTATTGGTCTATAATCACTATTAAAACTAATTATTGTTTTATTGAAAATTTTGAAGTGGATTGCTATCCTAACAATCTACTTTTAATAAGTAAATTACTGAATAGGAAATGCGCTAGAAAACTTTAGAGGGAGAAATGATGCTAGCGACAAGTTATAAAACAAAATAATCAATTTTTTTACGCATTTTTTTATTCATTTGTTCTAAAACCCAAAACTTCTCATCTTTCCTTTTTCAATTCTTTATATACTAATTATTCCTTGCTCTATCAATTCCATACTAAATAATTCTAATTATATCAATTTAGTACTGATTAATTCCTATTACATCAATTCCGTTTTAATTAATCATTATCGTACCAATTTCGTACTAATTACGGGAAAGTGATCACCGTAATCATATTTCAATTACAGTATGAATTATTTGTACGTCATGATATACATCAACGTTCTTAAAATTTTGAATGTAAAATAATCTCGTTTCAGGAGTACCAGTCATTTACGGACCTGTTGTACAGTAAAGAAAAAGTCATTACTCATGCTGAATGGCATCCTACAGCTAAAGGTATTTGATTTTACTGTCATAGTTCAAGTACTAGTTAATGAAGTTGACTCATTTGTTCAGGAATTTTCACAGAGGCGACAAAGAATAATATGACGACAGAGTTCTTTAAAAGAGGCAAAAAATCACCGTTGATTTATTTTTGTTGTATCTGCCCTTTAGGTATAATTGCTGTTTCATGTTCAGAACAAATGTCTTTTGATGAAAGGGTAGAGCAAGCTTCAAGGATTATCATGACACCCTCTTTAATATTAATCTGGAGTTTCTCTGATCCAATACACCCTCAGGTATCCCATACATCCTCAATTATCCCATGCACTAGTCCTATCCACGACATGTTGAACTTAACTGAAGCGAGATTTGGCTCATACTTGTGTAAGAGACTTCGCCATGGGCGTAGGAAGGTCGATAATTAGGGAGGCTCATATTCATAAATAAATGAGATGCACTGTTAAGCTCCTTTGAAATTTATTGTTTTCAACGGATTATACAATGAATTTATGAATATAAGCCCCTCCTAACCAGTGCTGTAGAACTAAATTTATCAGAGGGCGTTCTCTTGACGAAGCTGAAACCATGAAATTATGAAAAATTACCCATTTCAAAGGTAGAAGGGGCTCCTCCCCCAAGCGCCTCCCACTTCTACAGCACTGTTCCTAACTATCGATCTTCTTACGTCCATGAAATTCAGGCTTGCTTTTTCTAGTTAAGTATAAATATTTACAATTTCAACCTGTATAAAGATTTGGTGAAAACTGTCATTGATTGAAATGAAGCCTTTGACCTTAAGTTTGCTTTTTTAACGTTGAAACAACTCGGCTCATTACACAACTTCAACTGATGTGAATTTTTTCTTTTATTTTAGCTTCTATTGGAAGCTCCTGACGACATTTTTATTTTCAAATTTAATCCATCAGAGCCTACAATCATTGCCGGGGGATGTGTCAATGGACAGGTAAGAACGGAAGTAGAAGGTCCATGTACGTAACACGTGTGAAGCACGTGTTATTTTTAGACACAAGCAAACGTAACGTAAATGTTTAACCTTTAGGTTGTATTGTGGGATTTCAGTAATTGGAATGATCGCTTACTTAGTCATCGACAAACGTTGAAGGCAAAAAAGAATACAATGACGTCACTGGTCAGTTTCATTACGTTTTCCATGTTGTAGAATATATCATTATCCCGGATGACATTAAAATACGCACGATGATGAGAAATAATCTAACTTTGATAAACAGATCGTTTCAATATGTTTTGTATTTCATCAGCCCGGATTTGAGGACGATACAAGCACAGAAACTCCGATTGTTCGTTACTGCGCTGTTACAGCAATTGAACATAGTCACAAAAGTGCTGTTTCAGACCTGCAATGGATTCCTGATCACATGGAAGTATGTCTTCTCATACATGCTATTTTTGTTTCTATATACTAGACATATGGACAGAATACATCTTATATATTCTGGTGTTTCAGTATTGATCGCTGACCGAATCTCCGAATCTGTTTTTGAGTCCCTTCACTATTGAAAAGCTAATCATAAACGATAAAGTTATGATATTGTCTTTGTCAGCAAGATCATTAACTCTGATTTATCTTTCAATAACCGTGTTAAGCATGCTCCTTAAAATTTTTACAATCCGCCTTTATGACGGCCTTGGTCCAAAGTTTCAGTTTTAAACTCATCATTTTTTGCTTTGCACATTCATCATCCATCCGGGATATCGATACTGAAAACGTAACATGCATCTATTATTGCATAATTGTTTAGATTGGCAGAATGGGAGTTGTTGTTGAGAACAAATCTAATTATTGTCATCAATTAATGACTTGTGCTGCTGATGGGTGAGAGTTGATGATATTTTATAACTAATATAGTTTATCACAATTGTAAAACTTGATTTTTGATTCGATTGCATGATTATCTTTAACGTAACGACTGCATAGTTTATTGATTGATTACCAACTATCGTTTATTAATGCGTTTTTTTCTTCGTGCTTCCTGCTCGTTGCCCGGTTTAGAAGTATATTATTTTGGGACACAAGACCAAATAAATCTGCTCATCATAGTCAACTTATGTCTCCTATAAAATCTCCTATTACTCCAAATCCAAATACTTTGAAGCAATTGGACTTGACTTGGAAATATATTCTCAAGGTAGAAATTTATGTATTGATAATCTTGCAAGATTATTTTTTTCATGTAAATCAGTGAGAAACAAAATCAAAATTAAGTTACATGTGATTGGAGTTCTTACGGACTTTTTACACCAAAATACTCGTAAACTCATCTCAACTGATCATTGATTGGTTTTCCTAGATAACAGTTGGTCATTTAACTGGTTCGGGGAATTTTGTCCAACAAAATTCAGCATAGCCGAGAAACATGGTGATCGATCGTCGAGTATGGTTTTAGATTGTTTAAACTCCATCTTGAACTTTGTTTTCCAAGAATGCCTTTATTAGTAATCACATAGAACCACTCTGAATTTGAAGGTTGTGTAGTGTAGCAGCAGGAACGTAGGCAGTATTTATGAAAAAGTGGGAGGCGGGTCGTCACTTAGGACGTGTCGAAAAAAACTTATGTTGCTGTCAGATTGTGACTGGGAGAACATTGTTTTACAATATGACGTGTGACTGGTAGAACTTCATAATATATTTTACGCACAATGTTTTACGATTTTATTTGTAACTGGGAGAGTTTCAGCAGTAGATTATTAGATCAAAAAGTTTGCCTTTAGTTGCCATTATTTGTTTCTTGTATATTTGTGTCATTCATTGCATGTTATTTTTTTGTTTTAGTCAATAAGCAACCGGATAACGATGTCGATGCAGACTTGAACCTAAATAGAACGGTGTCCATGACTGGCAAAAGAGATCAAGGAAAAATATTAGAAAATATTCCAACATTAATGTTTGTTGGTACCGAAGTATGTTATTATGTTTATCATACAACCGATTAACTATGCAGTAACGTATGTATATAACCTATTGTTCCTATGTAAATAATATATGTGTATAATCACAAGGTTAAATAGTTGGAATGTTATTAAACAAAAAGAATGATAGCACAGCGCTATAACCAACTTTCTTCCTGGAAGGTTAATTTCTCAAATGTTGTTAGATAAGGTCGTTATTGTTTGTAGTTGTTGGTTATAGCGCTGTGCTATCATTCTTTTTGTTTATATGTGTATAACCTATTGTTCCTATGCAAGGAGTAACGTATTTACCCTATTAAAATATATTGCAAAAAAATTTTGCAAACACCATGCAGTCCTAAACATGAAACCTCCAACAGTCCTCGTAGATAAACACTCAATTAATTGTCATTATAATTTATATAGAGTGGTGACGTCGTTTATATGGATTGGAAATTATCAAAAGACAGCGACAGTGGCAGGTTTATAGGTTGGTAACTGGATAGAAATGCACCCATAGTACTTAAGTTGCACCACATGCTGGACTATGACAAAAGACTGCGACATTGGCAGGTTTATAGGTTGGTAACTGGATAGAAATGCACCCATAGTACTTAAGTTGCACCACATGCTGGACTATGACAAAGACAGCGACAGTGGCAGGTTTATAGGTTGGTAACTGGATAGAAATGCACCCATAGTACTTAAGTTGCACCACATGCTGGACTATGACAAAAGACAGCGACAGTGGCAGGTTTATAGGTTAGTAACTGGATAGAAATGCACCCATAGTACTTAAGTTGCACCACAGTGGCAGGTTTATAGGTTGGTAACTGGATAGAAATGCACCCATAGTATTTAAGTTGCACCGCATGCGGGACTACGATGTATGAAATAAATAAAAGCTTGGAACTGATAAGGGTGAAGATCAAACGAAAAAGATTCATATTTGATTTTAATTAGAACTTTGCGAATTGTATTCGTTTCAATTATTTATAATCAAAGCGATGGCCACCAGAATAAAATTAACCAACAAGATTAAAAATGTTTGTAAATGATGATCGTCCAGGTTAATAAAGTCCTGAGAAGGACTGTTTTTGTTGTTGTTGACTGACGTTTCGACAACCTTAGCGGTAGTCATCTTCAGAGTCATTTGACTCTGAAGCTGACTATTCAAACCATTTACTTTATTAAGATTAAAAATGTCAACCACAATGAAAAATTACCATTATAGCTAAAGTTTATCTTTTCTATTATATCATGATATAACATAGTAACATTTTCAATGACGGCTACTATTTTAGCCATTTTCCTTTGTATTATATGGATATTCTCTGTGTCTATATGCAGGATATCTTTTTATATTTAAAACAGCGAACAAGCCACAGTTGGTTTTGGCTGCTCACGAAGGTCTCGTGTGCGCCCTTGTACGGTCACCTTTCTTTAAGGACATTCTTTTATCTGTTGGTGGTTGGACATTCACAATATGGAAAGAGGGTGTATCTGTAAGTTCTTAGCTATCAACGTTTCTCATACTTTTTCACAGTTGTTGAACTATCTTTCATTACTTAGAACGTCTTTATGAATTGTCATAATTTCTGCTTATAGACTGGTTCATTACTTGAGTCAGCATCATCTCCTGTTAGACTTACCGCAGGAGCATGGAGTCCTACGCGACCAGGTATTCTGGTGTCCTCGGTTGTTTTGTAATTTGAGCACACAAATTTAAAGATTTTTTGCATTCATTATCTCATCACCTCCCCCCCCCCCCAGGCAACACTCATTTTTGAGGTTGAATTTATTTCTTATACAAATTTTGTAAAATCAAATGTGTCGTTGCTTCGTTTCATTACATGCATGCTAGAGGTTAAAGCTATAAAAATACCCTCACCGTGATTGACTGTGGCAGACGAAAAATTTAAATATGTGTACTATGGGTTTTTCTCATTATCTCATCATTTTACTTGTTTACAAATATTTGTTCCTTCGATGTGTTTATTATCATTGTATACTCATAAGCAAACACAGAATGTGTTTGTTTATTTTGTATGTGATGTGTGACACTATGTCTTTCTTTAGGTGTATTTTTTGTTACTCGTGCAGATGGCAACGTGGACGCATGGGATTTAATGGATAAGTATGTATTCAATTTTAGAATTAGTTTCACTTGTGGTTTGAATCTACTAATTGATTAACTTTTCTGTTTTTAATGACTGGGTTGTGTGAACGTTGACAAAAGAGTTGGTTGTATTTGATAATAAAAATTCTTCCTTTCAATAATGTTTTAACGTACAGGTCACATGAACCATCGTTAACACAGAATGTAACTGCTGCTTGTATTACATGTTTAAGTCCTTTTCAAGTTTCGAGTAAGTACTCTCTACCTTCATTTCATATGCTGTGTTTTTGTGCTAGCATATATACAAGAATTTCGTTCATGGAGAATTCCTCTAGATGGTCATTTATGCATGATATTACAATATGAAGTATGAACACCTTTCTTTCCTTAAATAATGGCATACCAGTATATGATGTCAACCACAAATCTGCTTGTCTAAAAAGCACCGAGGAAGGATCGTATTACTCTCCCAAAGTTTCTGTGATCTCTATGAGAATTGAATTTTATATAGCTGTGAATTCTATGTTTTGAATCTTTCTTTAATTAGAGAAACTAGACCTGTTGACACAACTTATTGTTGTCCGGTGCATTTTGAAAAAAATAAGCACAGAGATTTTCATTTTAATCAAAATTCTCAACGAAACATTGATTGTATGTTTTGTTTTTCCGATCTTTTTTGTGCATTATTTTACTTATAATGTAGAAAAACAGCAGTTATTGTCAGTTGGCGATAATGTGGGAACACTGCACATTTTGGAAGTTCCATGGAATTTACATCGACCCGCCATTAATGAGGTATACATAATCCTTATATTTTTCGTTTAAAAAATCCCTTCCACCCATCAAGGTTTTTGCGCTCTTGCTTTGCACTACGTCACAGCATGGTTGGGAAGTACACGGTAATACACGAACAATAAATCGGCGATGGTAAACGTTGGGTGTTTTTGCCAATGTTTTAGTAAAAACTTTAGTAAAATTTGAACAATATCATTTAGTCGTGGGTTTCTTCATCTGTCGCCATACCGTATGACCGAATGTAATCATTTCACAGTACTTGCTTAGCAACAAGTTTCCTCATCTTGAGCAGCACAATTTTTTTAGCTTTTTGAGCAACAATAGCTACTTCATAGGATAGTATTTACATTTTGATTTATTAAAAAAATGAAATCGTGAGTCGAAACGTTGTTTTATAGAAAAATATCATCGAGAATTTCTTCGACCGTGAAGTTTCACGACTCGCGTTTGTTGAAGAACGAAGAAAAACACGCGCCTTGGAAATAACGAAAAACAAAGATGACGAAAAACCTAAAAAGCAAACAGTAAGAAATATTATGGCAATGGGAAGACAGTATGATCACACTTTCAGAATAAATTATCATAGTACTTTGGGATCTGTGGGGAAAAGGCGAACAGCTGGATCATTGTGTGTGTCGGGGGGCGGGGGACTTCAGTGACTATAATTGGCAGAAACACGCTAAGGGGCTGTTCATACGATCCCGGTAACCGGGATTCAGCGAGGCGTGAAATGATTGAAAACTTCAAGCGCAAAACCTACTACCTTTTTTAAGCGTCATAAGTCATTGTAGTTGTAATTTTCAAATCAGGCTAAATTATTTGTTTTCGTTTTAAAGCTTTTGTGAATTTGCAACGTCAGAGCATAGAGAAATTGCTCAAATAGGTTTTTGTTGTGAAGTATTCAATCTTTTCCATTTGTCAAAATGATTTGACGCTACGGTGAATCCCGGCTACCGGGCTCATGTGAACAGCCCCTAAGAGACTTTGGAATCACTAAGGAGAATTGTATGATCACATCAATAGACTGCAAGGATAACGTTGGGAGCAAAATAATATTATAATTCTTATAATTTTCTTCAACTTGTGGCATGTTTTTTATTTTAGGTTGACACGAGGAAACTTATTGAAGCGCAAGAAAATGAATGGGAGACTAAAGCGCGTCAGGTATATTTTGTGGATACTTTTTTAAGGATAGTACCCTAAACATGGACAAGCAATTATAGAATACCTGCCAAATTCCGTGTTAGTTTTTTTTTGCAGGATATTTTATATCTTTGCCTTTAAAGGATGGTTCTCATATGGTCGTCATAGTCGCTTTGATAGTCTCCATTGAGTCCTCTGTATAGACTGTTCTGCCTGACCAAAACTACTGAAACGACTTGAATTAACAAATGAGAACTACCCTTAGCTTAACATCAATGCAAACAACAATATTTGGATGCCACAAATGATAATTTTTCTTGTCAGTTTTGTTCATTCCTGCAACTTTGAAGGGTTGATTTTATCAACTAATATCCATTTAGGAATATGAAAAATACCTAAACATGGAGAAAGTTTTTCTGCAAGATCTTGGTTTCCTTCAAGACGACAGTGACATTTAAAAGGACTTTTATCTTTTGTATCTTTTAGTTAAAAGATGTTTGTATTTGTACATGTTAGATGGTAGCTTTCAAATATTTTAAAGGGTATGACATCCAAAGAGACAAGGTGGTTAGATTCAATACTCACTAGAAATTCAAAAATTAATATTTATTGTAGTTTGTGTTTGAAAAAATCAAGATTTACTGTATTTTGATAAATTCATCCTTTTCCATTGCAAGTTTCTGCCAGTTTTTTAAATTCATTTGCTTTAGTTACATCCACTTGCACACCATCACCTTGTGCATAAATTCTGCTTGCATTTACACATCCCCATGCATGTCCTAGACGGCAACTTTTGATAGATAAATCCAATGCTTTAACCATGTCTTTCTTAACTTCATTACAACCAGCCAGATAGATAACACTTAGATTAAAACATCCATTACGAAAGTTGCCATTACATGCCATACTAAAGAGTTCAATTGCTTTATTCATATTTCTTGGTATACTAAAGTGTTTCTCTCCTTTTTGATGAAGTAGACCTGCATTATTACAGGCACCCCATATGTTTTTTTCACATGCTTTATGGAATAAGCTAAGAGCTTCCTTTGGTTTTCTTTCCTCTATAAAAATTAGAGCAAAGTAATGTAGGTTTAAGCTAATGAACAAATGGTTGAGTTAATTTAATTTTCAATTTCAATCATCATACTAACTCTTTTTACAAGTGCACGTAAACATGACAAAATGAATGTGTTAATCTCATCTGATCTCAGAGTTAACTGGTAACTTGATTATCACACTCAATAACGTGATAAACAGCACATTATCTAAAGAAAATTTTCCTGAGTTAGGATGTCACAAGTGTACCTTTATTTGTGAGATGAATTATGCCGAGTGAAAAACAACTTTGTGCATAATCCTGATCTTCACAGTTTGCTTTAAAAATAGCTTTTGCTTTTTCATTGTCTCTTTCTACAGCTTGATAGAATTCACCAAGTTGATGACAAGCTGGATAGTGTGAGAAAATTGAAGAAGTTACACAATAATGACATTAAGTATACTGCATCACAAATAATAATGAAAACTTTCAGACGTTTCAAATTCAAAATACCAAATCACGAAACAAACATTCTTTTTTTCTTGTCCCAAGACATTCGTGTTCCAGAATGACCCGTAGTTGATCAACGTATTCTTCAGGTGTTTGCTCAGGATTTCTCATGTCGAAACCAGACATTTTAACTTTTAATTTTGGTGTGATTCAATGTCTGCAAATATGCAAATGGTAAATTAAAGTGTACACCACCCGGTCACGTACCCAAACATTACACAAACATAAAAAACACGAACGACACGCATATTCCTTTGTGAATTTGTATTTTGAAACTGAAATCACTGAAATTTTTATCTTGTTATAAAAAGAACTTTTTTGTTTCCATTTGAGATAGTACAATTTTCAGCTAGCTACAGTGTGAGAAACAAAGTGGAAACAGAAAAGAGTAAATAAGTTGTAAAAAATGGCCGAAAGGTTTTGTGCTTCCGTATTGAACATCCAAAATGTTTATTTTACACTATTAGACTTCTAGTACGATGAACTTTCGCGAAAAAGAAACAATGAGCTGAATAATAACTTGGTTTGCATCAAAGCAATATGTAAATGCTACTTTACATTCTATGCAACGATGGCTTCGGGTTTTGTATGTTTTACTGCCTTATATAATTTCAAGCCACAACAGTATGGCGAAATAGAGTTGAAGGTTGGCGATGTTGTTTGTGTTAAAATACCTTATGACATTGAAAGTTGGGTGGAAGGTGAAAACAAGAGGACAAAACAGCATGGTTTACTGCCTGGAACGTATCTTAAAGAACTTCCTGGTAATTTCTACTTTGGCGTTAATATTACAAATTTGAACGTGCTCAGATTCTTCCGTGTTTACCTGTAAGACAAAATATATTGTATTTTACGAATAAATTCATTGACTAACCATTTACATGTCATGTTTTTGAACATATACAGTAGTGAAAATCTCATTTCTTATAATTTCTTATTTATAAAAGATATTTTTCGCATTTTATCTATAAATCTTTGACTGTGCATATTTCAAGATGTCATTATCTATTTCCTCCCTGCACACAGATATAATTGATCTAATGAATGGTAATTATTTTAAAAATTACTAAGATGATGCTCAGATAATTCAATGCTCTTAGTATTCTTTTACATGTACACCAATTTGCCTAACATCATTTAGCCCTTTGGTAAATGATGAAGGATTTTATACAATCAAATATTTGTTTTTGTGTGTGCATTAATAGCCATAGTGTTTGTTGCTTTTGTAGTAATTTTAACTGTTGGCATAGAAATATCAATATACGTAGAAGTCTAGTAAACTGTTTTGAGTTTTGAGCAATTAATTAATGATTATTGTGATTACTTTGATTTAATAAAGTAAACCAGAGTACCATTCTGGCCCATGATGAGATTGGATCATCCCTAATGGATATAAATTCAATAACGATCATTCATAACTGGATTTATTCTTTTACTTATACATGCGAAGTGATATTTTTTGATTTAATGCAAGCTCATTGGCTGTAGCAAAGTGCAGCTTTTTACGACATCTTGACGGTGGTCCAAAAGTGTTTTGCAATATATTTGTTTACAAAGTGAAATTTAGATTTTTAAAATCGATTTAAAAGCAATGTAAATTGTTCAAGGAGAAAGGAAAATGTTTTGAAATGATAGTGTCAGCAAGTATTATTCTCAAAGTGAACTTTGTAGAAAGCAAACCAATTTTATTCCCAACATGCCGCACTGACCATTCCCGGAGGTTAATAACATATCTTTATTTTTCCTGAAAACAATCTCTAATTTTTTTTATTTTTATTTTTTAAGAATATCCTGACTCAATGGTATGCAATGGACATGAATTCCAAATGATAGTTCGTATAACTCCTGTTTGCTGTGCACTATGTAAGTGGTTAAAAAATGTAGTATAAAATGCTGCATTTTAAATTACTCTTTTTCAAAAATTATTTACTTAGGTTCTGATTATATTTGGGGAGAGGAGAAAAGTCTTTATCTTTGTCTTAGTAAGTTTGTTATTATCTACACTTTTGGTATAATTAATGGTTTTCCTAAATATTCAGTAGATAGAATTTACAAAAATGTGTGTGATTCATGAGAGCTTGTTTTAATACAGGACAGATATAAAGTCAGAATAGAAAAATCATTAAATTCTAGGAAAAGCTTTGCCCTTATATAAATTCACCTGGTTCCATTACATATATTTAGTAGCGAATCAAGGAAAACTCAAGACAAATCATTGAAACACATTTTAAATTCAAAGTACTTTTATCAACGCTGTTGGTTAGAAGTTTTCAATGAATATCTAAGGCTAAAATACTCATGTAGAATAGGATTTGCACTAAAGTTTTTTAAATTTGAAATATATTTTCAGCAACGTAATCCAACTTTCTATTGATTTCCTACATGTTAGTTAAGATGGAGTTTGTTGTATTTTATTTAGAGTGCAACAGATGTTATCACTTAATTTGTGCAAAAGACAGTCCTGAATGTACGGGAGAGCAATCCAGTTATAATGATGAAGATAATCCATATGATGTATTAACAAAAGTAAATTTCAATTTTTTATCATTTTCAATTTGTTTCAAACTTCTATAAAGCAAAAACTTTTTGTTTTGATATTGTTACTTTCAGAATGTTGATGAATGGTCTATTAAGGATGTTTTAGTCTGGATGGCAGCAACCAATCTGTTTCAATATGCCCACTTGTTTAAAAAATGTTCAATCGATGGAAAGAAATTACTCGGCTTAAGTCAAGATAGTCTCATTAAACTGGGAATAAATGATGATTTTCATCAAAACATGATTTTGGCTTGCATTAAAGAACTCACTGGAAATGCAGAACGTGTATGGTCTCAGTAATTATAACTATTGTTATGCTAAACTTTCATCTAATAGCAGGTTTATTTCCTTTAGAAAAAAAGAAGGAAATCTCCTGGAATGAGAACAGGTGTAAAAGGTAATACTTGTATTGAGTATTAGCAAGCTTTACCATAGAGTATGAGTAGAACTATGTGAGTAAAAAGTACATACATCATTTTTGCCCAAAAATATGGCTTTAACAACAGTAACATGTTGTCAGTGTGATCATATTCTGTATATTTTTTACTTTTGGTACAGTTTTGACAATTTTGAAAACTATCTTGTAAAAAAAATGTTTTTAGTAAAATTTTTAGTAAAATTTTTCAAACTTAAGAGTTCAAAAAGGTTGCAACCAAATTGACCAACAGGTAGTGACAAGCCTTCCTAGTTGAATAAGATATGTTACCCTCCTGAATTGAAACTTGTCAGTGGGCCTCATCATTTGCTTTACTCAGCTTTAAAGTCATAAGTAGGTAGCCCATGTATAAACTAGAAAGGATATGATGGAGTACTTGTGTACTCTATGCCAGGTAATAAGTAGGTAGCCCGTGTATAAACTAGAAAGGATATGATGGAGTACTTGTGTACTCTATGCCAGGTAATAAGTAGGTAGCCCGTGTATAAACTAGAAAGGATATGATGGAGTACTTGTGTAATAAATGTACTCTATGCCAGGTAATAAATATATAACTAAGGATTTGATAGACATAGAGAGTTGTAAAAGTTGACATAAGAAAGACAGGTAAAGGTTGAGGAAACTGAAGTTGAGGGACCAGAATACAATGAATAAAAATATGTGGAAGAGGGATATCATGGTCAATGGGCAACAACAGTTTGCAAAGAAGTTGAATGAGAAGTGCTATCAGACAAAAGCAACACAGCATGCATAAGTTCTTGATGTGGTATTTAGTTGTAATAAAAATTTGCTTAACATGACTACGCAGTTTTAAGAGATTTTGACTCGCCTCCAATCCCTGTGGAGCGGCGGACTAGTATCCCGAAGGTGCGAGTTCAAATCTCGTCCAAGTCACATGTTTTTCATGTGCATATTAAAACCGTGTTAGGATTAATATATTACATGACTACACTTTGTAGTTACTGTAGTACGTACCTAGTTGTCATAACAATTTACATGGCGACAGATGCGCGCATGCGTATTTTATTAAGCTACGTAAACCTCACTGCTTCACATGACTTTTTTAGAAGACTTAAGCTTCCCTTTTCTACTAATTGTTTTTTGTGCACCTATAATCCTACGTAAATACAGCTTCTGCTTTATTTGAAATTTTTATGCGTGCGTGAAATTATGACGTTTTCTGCTTTATTTGAAATTTTTAGACTCACGTGAAATTATGACGTTTTCTGCTTTATTTGAAATTTTTAGACTCACGTGAAATTATGACGTTTTCTGCTTTATTTGAAATTTTTAGACTCACGTGAAATTATGACGTTTTCTGCTTTATTTGAAATTTTTAGACTCACGTGAAATTATGACGTTTTCTGCTTTATTTGAAATTTTTAGACTCACGTGAAATTATGACGTTTTCTGCTTTATTTGAAATTTTTAGACTCACGTGATACGCATTCATTTGTGTTGCAAACGTTTACAACAATGACTTGGTGTCATGAATGCGGTCATTTGATGTTTGGTCTTGTAAGACAAGGATTACAGTGTACAAGTAATTATTTCATTTTCTCTTAAACTATCTTTTGCACTTAATAAGTTTGATGTGAGTAAAGTCTGGTGTTTTCTGCTTTATCTGCTTGTTGCATGCGTTTCACATGACAAAACGCTGTAAAACTCTCAGAGTTGAGAAAAAAACCAACGCATGTACACGGGTACTACACATGAGGAAGGTTTCCCCTTGAATATGGTGTCTTAGTAAAGTTGAACACTCCATTTAATCACATATACAAAAACACAATATCACTGTGATCGGCATGTGCTCGGGTATACTGAAGTTTTCAACTTATAAAACACAAGTTTCGTGTCAGTAGTGGCATTATGTCATTTTGAAGAAGATATTCAAAACATGAAATCCTAACCCGGAGGAAGGTTGAACACTTTCTGCGACTCCGTATGAGCTGTATTGATTGGCATGAAGGATTTTTGTAAAAAATAATATAAATAATATTGTGCATAGTTTGAACCCGGAAGTATCGTGATGTGTTTGTGGATGAAGATCGTCCAGGTTTGTCGAGTCCTGAGAACGACTATTTGTTGATGTAGACTGACGTTTTGACAACCTTCGCTGTAATCATCTTCAGAGTCAAGTTCATTTTCACTTCATTTGACTCTGAAGATGACTACCGCTAAGGTTGTCGAAACGTCAATCAACATCAATACCGACAGTCCTTCTCAGGACTATACTAACCTGGACGATCTTCATCCATAAACGTAAATAATGTTAGGAGTTTTTTGCAGCTCAAGCTTTCTTACAAACATTGTATATCTATTTTAACTTAAGACATATTTCATGTTTTTTTTTGTATGTTTATGTATTTATTATTGTTTTTTATTCTTAAAAATATGTTGAATATGTTAAAAATATGTTGAATTTTATTTTATAAAGAATGTGAGTTAGTTTGTCATCGAAAGTGCACGCACTATAAAGTTTTACGGGTTTGTCCTGGAAAGCCGACAACTGGAAGCACTAGTAAGGAATTAATCATGTAATTCTTATGATAAAGAAGACATATTTTTTTACTATAAACTGATCCTTTTTTCGTATTTTCTCTTAGTTCTCATTAAAATTGTTGTTTTTGTAGAACCGCTCTACATCCCCCCCCTTCCTCAAGATAATGTTGTTCCAGTCCTTCTTAAGAAATGCATCGGTGCCGTAGAAAGCAGGGATTTTATAGCAATGGAAATTTATAAAACAGAACCTACAGATAGCTCTTCGAAATATGCCTTAAGGAAGGCTTTCTACTCTGGTAATTGTCTCAATTATGATTTAAGGAAGGCGTTCTATACTAGTAATTGTCTCAATCATACCTTAAGGAAGGCCTTCTATACTGGTAAATGTCTCAATTATACTTTAAGGAAGGCCTTCTATACTGGTAAATGTCTCAATTATACTTTAAAGAAGGCCTTCTATACTGGTAATTGTCTCAATTATACTTTAAGGAAGGCCTTCTCTTCTTGTAATTGTCTCAATTATACTTTGAATAAGGCCTTTTATACTGGTAAATATCCCAATTGTACCTAAAGGAAGGCTGTCTGTGATGGAAATTGTATAAATTTGAGTAGATTGTGGAAGTAACTCTTATGAACGTTGGAATTTTTCAAATTCTTTTTAGATGATGACGACGTGGATATGAAAGCTGAGGAATGGATTGATCCTCTCTGTCCATCAGCTGTATTACTTTCATATTTAAATGAACTACCCAATTCAATTATACCTTCGCATATGTACGATACTTTTATAAATATTGCAGGTATCAGTTTTCGTTATCAAAATATACTCTGATCAAACATTTGATTTAAGCTGAATTTTTTTTACAATGTTCACGGATATCTTCGAAAATCATCACGTGACATGCACGTGATGCTATTTTTGTTAAAGATGTTGAGTTTTTTACAAATGAAATACGAAAGCTCAAAAAATCTCCAAAATGTAATTAATGTTTTGTTTCATTTATGGTGTAGAAAGCTCTAATACAGTGAATGAGGCCTTGGAAACTGCGTTCGCGTCGTTACCACCAACAAATGCTGAGATTTTGAAAATAATCTTATTACATTTAAATAGGTTCGTTTGTTTTTACACTTTTTTGTTCAGGCTCTAGTTCATTTTCTATTGAAGTTTGTTGACGTTCGAACCAGGTACGGATAAAATGAGTTGGCGGCGACTGGCCTTTTTTGAAACAAAAGACATTACACTCTCATTTTGTTTCAAATTGTCAAGGTCATAATCAGATATTTGTCGCCTTGTAACCGTACTATTTGTCGCCTTGTAACCGTACTATTTGTCGCCTTACAACCGTACTCGATTTGTCGCCTTGCAACCGTACTATTTGTCGCCGTATAACCGTACTCTTTTGAGTTTAAAGTGTTTTTTTTCATTTTGTTTTCATGATATAAAAGTGTGATGTGTATGTTTTCGAGAATAAGGAGAAAGTGAGATCGTCCATGCTAAACTGTATTACAACACGTCAATATTTTATAGGGTGGTTTCGGCTTCTGTACCAGAAAAAGATATAGGAGAGGTTTTCGGACCAATTATTATTAGACCAGCACAAGAATATCTTCCGTAAGTTGCTTTTAATTTTCATGATCTTTTGTATCGTTTTCTATCCTTTCGTAGCCTCTCTTTTTTACTTGCGTTATTTGCTTGTGGAACTGTCGAAGAATAATATTTTAGAGGAATCTTTTCAAATTTTACGTCCATCTATGACTTGTACTAGCTTGACCACCCTAACTCAATGTCTGAAGAATACATAAAAACCGCCCCAATTTTCTTAATTTATCAGATTATTAGCAAGTAATTTGGATACTCATACGAAGGTTGTACAGTTGCTGTTAGCGTTAACAAGAAAGCAAGAAGATGTCGACGAAGAAGAGGAGGATGAAGAAAATGGTGTTTTACCTCCTGGTGAGTGATGTTGATTAGTGTTGATAAGTTTCTTTTCAATGAAGAGTAATTAAAGCACTTACCGTAAATGATCTAATAAACGCCCTGGGCGCTTAATAAACACACTGGTTGCTTTCGATTTTCTTTCCTATGTTGTTTTTGTTTTAACCATTTGCTTGAATAATTAATCAACCATAACCTCTTTAATGATCTTTTCTCTTACCTTTAATAACTACGCAGGGTGGTTTTCAATCAATAATCGAGGATTTTTCATTATTGCTGACATATTTGTTGACTTTTTTTCTTTTATGACAATGAATAATAAAACTAGATGTGCTTCCATTTGACTTCTTTCAGTATTCAAGAAAATTTAATCATTTTATTTAGTTCCACCCCGTCCTAACCAGACGAAAAAAGTTTTTGGATCATTAAGTGAAGAGGCCTGGTACTGGCCAAAGGCCCACGCAAAGTATTGTTTTCTTTTTAATATTTCTTTGATATGTGTCATTTATCTTTACTATCCCCCCCCCGCGCGCCACCAAATTGTTTTATATTGAAATTTAAACTAAAGATTTCATTGGAAAACGGGAGATAATTTGATTCGAACAACAAGTGGTTTATTTTAAATTTGTAACCCTACAACTGCTTTAGAAAACGCTATTGCGTTTTCAACGACTATTAAAAATATTTAAGCATGTTGGAGGGAGGTTTATGTGGACTGGTGACGAACGGTGTTAACAATGGAGTATTTACAAGTTGGTTAACGGTCATATGGAAACTGGGGTTAAGCTTTTCCATCATTCATTAATTCCAATGAAAAAGGGGGAATTTCAATTATGTAATAATTAATGACATTCATTAAATATTATAGTACCTTCATTCTTACTTCAGTGGAATTTGAGATATTGTAGAAGATTCATGTGTTTATTATAGCGATAAATTGGCTGGTTGTTGTGACGGCAGCTTTCTTGTTCGCGACAGTAGACGGCATGACGGCTACACTTTGATTGTTCGGTAAGATTTTTTTGTGACAATATTTCTTTAAAAATAGATGGTTCTTTTTCCTTACAAAATTATCCTCTAACGGATTTAAGTGTTTAATAGAGAATGAAAATATCTTACGCCGTGTAATTCATTTCATCTGATTCAATTTGTGGGTAAGAAAATTTATATAAAGACATTAGGAAATGGAAACCGGACCAATGGGATTGTCGAAATTTTTTTTTTGATTAATCACAATTTTTTCGTTTCTCAGAAAATATAGTTGACACGTACTTATAACATTTCAAGTTAGCTGAACTTTAGTAAAGAATAGTCTAATCAAAGTCCTTCAATTTTACAATTGGTATAATTGCGTATCACAGATGACAGAGCAAAATCAATTCTTATTGCATTAATTGAATTGTTGCTGCATTAGGTAGTACAGGCCAGCAGTTAAACATTATTTGGTATTCATACACAGTTGCAATGTAGGTATATTAATTGTATAATTCACCATTATATAATTTATATTTAATTGAAGCCGTTACCTCGTATTTCGAGTAAACTATATCATCATATTCATGGAAAGAGTTAAATTGTAGAATCTTAAATGATAGATGTTGAAAGTCAACTTCAAATTAGCAAATCAAATTATTCATGTAAGCTACAACGAAACACACTTGGAGAGCATAGTTTTATCGTTGTTGCTTTTTTTAAATGCGTGGTTGAATTCGAATAGTTCGACAGAAAAAATTTTAAAAAAACAACTGCATATAATGAGAATTTTCTGAGGAGCTAGTATTTGCTAGATAAATGTGAAACAAAAACGGGGACGTGTGTATGAATGGTATCACCAGTATAAACTGGTATAACCAGTTAAACCACTACAACCAATAATAAACTGGAATAACCAGTTTTAAGGTCAGTAAAGTGCACGTGCTTGTCAAGTGCCAACAAAATGTCAATATTTTCATAGTATTCATAACCAAAGTCCACGCAGAATTTTTTGTTGTTTTGCTCTGCTGTTGAAGAAAGAAATTTTTACCCTTTGTAGATTTAGTACATTGGCTTTATTGTAAAAGTGCTACCATTTTGTATAGGAAAGACAGAGAAACTAAACAAATTCGTATCTATTATGAGGATGGAAAATATGGATTTGCTAGACCACATGAATTTGACTCTGTTCCTGAGCTTATTGAGTATTATCGTACACGCTCATTAAACGAATACAGCCAATACCTGGATGTTATGTTAAAATACCCTGTATGTCGCGAGGATCTACCTCAGGTAACGATCACCATCAAAACACTGGATTTTGATTTATGATTTTCGTTGCATTGTTATAGAAATAAAGCACTTTCTTGTGTGACTTTTCCGCTGTCGTTTTTGTCAAACGAGAGTTTAGCTCATGGTAATTAACGCGAGCAAACGATTTGTTGTAGAGAGACGGAAAAAATGGTAGATACTTCATATTGAATATAGATGTGCATTGGAGGTAGGAAGATTGTAGATATGATGAAGAAATGCAATAGAACTAGTTGATAGTAGATGTTGTTTTAGACATGCGCAGTGGAACAAGAAATGTTCTATGAATATTGAAGCAGTTTCCGTCTATGTGTGTAATGATTAGTCATCGAAGCAATCAAATTTAAAATTCATATTTAAAGATTTTGTTTTTTTAAAACATTTCTACGTATGTAATTTTTTCTCTCGCGTTCCTTTGTTATAGTTATCTACGTTCGCACTCTATTGTATGACGCATCTGCAAATTTTTTTAAAGAACTGCCATTCTTCTATACAACATTTTAGGCTGATGTTACCAAAGTTAAAGACGCAGCAAAAAAACTTAAAGATATTGGTGCAAAATTCAACGAAAAATCTTGTCTACATGAAGAGCTATCGGACAAATGTTTTATGTATGAGCAGGTAATTTTAATAACTTTCGATTGTCATTCTTTGTTTTTCTGATTGTTTTATGGCCTTGTCACGTTTTGTCTACCTTTTTCAGGAATTGACAGCTATAGAGGAAGCTATAGCGGCTCAGCAGGAATTGATAAACTTTCTGGAAGAACAAAAAAATATTTTTGTCAATTTTAAGAATGAGTCTCCCAGTAGCGAACGTGCAAGGTATAAACGTTTACTACATAAACCATAAATCATAACCATCTTAAACGGCTCTGTGTTAACGCTTTCTTACTCCATATATCTCCAATTTTAATCCATTTATCTCCAATTTTAATCCATATATCTCCAATTTTAATCCATAATCTCCAATTTTAATCCATATATTTTCAATTTTAATCCATATATCTCCAATTTTAATCCATATATCTCCAATTTTAATCCATACTTACATAGACACCTTTATTATGTGAATATGTTAAATGCAAAATCTTCTCGTGAAATGAACGATGTAATTTCGTTTACAGTTTGGATTTAAACTACAGTCTTGTCGAAAACAGATATACAGAGCAAAAAAGCGGGTTAGAGTCTTTAGAAACAGAATATTTGAATATATCTGAAAAGAGACGAACCTGTGAAGCAGAGATGAACATGCTAAAGCCTGATCTTTGGGAACTCCAACATAAAAAGGAAAAATACATGTTGTAAGTGATTGAACCATTAGTAAAATACTCAATACTTTGTGACCATGTAAAATTTCCTTATTGTAACCGTGGATGTTATTTATTGAGTTTTTATTTTTCTACGATAGATTCCTGGAAGAAAGGAATATGAAACCAGAGGAAATAGAAATTCTTGCTGGAATAACAGATTTTGCGTACGTAATTTACTTATGTAGCTTACATGTATGTGCAACTTCAACATACAATATTTAATTTTACATGCAGTAAATAAATGTTGAATTTTTTATTTTTTAACACTCGTCTACCGCATGAAACTGTTAACGGTGTTTATTCTTAAGTAGAAATTTTCTGCAACTGCCTCTAATTAAACAAAGTTTGAATTTCGTTGGCACAAGGTTACACTTTCAAAAATACAAATGAGATAGTCAATGAAAGAGTAGGAGAAAACAATAACCGTATAACCGTATTCAGCACAACAATTAGATGACTATGCACTTTTGTCGTTTGTCAACGTTGAAAATTCATTAAGAATACATCGAACATTCAAAAATGATACAGGCGTTCATGTGACCGCCTAGAACGTTCATGTAGAGAACATTCGTAAGTCATAAAAACGAATATACCAGTACAATACGCAAGAATGGCCAAACGCAAAAGAACTAGAATCGCTGAAGAGGACAATAAGCGGTTGGTCAGAGCGTTTGAACAACGAGATCAGGACTAAATTACGTTGGCTAAAACATGTGAGGAATATATCGCTCAACTCCCAGACGTGTTATACTCAGATATGTGCAAGAAAGAAAGATTGAAAATAAGCCATTTGGAGAACGCCGTAATGTTCCAGTTGATGCAGAAGCGATGACTACATGTCTTCAACAAATCGTTTACAAAAATTGTGCAGCAACGCAAGAACGGTTTTGCGACAAAAACGCTGCCAGAATTGCCAACCTTCCTCTTAGTGAATGCAGAAAATTACTGCTTCTTGCTGCTATTGAACGAAATATAGGATCAATCTCCATTTCCAAATTCGCAGCTTGGTTCAGGCATATGCAAACATACGTACGACGAGACCTTGCTAGAGGGAGAACATAAACGGTTAAATTCTGTTCTTCAACGGGGAAACATTTCATGCCGTGAGAACTGTTCCCAAAAAAATGTTTTATTGCGTGCATAGTTCTGCCAGATATTTGTGTTGACAAAGTATTGCTTCCAAATGGAAAGTAAATGTTTGTTTTTAATGAAGATTTGTTGTTCTCTAAATATCAGTTCTAAGTTTTCGTATGACATTACTTTCATCATTTTTGCATGTTCTAATGGAATTTCGTATTTGATTAACGACTTTTATCTTTTTTGCATTATTGGTTTAGTCGCTGCTATTGAATATACTTTCACGCTTATCGTTTTCGCGTACGGCTTCGTTCAAATTCTTATTTGCGTTCTTGAAAGTGTAACCTTGTGCTGACTTAAGTCGAACTTTGTTTAATGAGGGGCAAAAGTGTATGGAATATTAACTATATATTTTTTTTAACATAGTCTTAGTTTAAATAACAAAATATATCAAATGCATTTATATTTTATGTAATGTATAATTGTTTATAAGGCTTTATGAATTCCCAATGACGGATGAGGAAATGTTGGTAGATCTTTCTCCTGAGTATTGGCTATTTGGGGAATTGGACAGGTTTGTGTTTTTATATGTGAAAAATATTTTCGTTATGCATGTTGACTTTCAAACGCGCTCATTTCAGCTTATTTCGTAGAAATGTGTTGACTTTGAAACATGTTTCTTCCGCATATTTGGTTGTCATAAATGTTCACTGCATGGGGAATATGTTCATTTCTGCATATTTCGTAGTGAAAAATGTTTAATTTGGAACATGTTCACTTTTTTGCAGGGAAACTATCAAAAATTACTTAGAAAATACTCCCGATGGCACTTTCCTTGTGCGTGAAAGTTCGAGAAATCGTGGAATGAAAGCTGTCTCCATTATGTAAGTATTCTTTGAAAAATGAAATTTACGTAATAAGTTGCTTTTTTTCTAGTTGTAAGAAAATTAAAACTTGTCTGGCTCTATGTGTCCATAATGATCTGAGTGTACGTTTCGCGTTCAAAGTTTTGAATTATGATTATTGATTGTGATGTAGCAGTCAAATGTGAAAAATAGGAACGCTTGCGTACATGTTTCTAGCCAATCCGCCTTTCCGACGGAAGACACACCTGTCAAAAATACGAAAGAAAATTACAAAATTAGGACAAATTGTAGTATTGTTTACGTAGAATAGTGACAATAAAATGGTTAGGAGATGCTTTTGAGTTTGGGGGGATTTGTGAATCTGATTCTCGTTATTCAGAACGATTATTATAAAGGTAGAAGGCACAACAGTAAGTATTAACCATTTTTGGGTTAGAAAAAAGCATAACAATCGAAGGAAAGCTTAAATACTGGCATGTTATTGCGCTAATGACTTTTTTGTAAGGACTGTTACGGGCCTTTACGGCGTGACTTAGGAATATCCAGGACGGATTTCAGCTGCATAAAGCGCAAAAAAGCAAGCCAAACAATTTTTTGAACTATTATTTTTATTACATGTTGCTTTCGTTGTCTTATAATCACTAATCACAATTAATAATATTGATGGATGAAATCTCCCTAAACTAGTTTTTCCCATTCATTTACAAGTTCTATACGTAAATGTGGAATTTTAAACTATAGCTGTAAATTTAAATGTTTAGCTATAGTTTAGCACTAGATAGTTTAGCACTAGAGCGTCGCATATTAATTAAGGGAACAAGATAATCCTTATTTGCCATGAAGCCCATGGATAAGTAAATGAGAGATTTAAATCAGAAAGATATAAACCAGTAAAAATTGTATATAAATATTGTAATAAAAAACATGTTTAAAACAACTTAAATCATTAGTGTCAGAGAAAGGCAGTGTCAGAAGAAGTTAATGAAAACATTGCTTGGATTATTTATTTTATGAGAAGAACTTTTGTAAACAAAAAGATAAAATTCAAAAGCAAAAAACCCCGTTTTCTGTCCATGCTTCACGATACCTTCTTAAGCGCAAGGCACCAGAACGCCGCATGTTAACGTTCCGGTAGTTTTCGGCCCCTCCACACTATCCTACTTGGGGATGCCGATACGTAGCAAGCTTCTACCCATCAGACCCCGAGATCACCTGCGAGAGGCTTTGCACCCAGCTTCCACTGCTAGTTGACATCTACTCTATGAAGTTTTAGCTTTATATATATAAGTTTGAAAATTTGTAATCCAGGCATTGAATACATAAAAGATAAAAGTAAAGACAACGACACAATAAACAGACATATCGACATACCCATCATATACTCACAACTAAAGAAAAAGGACAAAAAAACTACAAACAACACCAAAACTAAAACACTACACTCTAATATTATTAACACCAATCATATTAACAATACACCAAAACCCATGGCAACGCATTTCACCCCATCCAATCACATTAATCCACCCACTTATCTAATTAGACGCTCTAAACGTCTCCAAGCTAAAAGCACGTGTAAATAAATATCCTCATTCTGATGAAGGCTCGAAGCAACGAGTCGAAAGCTCAATAAAAATCATTTAAAATCCGAAGAAACTTTTATCTTTTATGTATATATATATATAAATTCAAAGGCTTACGAAAGTTGTGGTATTATTAAAGTCACTACTACGCATTCCCAGATGATTTCTTTGTTAATTTGCGACTAAGTGAGTTAATTGCCACAAATGTAGAGCAAGTACATATAGTTAGACTGCCATGACTATGAACAATTAGTCGAGTGGACTGCGCATGCGCAGGTAATTTATCTGAAAATTTGTGACAGAGGGAGCTATTTACTCCATAATCGTCACTAGTACATCCAGTTGGTCGTTGCCATGACCATGAAGTTGGAGAGTTGGTGGAGTTGACTACGCATGCTCAGATTAATTCTCAATTAATTTGTGACAGAGCGAGCTCTGAAACTTGTGCTTGTAGATGCGCTGAGCAAGCTTTCAATCATGTATTTTTGGCATGCTCTTTGCCTTCTTAAGCTTGTTTTGACAAATGCATATCAAACTCATCAACACTTTGTTACGGCGCTCGTAATATTCGCGCCAACGTTAGAAATGTTTTTATTTTTCTCTATAACTTTGTATCTGCATTTTGCATGTCATAACCACGGAAAATGGTTTTTATTTACTCTTACACCTTCTGCCTTTATAATTAGTCGTTCTGGATTTCAAAAATCAGATTTGCAAATGCCCCAAGAGCATCTTTTTTCAATTCATTGCCACTATTCTACCTATACAATACTATGTCAGACCGTTTGACTGTCCGAATTTTGTAATTTTATCTTGTAATTTTGACACGTGTGCAGGAGAGCAGACAAATGCAGCAGATTTAACGAACTGATCGCTTATAGTTTGATGGATATGTAGCAGACTAGTTTAATGTTTGTCGCCTCGAAATGTATTTTTGTTGCGTTTTTAGGTTTGACGGACAAATTAAACATTTTTGTATTGAAGAAGGCCCCGAGGGATTTGGTTTTGCTGAGGGTTTTAATACCCATCCGACACTACAGAGCTTAGTCGAATATTACCATCGAGTATCGTTACAAATGCATAACAGTGGCCTTGCGACTACTTTACGTATGCCAGTACGTTGGGTAAAGAATAAGATACCAGCTTGGAGAAGATTTTAACCATAACAAATAAAGAAATATTTTAGAGGTGGAATTCCATCGAATTCTTAAGCTAGGTTTGAATAATTATCCATTCTAAGGTAAAGTTTGGATTTCATGCATCGTATTGTTTTGTGGAACAGAATTTTTAGCTTGATTTACAATTGTAGTCTATATTTAACGTTCTCACACTTGCATAGTGTTAGCGATTTAAATGTTTGTTGCTGTACATCCATTGTTCGTACTTTTTGACAAAGCCAATACACGCAGAAAATAAATTAATATTCTTTTAATACGTACATAATTCAGTCATTTTGATAGTGCAAAAAAATTCCAAATGCTACGTGTGTTTGAAAACGCTACTCATTGGAATTCCAGCCATTGTCTCAACGGTGATATTTTTTCACATTTATAAATCGACTGCTAAATGCTGAAGATGTTAAAAATTGTCTATAAATGGAAATATGACAGTCGTAGAGCTAATATGTGTATAGTGTTTATTTTGAACTAAGGTAGTTTGGTACTTAAAATGTAGATCTGTTTGAAGTTGTAGATATTTTTATGACACAGCACCATTAATAATTCTTTCGATGAAATAAATTTTTTTACGACAATATTTACTTTGCTTTAATTAATTTTAACAATTTTCTGCGTTATTTAAACTAAAGATGAACTCAAGATGATTTTGTAATAAATGCTTTGGCTACTTTGTAAATGATCCGTTATGGTCGCTATGCTTTGTGAGACATTTTTGTTAAATTCTGTTGCTTTTAGACTATAGTTGGGAGTTTCGTTGGATGTGCGCTCCTTTAACACAAACCACAATTGCTTTTTTGCTATTTTCATGGTATATTGATATTTCGACGGGAAATTTGCACCCTTACTGCGCTCTGACATCCACTATAAATTCATCCTTTATTCAAACAAAATTTGAGTTGTAAAATCTATGAAAAAAGGAGAAAGTGGATTCACCATAGCTACCTTTAAGGTTGAAATTTCTCCGGATATCCGAGACGACTTCAGAACAGTCACACATGATTAGCACAGAAAAACAGCAATGGGAAAGACTGGATAAATAATGACAAGATCGCTCCAAAAACCTTATCTGGTGTAACTGTGGTGTTGATGTACTTTTATGCGCAAGCATAATATATATGTTTTTTCTTTATAATCGATTTTTTCTTGTTATTGTGTACTAGCACAATTTGTGAAAGTACAATTTATATGACGGAAGCACGTTTTTGGCATCTTGATGTAAATTGATTGTTCATTGTGTTTTTATAAATGAAGATTTCCATGACTTAGCTGAAAGAACAATTAAAAAGTTTTCCTTATAGCTGCTTTTTAATGTAGTTCATGCAAATGAGTTACTTTGATGTTCATTCAAAGATTAGTATTGTTTATTTTCCATTTTAACGCTTTATACCTTTGTATTTAATGCACAGTATGTAATAGAAAGACTTAGAGTAAGATGTTAGCTATCACATCTTCATGTCTTGATGGTCATTAACACTGGTTTTGGTTCCTTCCAACTTTCGCATCCTTCTATGACATGTTGTATTCTTTTTTCTTAACAACTCATTGAAATTTTTTTGAATAGTTTCAATGAAAATAAATAATTTTACCGTTTACATATGTCCGTACAAAAAATATTTTCACTCGGCCTCAAAAGTGTCCCTCGACCGAGCCCCTTGAAAATATTTTTTTCAGCACGATCATCCTCCCACCTGATGAGTAAAATATACATTAAATGCACTCACATTGATTTTTTCTACTTCAGTAATCATAAATTTGAATCACAATAACTCAAAAAGGATAGCAGTGAGGCAAGCAACAAGGCCACAAGGTATATAGTGCAATGTTTTTAATATTCCTGTTTAAATACGTTATAAATATCTATTTACTTGTTCACAATGATTCTTTAACATCAACGCAACATCAATTTGTTTAATATTGAAATTTTGAATCGTGATTTAATTGGAAAAAGAGAGATAATTTGATTTGAACTATAAATAGCTAATTTCAAAAATGTGAAACTCTACATTGTAGTGCTGAGGGGTTTTAGAGACTGTTGAAAATGTTGATTTTTTAACCTGTTGAAACGAGATTTAGATCGACTCGATGAGATGGGCACTTAAAGATGTATTTATGTTTTTGAATCTTTCTTATATTACTTATCATTGCCTTGAAGAAATTCGTTGCAGAAATAAAACGTCTGACTGACTTTGCATGTACTTATTTATAAATTTTTGACATTGTTGCATAACTTAAACAAACATTCGAAAGTCTTTATTCAACATTCGTGTTGCATTATATGTTGTCATACTTTACGATGGCTCGTTTGACGAGAACAATGCTAGACTTCACATATCTTCGCATTTAGATCAATTCTCATGTGATACACTGTCGCAAATGTTCTATACCAAGACTCTCTCGTTACGAGACTTTCAAAACATTTACGACATGTGCATGTAGAACAACATGGAAAGCTGGAAACTGAGGTTATAGGTCTTTCTATCATTCAGCAAATCCAATGAAAACGAAGCTAATTGTAAAAATTCTTATTTTCAAATAAGTAATAGCATCCGTTGAATAGTATAAAATTTTCCTCTATGTTTTACTGGAATTTCAGATATTTACAAGATTCGTGTTTATATTATAGCGATAAATTGGCTGGCTGTTGTGACGACAATTTCCTTGTTCGCGACATTGGACGACATAATGGCTGTACTTTGATTGTTTGGTAAGATTTTTATGACATTGTTACTTTGAAAACAGATGGGGTTTTTTTCTCCACAAAATTATCCTCTAACGGATTTAAGTGTTCGATAGAGAATGAAAATGTCTAGCGCCGTGTCATTCATAACACATTAATTTCAGTTCGAAGAAAATTTGTGTAAAGTCTATGAGTAATAATTTTAAAAAATATATGTTGTTGATGGCTTTATAATCCTTTACTGTAGAAGTCCTATTATTTTGTATATAAAAACACAGGAAAACTGAAATTCGCATCGAACGTAAGCATGGATAAACCACGCAACATTGATTCAGTTCCTAAACTTCGCAAGTATCGTTCACGCTCGCTTAACGAACAAAGCCAATCTCCTGTCAAGTATCGTACACTCTCACTAGACGAATACAACCAATATCCGGATATCGTGTTAAAAGATCCTGTATGCGAGGATCTACCTCAGGTGACAATGACCTACAATGCATTGGTATACGACTTAAACAGGTGTATATAAAGAACTGCCATTATTCTGCACATCATTTTAGGCTGGTGTTACCAAAGTTAAAGATGCAGTAAAAAAACTTAAAGATATTGGTGCAAAATTCAACAAAAAATCTTGTCGATATGATGAGCTATCAGATAAATGCTTTAATTATGAGCTGGTAATTTTAAATAAAACTTTCGATTCTCGTTTTGTCTTTTCATTTCTTTTTATCGCCTTTTCACGTTTTGTCTACTTTTTTCAGGAGTTGACGGCCATAGAGGAAGCTATAGCGGCTCAGCAGGAATTGATAAACTTAGTGGAAGAACAAAAAAATTTTTGTCAATTTCAAGAATGAAGCTCGTCGCAGCGAACGTGAAAGGTTAACGTTTACTCTACATAAAATGCATACCATATGCTGCATTTGATATTTTCAAACTTTATTTATGTTGTGTTATAGTTAGGCTTATGCTGCTTAGCGCCTTTTAAATATGTTAACTATACCAATTGTACTCGTTTTACTAACCATTTATAATTTCGTTTACAGTTTGGATTTAAACTACAGTCTTGTTGAAAGTAGATGCGCAAAGCAAAAAAGCGAGTTAGAGTCTTTAGAACAAAAATATTCGAATTTATCTGAAAAGAGACGAACCTGTGAAGCAGAGATGAACATGCTAAAGCCTGATCTTTGGAAACTCGAACTTAAAAGGGAAAAATACATGTTGTAAGTGACTGAACCATTAGTAAAATACTCAATACTTTGTGACCATGTAAAAAATTTCCTTATTGTAACCGTGGATGTTATTTATTGAGTTTTTATTTTTCTACGATAGATTCCTGGAAGAAAGGAATATGAAACCAGAGGAAATAGAAATTCTCGCTGGAATAACAGATTTTGCGTACGTAATTTACTTATGTAGCTTACATCCATTTGCAACTTCAACATACAATATTTACTTTTACATGCAGTAAATAAATGTTGAATTTTTTATTTATTAACACTCGTCTACCGCATGAAACTGTAAACGGTGTTTGTTTTTACGCAGAGATTTACTACAATACAAAATGACTTTATGCTTGACTGTGTTTACATGACTTAGGTAATGTTATTTTAAGTCAACAATATAACACGTACATATTACAATTAAGTACAATTATACAAGCATATGTACATGTATGTTTGATTGTATGATTGTATGACTAAATATTTATATCTATGTGACAATGATATTGCATGATAATATTTGTATGTATTGTGTGTGTGTGTAATTATATTTAGCATAGAATTAATATTTTAATTGTTTTAAGGCTTTATGAATTCCCATTGACGGATGAGGAAGAGTCCGTAGATCTTTCTCCCGAGTATTGGTTATTTGGTGAATTGGACAGGTTTGTGTTTTATATAGAAAAAATGATTTCGTTATCATATATGTTGACTTTGAAATTTGTTCACTTCCGCATATTTTGTAGTGAAATATGTTGACTTTAAAACATATTCATTTCCGCATATTTCGTACTGAAAAATGTTCACTTTGGAACATGTTAATTTTTGCAGGGAAACTATCAAAAATTACTTAGAAAATACTCCCGATGGCACTTTCCTTGTGCGGGAAAGTACGAGAAATCGTGGAATGAAAGCTGTCTCCATTATGTAAGTATTCTCTGAAAAATGAAATTTGATAAATTGCTTTTTTCTCAATGCAAAACGTTAAAAATATCTATTTTTTTGTCCATGATGATCTGAGTGCAAGTTCTGCCTTCAAAAATATTAACTGTGATAAAATCAATAGCTAAAAGTAGGTAGGCAATGCGTACAGTCGTTTATCAAATACTAAAGCAAAGGAGACCGATGCGCTTAAAAGAAAGAGTTGATATTTTTACATTTGTGTGCTAGTTTAATGAGACAAAACTTCTCAAAGAATATTTGCGAAGTACTAGGAAATGAAAACCGAAATATCAGAAATTTACCTACAATATTTGTCATTTTCTTAAACACTAATGTTTAATTTCCTTTTCGGTCTCCTTGTACGAACGCAAGCGAAATTTTGCAGAAGTATTTTAGCATATCTTACGAATTTCATACAAAAAACAAAAAATGGTTGAGTATCGTAAAGAAACTTTGTCAATACGTTGACTTTTAATACTTCGATGCGCTTTCGTTGTATTGGTTGAACAACTTATTTCAATAAAATTATTGTTTGATTTTTTAAAGGAAGAATCCACAATCAGTTATTGATAAATTCAACTTCTATCTGAGACTGTGACAGACTTATTTTATATATTGAGAAAAGTAAGTTCTTGTTTTTCAGGTTTGACGGACAAATTCAACATTTTTGTGTTGAAGAAGGCCCCGAGGGATTTGGTTTTGCTGAGGGATTCAAAAACCATCCGACATTACAGAGTTTTGTCGAATATTACCATCGAGTATTGTTACAAATGCATAAAAGTAGTGTCGCAACTACTTTACGTATGCCAGTGCGTTTGGTGAAGCTGGATTTACTTCCTTGCATAGGATCTACACCATAATTTTTGGAGAAATGTTTTAGTCGAATTCCTCACGCAGAATCATTATCCTATTGAACAAGAATTTCGTCTATTCTAGGCTCACAAATTTTTGAATAAATCAAAAATGTCACACCCCCTCCCCCATACGTCAAAGTCGACATGCCCACACTAAAACAATTTCATATATTCAATGTTTTCGTCACCACCATCACATGATCACCAACACACTGAATATTAACCATGGACTTGGGTCACTTGGGTGTCGAGTCATCACAAACAGTTATCGTCTGTCTACGTGAAAAAAAATTTGTAGAGTCAAATGCACAAAATTAATAAATAATGCATTTGAATTGATTGCATTGTAAAATGGACGTGAATTTGTTAGTTTCTTATTGAATAGTTTGCATTTTATGCAACTCCACCTTAGGCCTTGCGCACCAACACACCGAATATTAACCATTGAATTGGGTCACTTGGGTGTCGAGTCATCACAAACAGTTATCGTCTGTCTACGTGAAATAAAAATTTGTAGAGTCAAATGCACAAAATTAATAAATAATGCATTTAAATTGATTGCATTGTAAAATGGACGTGAATTTGTTAGTTTCTTACTGAATAGTTTGCATTTTATACAACTCCACATTAGGCCTTGCGCATTGTGACCGCAAACTCCCCAGCGAAACGTTTTCCCGACCTCTGAAACGGGGATGATCGTGCAACGAGCGAATTTCAATGAACGCTAAGCACGTATCTTGAAGCTATAGAAAACGCAATCAACGATTTCCGTGATAGTTTTAAAGAAATGAAACAATGAGCTTGAGCAGTGTATTCGGTTAATTACAGAGTGTCAAGTGCATATTAGTTCCACTATCATCCCCGGGGATTTGGCTATAAATAATGAACAATATCCTGTTTATAGTCATATGACGATATTATGATGACGATATTATGATAAGACTTGATGTATTACATGATCGAAAGGTCAAGATAATTCGAGAAAGAAAGAGATTTAGAAAATGTAATTACGCTCACGGTTTATCCACACCATAATGAAATTATTTGCGATTATCACATGTGTTAGCTTCTTCTTTGATAAATCTTTAAGTTCAGCAGACTGTAGAGACGACATCGACTCGAAGCGTTTCGACTGTTACCCAGAAAATGGCGCCTCTCAAGAGGAATGCGAAATTCGCGGCTGTTGTTGGAAAGTTGCTACAAACAAAAGACATGAAGTCACTGTTCCGCTTAATGTTCCATACTGTTTTTATCCAAAGAACTTTGGATACAGGATAGTGAATGAACAAGAAACGGCAACAGGAATATTGCTTGATCTTCAAATGCAACAACCAGGACCATATGGTGTTGATGTCGAGAATCTTAGAGTTAATGTTGATTTTGAAACGGAATACCGTGTGCGTGTAAAGGTAAGTGCATTGGTAGGATATTTGAGCGACTAAAGAATGCTGTGACATCCATATTTTGAGAATATACTGCAAATGCTAATTTTGGTTTGTGCACAGGGGGAGTGTACATAAATATTTCTTACTTTGTTGAAACATATTTTATCAGAATACCTTGAAGCTGAACTTGAAAAGGCAATTGCCAATTGATGAACAGAAAGCGTTTGCGTTTTCAGTGAAGATTCAACTACCACTGATTCAGCATTTCTCAACTATTAATACTGCAGGGCACGTAGTTAACTTCGTACTTTTTATTGTTTTGTTTGTGTTAACCTTCGCTCCTAGACGAGACGCCGTAACAGCTTTTTGTAGTCCCGGTTCTGCTTTTCTTATGCGACAATTGATCTATCGCGCTTCGCATACTCTCAAAGTTATAGGAAATGGCTATTCTAAAAAGTCAATTTTTCTCCAACAGGCAAACGAGTGGTTCAATTCCAAAATAAAATTGCATGTCTTTATCTGGATAGGTATCATATTTCATGCACAATTTGACCAAAAAAAAAATTAAAGAAAAAATTTTTGCTATTGATGAATTGATGTTAGTTTCCTGTGTAGGAACACACGTGCACATAATAGCAAGAGTAAAAGAGGTTATTTTATAATGGTATAAATTAAAAATGCTTAAAATATTGCCAAAAATCATCTAAAAGTGTCATTATTTCCTGTGAACAAGAACTGCACTATCGTAAAATTTTTACACTGCTTTCATAAGTTACTGCACTTGTTTTTCTTATCGTCAGTCCATGTTTTTCTTGTCGATTTCTTTTGCAATCAGTAAATTTGCTAACTCTTATGTAAGTTTTAAACCTGAAAACCTTTTTTGTTAAAGATTTACGATCCCAACGAAAAGCGTTACGAAGTTCCCATTGAAACCCCAAAGGTGGCAAAGAAAAGTTCAAAGCAAAATTATTTGATCAGTTTCACCAAATATCCATTTGGTTTTTCTGTCACTAGAAAATCAACTGGACGTGTTTTATTCAATTCTACAGCAGGAGGGATGATTTTTGAAGACCAGTTCCTACAAATTTCTAGTTTCCTACCATCAACGAATATTTACGGTTTGGGGGAGCATGTCGACAGTTTTAGACTAAATGTAACTTGGCAGAAATTGGTAATGTTTGCTCGTGATGGTGGTACTCCATTTGGAGGAATCAATCTTTATGGAACTCATCCATTCTATGTGAATATAGAACCAGATGGAAATGCTAATGGCGTATTTTTACTTAACAGCAATGCAATGGAAGTTATCTTGCAGCCAACACCTGCCATTACATATCGTACAATAGGTGGTATTTTGGACTTTTACATATTTCTTGGTCCGGAACCTGATTTAGTTGTTCAGCAATACACGGAAGTCATAGGTCGACCATTTATGCCACCGTACTGGTCCCTAGGTTTTCATCTCTGTCGATGGGGTTATATGACGTCAAATAGAACTCAGGCCATTGTAAATAAGATGCGTCAATATGGAATTCCTCAAGATGTGCAGTGGAATGACATTGACTACATGGATAGTCACTTTGATTTTACTGTTGATTCAAAAGATACGGAGGTCTTCCAGAACTTGTCGACGATCTTCACAAACACAATCAGCATTATATTCCTATCACAGACCCTGGAATTCCAAATTCAGATCCAAATTATGCTCCATATGTAGATGGTCTTAAAATCGGGCTTTTGTGTTGAAGCCCGACAAAGATGAACCTTTAGTGGGCAAGGTATGGCCTGGCAATACTGTCTTCCCTGATTTCTTTAACCCTGACACAATAGGGTATTGGCAAGATCAATTACAAAAATTTCATCGTAAGGTTAGTTTTGATGGTCTTTGGATTGATATGAACGAACCGTCAAACTTTGTGGACGGTTCTACAACTGGTTGTGAAGATTCAAAATATGAAAGTCCACCTTACGTACCTGGAATCATGGGAGGTTTTCTGACTTCTAAGACAATATGTATGGGAGCTAGACATTCTAATGGTATTCATTATAATCTTCACAGTTTATATGGACATTCTGAGCTAATTGCCACCTCTAGAGCTATTCAAAATATCTTGAGGAAAAGAACTTTGGTGATCTCACGATCTACTTACCCCAGCAGTGGAAAATATGGAGGTCATTGGTTGGGAGATAATAAAAGTCTGTGGCCTGATATGGGTTATTCTATATCTGGCATTCTAGACTTCAATTTGTTTGGAATTCCAATGGTTGGAGCAGATATATGTGGATTCAACGGAAATACTCAGGTAGAGTTGTGTAAACGATGGTTAGAACTTGGCGCGTTTTATCCTTTTTCAAGGAATCACAACACGAAAGGAACGATTGCTCAAGATCCGGTTTCACTTGGTGATGATGTTGCAGCAATAGCTCGAAAGACATTTTTAATTCGATATAGTCTCTTACCATATCTTTATACACTGTTTTATAAAGCTCACGTTTTTGGAAGTACTGTTGCCCGTTCTCTTGTATTTGAATTTCCGAAAGATCCAAATACTTATTCTATTCAAGCTCAATTTCTCTGGGGATCAGCATTATTGATCTCTCCTGTCCTCACTGAAGGTTCTACGCAAGTGGAAGCATACTTCCCTGCAGATGTGTGGTATGATTTCTATACTGGGGAGACAGTATCTAAAACAGGACAGTATATCACTTTAGATGCTCCTATTGATAAGATCAATTTACACATAAGAGGTGGCTTTATACTTCCTATGCAGGAACCATCAACGACAACAGCAGAAAGCCGTCGAAATAATTTTTATATCATTGTCGCTTTAAGTTCGAGTGGATCTGCAATTGGTGATTTATATCTTGATGATGGTGAAAGTCTCGATCCAAAGGAAACTTTAATGGTACAATTCTCCGTGCAGTCACATGTTCTGACGTCATCTCCATCTTTTGCTGGCTACACTCCTTCAGCTAAAGTGGCCAATATAACAGTTCTTGGTGTTAATTCTTCATATATAAGTCAAGTGTTGGTAAATGGCGATCGTACTCCTTTTCAATTTGATAACTCGTCTAAAATTCTTCGTATTTCATCACTGAATCTAAGTTTTGTTCAAAAGTTTTCGATCTCTTGGTCTTAGAAGTTAATGATGAAAATTATTCTTATTATTTGTCTATGATAACATAGGTTTTATAATGGAAAAGTATTGATTTATGTATTTGTAAAGGTTGCTTGATCTGTCGGCATGACTATTTTTACATTTATATTTAATATTTGCAGTGAACCTATGAGTTAAGTTCAAAAATTTCTTCATTCAAATTGTTTTATTCTGCTTGTGTAAAAACTGACCAGGTTTATAAGGTTTCGTTTCGTTAAAATGAAATATCAATATCACTACGTTTGATCCACTTTTGTGTCATTTAATATTTAATGGTGGTTAATATGATTCTTTAAAGTGCATTTATTGCGAAAATTGGCCCCGATATTAGAATGAAAGAAGACGTAAAATTAAAACAGTGATACTCATTTGGACTTTAAAGACACGTTGCACCCGGGCAAAGCCCCGCGAGCGCCCCACATTATCTCTTGGCGGCTCTTGAGGACAACCCAATGCGGCAACCATTCTGCGTTCTAGCCAAAATTATTAGCTTTCCAAAATCATCCGCAAACGACCAACTCCTTTGTAACATTGCCTACGTTTTAGTTAGACACTGGTTTTAGATCAGATTGCCTCAACCATGGAAAGAAAATATCTTTGACCTGTGTACGATATTCTAACAACTACGCCCCGACAACCACTTCCTGTTAGTTTTGTTGTAAATTGTAGCTTCCGTGATTTTTGCCAGCATCAGCTGCAAGACACCATAATGAAATTATTTGCGATTATCACATGTGTTAGCTTCTTCTTTGATAAATCTTTAAGTTCAGCAGACTGTAGAGACGACATCGACTCGAAGCGTTTCGACTGCTACCCAGAAAATGGCGCCTCTCAAGAGAAATGCGAAATTCGCGGCTGTTGTTGGAAAGTTGCTACAAACAAAAGACATGAAGTCACTGTTCCGCTTAATGTTCCATACTGTTTTTATCCAAAGAACTTTGGATACAGGATAGTGAATGAACAAGAAACGGCAACAGGAATATTGCTTGATCTTCAAATGCAACAACCAGGACCATATGGTGCTGATGTTGAGAATCTTAGAGTTAATGTTGATTTTGAAACGGAAAACCGTGTACATGTGAAGGTAAGTATAAAATTCATCATTGGTGATTCAGACAATGTTACGTTTCATCAATCATATTAAGTGCCACTTTGTCTATGGTTAAATTGATAATTTGATATATGAAATATTAAGTTATTAACTTAATTATTGTTAAAAAGAAGCCAAATATATTCGATCATTGCGTGATATTGATACATTGTGTTAACAAAGACATTAAATGAATTGGGGCTAAATGATTTCCAACTATACTAGTAATTTTAAATAATCCCAGGATTATGAAATTCCACTATTTGCTACAAATTGTTATGGATTTGGTCATGTTCCCTCTGAAATTTACTAAATGGAATGAGTAAATGTGACGAATTATGACAAAATAATCCCACTAATCAGATTGAGTTTGTAGTACAAACTTGAATACTGCTTTAATGTTTAGTTTCACTTTGTTTTGTTTCAATATGTCATTTCATCCCTGCAATTGTCAACATAGCAGTGAATATTATCAAATTCTGCTTAAAATTTTGGAAGTCTGCTCCCCCCCCCCTTTGTATGGTGTTTTCCTGTTGAAAACGGCCTTATAGTGTTGCTGATAAAAGTTATCAAGAATATTTCATGCTTGTTGTGAAATAGTCGAACAGACATATTATTAATTTATGTCATTATGAAATAAGCTGTAGAGTGTAGAGCTATAGGAAGAATGTTGCAGAAGTGAATCAAATTGCTTTTTATTTGTAATTCACTGTACATGAGTAAATAGGTTTCTTAGAGTTATATGTAGATGTTAATTTATGATTAGAGTTATATGTAGGTGTTAGTTTAAGATTATTTATGGACTTGTTGACTGTAAGGTTTGAGGTTAATTATGGCAAGAGATTTTAATAAGCTTGGCTTATATACGTGGTTTGCAGAGCTTTTAGTTCTATACAAATCATAAAAAAGGAATCAGCTTCAGTTCACCTCTGAAGAATACCCTTCCTCTGAGCCTATATGTCTTCACCCAAATTAGGCCCTTAGAAGTGCTCTGTGATTGATCTTTTTAATTGTTGATGATTTTTTTGAATATTTCATTTGATCATTTCTACATACTTAAGTCACGAAGCATATGCAGCACAATTACAAGAATAAAAATAGTATTCTGAGTACATAAAGTTATTAAAATTTTTTGTACCACATTTTTCCATTGAACAAACTCATACGTATGTTTCTATGGTTATAAAAAGAAAGATAAACATTGGTACCATTCACTTTTCTTAAAGATTTACGATCCCAACGAAAAGCGTTATGAAGTTCCCATTGAAACCCCAAAGGTGGCAAAGAAAAGCTCAAAGCAAAATTATTTGATCAGTTTCACCAAATATCCATTTGGTTTTTCTGTCACTAGAAAATCAACTGGACGTGTTTTATTCAATTCTACAGCAGGAGCGATGATTTTTGAAGACCAGTTTCTACAAATTTCTAGTTTCCTACCATCAACGAATATTTACGGTTTGGGGGAGCATGTCGACAGTTTTAGACTAAATGTAACTTGGCAGAAATTGGTAATGTTTGCTCGTGATGGTGGGGGTACTCCATTTGGAGGAATCAATCTTTATGGAACTCATCCATTCTATGTGAATATAGAACCAGATGGAAATGCCAATGGCGTATTTTTACTTAACAGCAATGCAATGGAAGTTATCTTGCAGCCAACACCTGCCATTACATATCGTACAATAGGTGGTATTTTGGACTTTTACATATTTCTTGGTCCGGAACCTGATTTAGTTGTTCAGCAATACACGGAAGTCATAGGTCGACCATTTATGCCACCGTACTGGTCCCTAGGTTTTCATCTCTGTCGATGGGGTTATATGACGTCAAATAGAACTCAGGCCATTGTAAATAAGATGCGTCAATATGGAATTCCTCAAGATGTGCAGTGGAATGACATTGAGTATGCTAATCATCGCTTTGATTTTACTGTTAATCCAAAAACTTTTGGAGGTCTTCCAGAACTTGTCGACGATCTTCACAAACACAATCAGCATTATATTCCTATCACAGACCCTGGAATTCCAAATTCAGATCCAAATTATGCTCCATATGTAGATGGTCTTAAAATCGGGGCTTTTGTGTTGAAGCCCGACAAAGATGAACCTTTAGTGGGCAAGGTATGGCCTGGCAATACTGTCTTCCCTGATTTCTTTAACCCTGACACAATAGGGTATTGGCAAGATCAATTACAAAAATTTCATCGTAAGGTTAGTTTTGATGGTCTTTGGATTGATATGAACGAACCGTCAAACTTTGTGGACGGTTCTACAACTGGTTGTGAAGATTCAAAATATGAAAGTCCACCTTACGTACCTGGAATCATGGGAGGTTTTCTGACTTCTAAGACAATATGTATGGGAGCTAGACATTCTAATGGTATTCATTATAATCTTCACAGTTTATATGGACATTCTGAGCTAATTGCCACCTCTAGAGCTATTCAAAATATCTTGAGGAAAAGAACTTTGGTGATTTCACGATCTACTTACCCCAGCAGTGGAAAATATGGAGGTCATTGGTTGGGAGATAATAAAAGTCTGTGGCCTGATATGGGTTATTCTATATCTGGCATTCTAGACTTCAATTTGTTTGGAATTCCAATGGTTGGAGCAGATATATGTGGATTCAACGGAAATACTCAGGTAGAGTTGTGTAAACGATGGTTAGAACTTGGCGCGTTTTATCCTTTTTCAAGGAATCACAACACGAAAGGAACGATTGCTCAAGATCCGGTTTCACTTGGTGATGATGTTGCAGCAATAGCTCGAAAGACATTTTTAATTCGATATAGTCTCTTACCATATCTTTATACACTGTTTTATAAAGCTCACGTTTTTGGAAGTACTGTTGCCCGTTCTCTTGTATTTGAATTTCCGAAAGATCCAAATACTTATTCTATTCAAGCTCAATTTCTCTGGGGATCAGCATTATTGATCTCTCCTGTCCTCACTGAAGGTTCTACGCAAGTGGAAGCATACTTCCTGCAGATGTGTGGTATGATTTCTATACTGGGGAGACAGTATCTAAAACAGGACAGTATATCACTTTAGATGCTCCTATTGATAAGATCAATTTACACATAAGAGGTGGCTTTATACTTCCTATGCAGGAACCATCAACGACAACAGCAGAAAGCCGTCGAAATAATTTTTATATCATTGCCGCTTTAAGTTCAAGTGGATCTGCAATTGGTGATTTATACCTTGATGATGGTGAAAGTCTCGATCCAAAGGAAACTTTAATGGTACAATTCTCCGTGCAGTCACATGTTCTGACGTCATCTCCATCTTTTGCTGGCTACACTCCTTCAGCTAAAGTGGCCAATATAACAGTTCTTGGTGTTAATTCTTCAAATTTAAGTCAAGTGTTGGTAAATGGAGATCGTACTCCTTTTCAATTTGACAACTCGTCTAAAATTCTTCGTCTTCCATTATTGAGTCTCAGTCTTGTTAAAAAGTTCTTGATTTCTTGGCACTAAAATGAAAAAGGTTTTATTGAAAGAATGTTGCCAGTAGTGAACAACAGGTTTATATTGATCAGATAAAGACTTCGATAGGGGTGAGGTGGGAGTGAATATCCAAATGTGTGAAATGGATAATTTTTGTAAGAGATAGTGTATATACTAATTTAGTGATTGGATGAAATGTATTCTTGGCGAATGCTAAACAGCAGTCATTGTTAAGTTATTTAACTTGATCGTATGAAATGCGTATTGTATGTTTTTAGCTTCAAACAAAAAATACAAAGCTTTTTTTACATATAGCTTTCAGTTTCTCAAGTATTCTCCATAATTTGACTAGAGATTTGTGTCTCTCGTCGGATAAGCTGACAATTTGAAAAGAAAAAATATGTAAATTTTGATGATGCAAGATATCTTGAGAAGATATAAAGACTAGCGACAAACAGGTACATACTTACTGCCTACCTTGGTTTCCAAACATTGAAAGCACCGCGGGAAAACGCTAATCGTTTTTGCTACTATAAATGGCCTTTTTAATTAGATTGATCAACATATCTAAAGGATTTCGACAGATATAGAAAAATTTAACTGACAAACGAAAAACTACAAAAATTTTAACCGTCTAGGGACTTATGAATACCCCCATCTATACACCTTCTATCTAAATTTATTTTAATGTCATGACGTCAGGTGAATATCAGACATGTCCTCTTGTGTACACGAGTGTTCTCTTATCACCCTGGGTGGCCATGTTGGCAAGTCAAAAGTTTTGAAAGCTGCTGAAAGCACGAATAAATATGGGAAGAAGAAGATCGAAACGAAAGGCTCCAACTAAAAAGAAAAATGATCCGTTGGAAAGTCAGTTTAATTGTCCGTTTTGTAATCATGAAAAATCCTGTGATGTAAAGATGTAAGTGTTAAAAGACAACATATGCGTTGATCATCATATAGATTGGCGTCAGTTTACAGTTTTCAAAATAACTTTTAATGTGAAAATTGGATGCTGTTTTGACCTTTATACTGAGTAAGATTTTAATGCGAGCTTCAATAAAGCTAGGAACAACTAATGTTCGTTTTTTTTTAATGTCGTAGGTTGAATATTATGCTTGAAACCATGAACATTTTGAACAATTTTAAGTACGTCATGGGCCATCAAATTTTGTCTCTACATTGTCTGAGACACAGAATTGTCAATTCAGGAATGTCAATGGAGTTGTAACAATGTACTCAATTAAGATTTTAGTTGAAGATTTTCAGACCAGATGTTAAAATTCTTCACTTGTATGCAATTGTATTATGTATATGCAATTATACAAGACTGGAAAATTGGATAAACTGCACATCCCAACATTCAAAATTTGTGCACATATGTAAGAGACTAGTTGTTTAAATACTATGCACTCAAGATTAAGAAAGATCATGTTTTTACTACTTTCATCATTAGTTACATACTTGTATCTATTACCAAAAATATTGTCTTTTGCATTTTTCCACTATGATAAAATTTTGTATTTAGGGATCGCCCTAGAAACACAGCTCGTATAGCCTGTCGAGTTTGTCTGGAGGATTTTCAGACATCTATTACATGTATCCTTGCTATTTTTGATGATAAAATATTTGTTCAACTTCATTCTCAACATCAGAATTAATCATCATTTTGCAGCATTAATTTCTTGTGTTGACATTTTGAAGTCGAGTTTCTTTAATCAAAGTGATCAGATCTTTCAGAACCAGTGGATGTTTACAGTGATTGGATTGATGCTTGTGAGTCAGCCAACCAATAAAAACAATGAGTGATATTTGAAGTGGAAGCCTGTAGAATATTTGAGCCAAATCTATTGGAACTGGCCCAAGCAAGAATGGTTGCTGTCTTATTTTGCATTCAATAAGGGTTTTGGCAAAGGTTACAAATGGCCATGTCAAATTGAGACCTTCAAAACTGAAAACTAGAAGAACTTCAAAAACGTTTGAAAAACTGACAATGACTTGTAATTTATGTGATTGAATATGTGCTGTTTTGGTCGTTAATGTAACAATGTATTTTGAATAACTACGTAGCTTTTTTAATTGTTACCATACTTTTTGTGCCATAAAAAAATGCAAACAGCATGTCTACAATTTGTTTGATTATCATTATATAAAGATATTCCTACAGTAGTTGATGATAATCATTGAATAAACCCAAAGCCCCACACTAAGCATGGTAATATAATATTAATCAAATGTAAAGCCAAGATGCACAGTGTGGTTCTTAAGTAAATGACAAATTGTAAAATATTGAAACATTTTTGCTTCGACTGTAATTCGAACAGATATTTTTGACAAATAAACGATGACATCCTGGAAAGAAATAAATGGAAGAATACAAAGTTGGAGTGCGTCGTTGTCATAGCGATTGTCTCATGTTTATAGAAAATATGGCGAGCACAGGACGACAAGAACGTGAAATGTTACGCAAAGCGAAGCGCGCTTATGAACACACATCAGATCCAATTGAAAAGTTAAGACTTGCTTGCTTATCTCGAGGCTCATCCGGAATTAAGGGACTCGGAAGGTAGCTTTATTAGTGTAAATTTAAAGAAAAACGGCACCCTTATCTTTGGAATACAAGATGTAATAATTAATTAGTTCTTTTAAAATTTTTAGGGTATTCAAAATAATGGACGACGATGGAAACAGAACTTTAGACTTTAACGAATTTAAGAAAGGATTGAGGGATTATGGCCTTTATCTTGAGCCAAAGGTTAAGCATTGAATACAATTTAACAAGCCTTTAAACAGTTTTAGTTATAAAGGGAATAGAATAAAATTTGTAGATGTTGAAGACACTCAGGCCAGGTAACGTTATACTTTGTGAATAACAAAACATTGCATTCTCTTTCAGGAAGTAAGAAATGTGTTTAATGCGTTCGACAGAGATGGAAATGGAAACTTAGATTTTGATGAATTTCTTGTCACTTTAAGGGTTTGTTGTTTGTTTTCGTTTATACAACGTATTTTTCTTTTATTGTGGCTAAAACGTCACACAAAAATAAAACAGCCAAACCATTCCATTTGCATTTTCTTTTTAATAAAGAGGAATAGTTGTTAATTAATTTTATAATTTAAATGTTTGATAACTGTAATGAAATCTTTACGAAGTTTTAGAAAAGTACATAGTAGAGTATGGATGGTAACATATATACAATAAATAACGTAATAGATATGGAGATAAGGGACGAGAACTTGCCTTTCTTATTGTTTGTTAAAAAAGTAAGAACTTATGTTTTTAATGATCTCAATGTATAGTTATTTCTTGCCATCACTCTGTTTCTTTGTTGTTGATTTGTTTTTGCTCATCACCATAAACCAATACTTCTTACCTCTTGTTTGTTTTTCTGGTTTATAGCCCCCAATGAGCAACACACGGAAAAGAGTAATCAATCAAGCTTTCAAAAAATTAGACAAAACAGGAGATGGAATCATCACTGTTGATGATTTACGTGGGTCGGTAATATTTTTATGAACTTATAGGCAGTTATTTGAAGTATATAAAGGTGATAAAAATTACTTTATTTACTTTCTTGTTCAACTGTAGTGTGTACAATGTAAAACATCATCCTAAATACATAAATGGAGAGTGGACTGAAGAGCAATGTTTCAGAACATTTCTTGACAGTTTTGATACACCTGATGATAAAGATGGAAAAGTAAGTTTTATAGCCAAGTGAAAATATGTGATACAAGATCACCTTATGAAATGCAAGCTTAGTCAGCAGCAGCATAGTCAACCTGACTTTTACTGTTGAAGTCATGATGGTGGTAGCGAATAAATTAGACTATTTAGGTAATATAATTCTAGTTTGATATAAGTTCACCATTCTGTTACATGTGCTCACCGACTGACTCGACTCAATATATAATAGCATGTAAAAATTAACATAGGAATGTTCACGTGTCTATAAGGAAATATCAATTTACAATGTTTAACTTAACACCCCCACTTAAACATTAGTTTCTTTAGCTACAAATAAATGTATTACATTGGTAAACAAAGCATAATCTAAAATTATTTACAAGATCTGTTACCAAAACAGTAGACATAAAAGTTTTAATTTTGTGCAGATATTGGTTTAGTGAACATATCTGATATATTATCACTTGACATAACATATTTTACATTTATTAGACCCTTTTGTATTTCTTGCCTAATAAAATGATAGCGAATATCAATATGTTTGGACCGTTGATGTTGCACAGGGTTTTTGGCTAGAGCTATCGCACCTTGATTGTCACAAAACAAACTAACAGGATTTGAGGATTCTATTGGAAAGTCTTTTAAAAGTTGCAAGAGAAATTTCGCCTCTTGAATAGCAGAACTTAATGACATGTATTCTGCCTCACATGTGGATAAAGCAACAGTAGGCTGTTTTCTACTTTTCCATGAAATCAAGGGACCAGTTTTATTTAGTTGGAAACCATATCCCGTTATACTTCGTCTATCCTCTGAGGAACCCCAATCAGCATCACAATAACCCATTAGAGACAGAGGCTGTTGAGATTTTCTGAAGACAAGCCCTTTTTCTGACGTACCTTTTAAGTAACGTAAAACATGCTTTGCAGTGTTCATGTCAGATGCTGTAGGAGCAGACAGATGCTGAGACAGCTTAGTCACACTATAGCATAAATCAGGTCTAGTTGATGTCATTACATACACTAAACTTCCTACTATTTCTCTGTAGAGCTTGTTATTTACTAGTGGTGATTCTTCAGATTTCATTTTATTAGAACTCATCTCACATGGTGAAGATCTAGGTTTACAATTTTGCATGTTAAACTTAGCTAGAATCTTCTCGATATACTTTGATTGACTCATTATTATCTCATTTTTCTCACAGGTAAATTCTATACCTAGAAACCAAGAGAGGACTTGTCTTTCATTTTAAAACGACTACTAAGTTTCTGCTTTACCTCTGCTAAGCACTCTGCACTACTTGATGCTATTATTATGTCATCTACCCAAATGATTAGAATTGTCACTGAAGTATCAGTTACCTTGACATATACACAATTATCAGACTCAGATCGACTAAAACCTTCACTTTTAGGTAAGAGTCCAGTAAATTGTTCCAATTACGACCACTCTGTTTTAATCCATAGAGATTTCTTAAGTTTAAGCACAAGATTTTCTCCATTATTTCCCTTTTAACAAAACCGTCAGGTTGTTCAACATAAATATCACAATCTATGGGGCATTAAGGAATGCAGTTGTAACGTCCATTTGGTGTACAGTTAGATTATATTGTACAGCTAATTGCATTAATATCCTTACTGATGTCATTCTGGCGTTGGTGAGAAAGTTTCATGATAATCAACATGTGGGATTTGGGAATACCCTTTGCTACGTAACGAGCTTTAAATCTTTCTTCCCCATTTGGAGCAGTTTTTATGGCATACACCCATTTTCCCCCCACAGAATTCTTATTCTCTGGCAAAATTGCTGGTTCAAATGTCTCATTTTCTTTTAAAGCTTTGATTTCCTCTTCCATGGCCTGTTGCCATTTCTTAGAGTCATTAGAAGCCATTGCTTCTTCATAAGACTTAGGAGCATCTACAGCTCTATAGCAGTAGTCAATAGTGAAATTTACATTGTTTTCCTCAATCTCACTTCCATCAACATATTGCTCTAAATATCTAGGTTTTGTATGCTCACGTCTTGGATATCTATTTACGTGTGGTTGTTCAGTGGATGTGTTTAGCTCATTTTCGTTTACTTCAACTGGAGGATTTTCATTAACTATATTGTATTCAGTTGTGCTTGCAGGCATACTCACAAGTACTGGTTCATCAATCATTACTTCAGTCTTTGGTGCATCACTTTCAACATTAAATTTGTCGGAAAATCTTACATTTCGCAGCTTAATAGCTTGAGTGCTTGGAAAATAAATGAGATAGGCTGGACTTCCTTATCATAGCCTACAAATACACCTTGTTCCGCTTTTGCATCTAACTTTTTCTTTTCTTGTTTGTATGCATAGCAAATAGTGCCAAAAATATGCATGTTTTGAATATTTGGCTTGTGTCTAGTAAAGGCTTCAAACGGAGTTTTCTTAATCCTATGATTGAAACAACGGTTCCTTATGTACGCCGGTCATAACAGCATAAACCCAAAATGTTTTTTGTAATTTGGATTGTAAAAGCATGCATCTGGCCATGTCAAACAGTGACCTCCAATTTCGTTCTACAGTCCCATTTTGATGGGGTGAATAGGGGGCTGATTTTTCATGTTTAATACTATGTTTGACCAAAAGATTCTGAAATTCTTGTGAAGTGAATTCTGTTCCGTTGTCGCTCCTAATGCGTTTTACCTTGCCATATGGAGTAATATCAGCTAAAAATTTTTCAGTTGCCTTAATAGTGTCAGACTTATTCACTAGAAAATATATCATAGTTAGTCCCGAATAATCATCTACAAAAGCTAGTGCATATCGATAATCATTTCTGGCTACAGGATCTATTGGACCTGCTAAATCACAATGGACTAGTTCTAGAATTGCATTTGCACGCCTATCCGGTTTTCTACTTCTGCTCTGAGTCATTTTTCCTTCTACACAAGTTTTACAGTCAAATTCTTCCTTCTTGTCTATTTTCATGCCATCAACCACATTTTCTAAAGCAATAATATCATTTAGGTTGCAGTGCCCTAAGATGTCATGCCATTCCTTTAAAGATTTTGTTTTGCCATTTTGCTTAGCCATGCTAGATGAGATTACACTATTCAAATAATATAACTTTCCTTTTCTCTCAATTGGAAATTCTTTCCCATTTGGGCTAACTAATTTAGCACAATCTGGCGAGAAAGTAACAGTGGCACCTTTACTAACTGCAGCATGTACAGAGAATGTCTTGTTTATAGGATGGGACATACAAAGCATCCTTAAGAAGAGCCTTATGCATTACACCATCGTTATCACTAATTTCAATCTCCGCATCGCCCCTTCTTTGTGCAACTTTATTTGACCTTTTTCCATCTGCTAACTCAATGAAATGCCTTTCAGGAATGAAATTTGTGTCGAACCTAATAAATTTGCTCATGTCATGAACTATGTGTGTAGTTGCCCCACAGTCTACAAGTACATGGTTAACATAGTCAGCGCTCGTTATATCCACGTTGACATTGAATGCATATGAATGACCTTCATGGATGTCATTGTTACTAACATAATTATCTCTTACTGATTTAGTAGCATCGTTCTTATTCCTCGTTTTCTTCTTGTTCTTGCGACATTTTTCTGTGTTGTGGGAGCTGTTCTTGCACAAATCACACCAACGATTATTTGACTGACATTCTGATATTTTATGTCCTGGTTTTCCGCATCCGTAACAAACGATTTTTCCTTTGCCGTGTCTGTTGCTCGTGGGTTTACCGAGAACTTCCATCACACTGTCCTCCTTTTGGTTATTTTCATCTGAGAGCTTCAGTGTTTCTTCGAAACCTCTCAGCGCGACTTTGAATTCGCTAAACGTTTGTTCCTTGTCTTTCTGTGTCACAACCGTCGAGAACGTTGTATATTTTTCAGAAGGCAATCCTTTGATAATCATGGCAATCAGCAAGCTATCGCTTATCGTTTCACCAGCAGATTTGAGAGACGTTGATGCCGTTTCTGCTCGCAGCATATAATCCGTAACTGTTTCATCACTTGACTTCTTTAGCGAGGTTAATTCTGTATATAACGTTATCACACGTGGTTTGCCTTTCGAAAGATAGTGCTCGCGTAAGATGGCCAAAGCTTTCCTTCCATCGTTAGCGGCGTCACGAATGATGAGAGATAAACTTCTATCGTCTAATAGTTGTATCAGTTCAGCATAGGCATCGGCATTTTCACAGCGTCTTCTTCTCTTTGTGTTGGTCCAGCGTCGGCAGGCAATGATGACAGGATTGTTTTACTCAGCTTCTTGAGTCTTAAATACCCAAGGAATTTTATTTCCCATGACTCATACTTTCTCTCGTCACCATCGAAAATTAGGCGGCTGTTGCTGGGCCCATAACCTGTTGAAGTCATGATGGTGGTAGCGAATAAATTAGACTATTTAGGTAATATAATTCTAGTTTGATATAAGTTCACCATTCTGTTACATGTGCTCGACCCGACTGACTCGACTCAATATATAATAGCATGCAGTAAAAATTAACATAGGAATGTTCACGTGTCTATAAGGAAATATCAATTTACAATGTTTAACTTAACATTTACTGTTGTTGTACAATCTTATTAAATGAAAATGAAAAAGTGTAATGCTTCAAAATTGACATAGCTAGACTACATTTTATGTCATCCATTGCAAATCAAATTACTTTTATATTCATCTGATGAAATTTGTTGTAACCAATCATTGTGCTTCTGAGTTTGCAATATGATTGGATGATGTGTGGTTTATAAATTACCGAATCATTATGATCCTGTGTTTGCAATTGGTGAAATTGAAATTTAATATTTGGCTGCAAACTTGACAACCCTGTGCTAGAAATAATGTAAAATTAGTGCAATCTTGTGCATGGAACATTTCATTCTCCAACAACTAAATAATTGGAAAAAGTCTCAACCCATTTCTGAAAAAGAGCAGAGTTTGAATTTGGATTGAAACTAATTGAACTGATCTAGCTCTCGGCCTCTAAGAAAACAACAAATTTCATTACAATTATTGATGTACGAAAATATTATCGTTCTTATGGCAACAACCTGGCGACTGACGTGTAGGAGTTCTCTAAATAATGCTCATTTTACATAAATTTTTCCAGATAACTTTAGATGAATTCTTCAATTATTACAGTGGAGTGAGTGCTTCAATCGATAACGACGCGTATTTTGATCTTATGATGAGAAATGCGTATAAACTAAAATAGAAAGATTGTTTAAATCAATGGGTGCTATGGATTGATTGCTTACCTACATACACCCATATGTACGTGACGTAGATATGAATTCCGAAATCTGTGACGGTTGCACGAGGCCATGGTGGAACTTGGTAAAAAAATAGAACAAAACACTTATTGAAAGGCAGTTTCAATACTGTGAAGTAAATGCAATCATATTTTTAATATGTTTGTACTGAAAACATTATTCAGTGGATAGAACTCCCTGATTTAAATAGAACTTATTACTGGTGGGCTCGTGGTAAAATGGCAGGCTGTAGATGCAGCCCCTCACTATAGTAATATTCTTCGGACGAATGGGCTGCATACAGGCATTAGCGCTAACATGTAAAGTTTGTTTCCAAGTAATCAACAGCGAAATGCCTTATCCAAATTCAATGTAGATAGTATATAATAATTAGAAGTTAACGCAAAGGTTTCCTGAATGAATACATTCACTGCACCGTGGCCTTGCATGGTATCCTCAAGTCCTCATCGTGTAAAAAATTGTCAGAATTTTTCTCTTCCACTGCTATCAAGACAAAATTAGTCTACGTTTACATTACTCCCGATCGGTCTGAAAACGGCGCAAAAAGTAACAGAACCGGGTTGGGTTTATACTGCACTGGAGGGAATGATGAACTAGGATGCTCGATTTTGGATTTTTGTTAAATTAAAAAAAATAATTGCCATTTGACTAATGTAAATATTCAAATTCATAATGATTCAACAATTCTCACAATAAATATCTTGGTTACAAAATCCAACTGTAATCAGTCGGCAGCCAGCTCGCCAGTTTTGATTCTGCTATGTATTTCAGAACATTTATGATTATTCTTCGTTGGAAATATATTTTGTTTTTGCAGCGAGCATTGCAGAACAAGATTTGCAGGCTGGCCTTGATGGTGAGTGAGGTTAGCACTAGTACAGCTAACTTACTGTGACCTTGCAAGCTTGCTCATTTAGATTTAGTCGTGCTCTGCAATTTTTTCTTTGTTCACTCACTGTGATTCTGTGGAAACAACTGATTTCTTAAAAACAAACCATAATCATGTTCTGAAATTCAGTCCAAACCAATGACAAAAACTTAGGAAAATAGGAATTTAAAACATAGGAACTTTAAAACATTGACATTCGATTTCTTGATGAAATGTCATTAATATTGATCAGTCGTTAGGTTATAAAATTTAGCTTTGTCAGGAGCATAAAAATATTCGCTAGCACTGTTGTCGAAAAAGTTTGACAAATTTGCATTGTCTACTTTTTTAACCTGCAAAAAAGATGTAAAACAAATGTGTAAAACTCGTTGTAAATAGTTTTAACTCTTTTAAATAAATGTAATTTATTCCTAAGATCAAACAAAACATAATTCAACATGATTCTGTGTTCAACAACTTTAATCTAGCTTGGCTATGGATCACCCTCACTTATCACCCTCTGATGTTACAAAAGAAATCAGTGATATTGAGGTGGAAACATTTTGTGTGTTTCCATTTTATTGTTTTAGTTTTCAATTTTTCAATAATTCTAAAAGCGTTGTCAACGTGGTGATCTCGAGGCGGGAGGCGTAAATGATATGCATTCGTGTGTATCGACTCTTTGCTCAAACATTTCATTGATTATATTATTGAAATAGGTTCAAACAAAATAAGGAGATGGCGCGTCGTAAAGGTGGAAGACATGATGATCCTGAGGCTGAAATGCGCAGAAAATACCGTCAAATGATGGAAACAGCTACAAGTCCTGTTGAAAAGTTACGTTATGCTTGCTTAGCAAGAGGTGCTTCTGGTATCAAAGGAATAGGAAGGTTTGCAACTTGATATAATAAGGTCGCTTCTTTTACGAAATTTTTACAGATTTCACAATCGTATATTCTGTACTAAACAAGGACATTCCGAATCATGGATGACGATGGAAGTAGATCCCTAAACTTTGAAGAATTTTCCAAAGGACTTCACGACTATGGAGTCGTCGCGGACAAGAATGTGAGTTTTTGAATGTTAAGATTGCGACAAATATTAAAAGTTAAATTGCAAATCGGCTTAAACATATTGTATTTTTTGGCATTTAGCAAGCACAAGAAGCGTTTTCTGCTTTTGACAAAGATGGAAGTGGTAGCGTGGATATAAACGAGTTTTTGAAAGCATTGAGGGTAAGCTTCAAACATTAAGATGACATGATGAGAGAAAGAATGATATATGAAGTTACGCCCTACAAATTATGATCTTTATTTACATTTTAAAAGTGTGAGGGCAAATCGTGTGAACCTTTATCTGATTCATTGTTATTTAATTTCCCCAGTTGTTGGTGGAGTATTTGAATTTTATGCAGCAACGATGTACTTCACAATAACAAGATTTCTGAGCACATCTAGAACATTCTTTGTTTGCAATTCATAAAATATTGCTTTATTTTCCAATTAAATAAATAATACGAGATATATTTTAAAATGGAAATTGCTTAGTCATTATGGCTGAATGAAAGAGCTGAAAGAATGTTTTGTTAAGAGCCAGATCATAAGGTAGTCATATAGGCCTTGCCAGATTTATCTGAGAAAGCAGTACTGATTGTGAAGGTATGGTTGGTTGATAAGATCTTCAGTGGTTAAATGGCATCTGCTTTATGAAAAATTTATGACTTCCTCTGCATGCTATTATAGGATATATCATTTATAAAAATACTCTATTTAACTTGAGACTGATTATGATTTAGGAGAGGTGCTGCAAATAAAATATTTTGTTTTGTTTAAGCCTCCTATGAGCGAAAGTCGAGTTAATATTGTAAAGCAAGCATTTAAAAAGTTGGATAAGACAGGTGATGGCATTATCACTGTTGATGATTTGAAGGGGTAAGGTATTTCTATTACCAAAATGGCTTAATATGCCATCAGAGATGTGTGGTTATTTTGACTTATTAATGTGTAGCAAAATTGATTAATTGTACATATGACTTCTGAATATTACCTCAATTATCATCTTACACTGTAAATGTCTCCAAATAAGAACAGCATTTTTCTTGATACTATAACATCCAAATGTTTGTGTAGCATTAATTCATGGATATGCATATTCAACATCAAATGATCTTTTGTGGTTTATTCTGACAAATCTCAGTGTATCTTTGCACAATGCATTTTATATGGGACAAAACTTGCAGTGATTTTCACTAAGTGTGATGTATCAATACATATGATGAAATAACATAATTTAGAGTTTATAATGCAAGAAAACATCCAAAGTTTATGAATGGTGAGTGGAATGAAGCAGAATGTTTTAAGCACTTCCTGGCTTCCTTTGAAGCACCAGAAGAGAAAGATGGAAAGGTAACTATTGTAATTCCTAACTTTCTAAACTGTTGGATGTAAAGATGGTTGTGTATTTTGCTTTGATCTAATAACATCTTTAAAAATGAATAAAAATATTAATAGAACAGTTAACAAGGTTGCTTGTCACTGAACAAAGTATCGGTGTCACTGAACAAAGTATTTGATTCTGCAAACAAATAAAATACACATTGAATATAGAATATTTTTGGAAGTTACAGTGTCTGCTCGTAAAATAAACCACATTTGTTATCATTAAATCTGTGATTTTCATACACATTCTATGATTTTATATTTTATTAGGTTACTGCTGAAGAATTCCTTAACTATTATAGTGGTGTAAGTGCTTCTATTGACGAGGATATTTACTTTGACTTGATGATGAGAAATGCATGGAAATTGTAAGTCACAAGTCCCATGACGTAAACGTTTGTTCAATTGGTTTAGCAAATTGCAAGATCATATTATCATTATTAGTTATAGAATAACATTTTAGTACTGCCACAAAACGACATAATTTTTATTAGCTAATTCATATACTATAATTTTATTGGCTATGGCTACTTGCTGTCTATTTGTAAATAGATAGGAAATAGCAAAACAAATATGTTCTTGTCTGTCACATTTTTTTTATGGAAATGGTTTGTTTCATTGTTGAATATGCTTTGAAACATGGCTTTTGATGATTGTTATTTATTCCAATATTTTACATGAGGTAAGCCATGCTTTGCCTTTAGAAATTGTTGCTCATTCTTTTCCCATGTCTTTCTTGCTAACAATTGATATCAATAAATTGTATTAAAGAGAATGGTTTAAAGCCGGGAGTATCGTTACATGTTTGTGCATGTAGATCGTTCCTGATTACAAGTGTATGAAATATTATTTGCAATATATTTTCTCTTTGAGTTTAAAATACAAACTTTGGAAGTTAATTGATGATGTTACTGGGATTTGCTAGGAAAAATTGTTATTGAAATCTTCTTTACAAACAATGCATTTTGATAGAGACACGTTAATTGAAGGTCTGGTATCATCTGATCCATGATGTCAGATTTTTTGATGAACATTTTAAAAGACTATTCAATGTTTGTCTTAGTGTGAGAGTATGGTATGGCTGTTATCGAAAAATAATGCTTTGAAGAACTGCGTATTCAGGAACATATAATTGGATGCAAAAAGGCATTTTAAAATATACTTTTGCTTTTATCATTTTTAAGAAAATTTGTTTGTGTAAGGAATTATAATAAGTGCGAACAAGGAATATGTGGATAGTCATGTTTTGGCATCAATGTGTTTTGGTCGAATACGTAACCTTTTGAACCACGTGGTACATAGAGTACATAGTGACGTAGACATTCATTGGGTATAAAGTGTATACCGGTATAATACACGTGATACATAAGGTACATTCTGTGTTCAGTTTATTCTGCGGGCGTTTTGGCCTGAAATCCTGAATCCTATCAATATATTAGTTAATTTGCTAGATACTGCATGTTTTTCTGTGAAAGTTAAACATCTAGGAAGATATGTCGAAATCAAGCAGGAAGTTATTTGGAGTAATTGTGTGCGACAGTCAAGCCAAGTGGGGTGGACCTGACGGTATCGCAAAACGAATCGAAAATATGCTTTCGATAGATAATGCCGAATGGAAAAGATATCGAGCAGAATACGGCGAGTTCCCTTCAGAGGAAGAGTTGAATACTTTTCAAGGATTTTACATCACTGGAAGCAAGCATTCAGTCAATGACGAAGCTCAAACGTGGATTAAGAAATTGGAGTTATTTATACAAAAAGCCCATGCATTGAAAAGGCCGAAAGTCTATGGGTCATGTTTTGGTCATCAAGCGATTGCGAAAGCCTTAGGTGGAAAAGTAGGAGCAAACCCCAGCAAACAGTTTATTTGTTATAACGAGGAAATTGTGATGTACGACGAAGATCTCAAATGTTCCAAATTCTTGAACCACTTAAAAAAAATCAGTGATACTAAAAAATTCCACATGCTTCAATCACATGGAGAGTGTGTTGAAGAATTACCGCCAAATGCGATCAACGTGGCCAGCTCAGCATCGTGCAAACATGAAATCATATTATTTAGCGATAACATCGTTGGATGTCAGTCTCATGCTGATTTTATTAAAGATGACCTCTCTTCTATTATTTTGCCTTCGTTATTAGAGAGCAATACAATAACTAAAGATGAGTTTGACAAAGCAACTGAATCCCTGAAGCGACCAGATGCCGGTTCAGATGTTGCACATGCTATTCAGGAATTTTTGTGTTGTGAAACACAAAGTCAACTATCATGAGATATATTTATCTCCTCACATCCAACATTTAGGTTAAGGTGTGGTCAAGAAAAATAGGCCGATACTAAATACGTGCGCTATTGCTACATTTTTTCATTTAAATGAAATTTTCTGAACATAGTATAAACAGACTATAAGAAAAACAATTTAAGAAGAATAACTCAAAGTTTTATTAAGCAGCAGGTATGTAATACATCCTGATCGTTCTAAAATGTATTTGCTTAAAATTAGCACCATTTGTCGCATTACTTTTTGCAAAATCACGTCAAAAAAAACGAAGTTTTGCGTAACTTTTCAGCATCCAAAATCAATCACAACAAAGTTACCACTGTATGTCTATCTACTACATGTATTTAAAGATGCATGTCTTCATATATGTAGAGTAAACCAATGATTAGATTGATTTCCATCATCTTTGCTGCATGTACAATTGATATATGTTCTATGAAATCAACTTCTCAATTTCTACAAATTCTCAAAAGTCATCTTGCTCAATGGGCTTGGCTACCCACTTTCCCAGTCCTTTGCTTTCAAACATCCTAACCAAAGACTGAAATGCTTTTTTGTAGCTTGTAGCTCCCAGTTTTGCCTCGTTATAGTTAAAAGGAAATGAAACAGCAGGTTGCTCTTTATTCCACAATGCAATGAACTTTTTGAAAAATACTTCTTTACAAAGTCTTGAAGGACTGCCATCTTCTAATTTGCCAGTGCATGCATTCACAATCTCAAGACCTTCTTTACCCCAAGACCAATTGAGGCTAGATGATGGGCTCTTTCCTGTTCCACGAGCTTCGGGCACTGATATACCATTAACCAAGTGATAATTGTGGTGATAAAGATCAGGAAGATTAGCAAGTACACCTAATCTCTTGTACAAAGCTCGTGTTAGATGATGAAAGTTGTATAGACTTCCAAGAACAACAGAAGTGAGATAAACTGGCTCAATATATCGACTCAGTAATGCACCTTGGAGACCAACAACATTCCACTTGGCAATTTTATCACTGCAAGACATAGTAAGCAATCTTTCACCCACCAAAACTCCATCCCATGTTTGAAAAACACCTCCTATTCGAACAGGTACCGTACCTACAATGAATAGTTAAAAGTTAATCAACCTAAAGGATGTCAGCAAATAAGGTTGTGTAATTATGTAGATGGGGCTAACAAAAGGTCAGCAGCCAAACCAAATAAAATGCTACTATAATAGAATCTTAGTTCTCTAAATTCCTCAAAAAAATTGTTGAGAAAGAAGCAAATGCAAGATAACGATGACAATAATTTAGTATTGTAAAAAGAATTAGAGTTTGTTTTATCATGGCCAAAGTAAGTGGACAACTTATTGGTACTTCACTTACTTGATCTGATATTTCCATAGAAATATTATGCCGCAATACCATTTAAATTCAAGCAGTACATTGCACTAGTGTAGTTTTGTTGTAGTCCAAGTCTATCAACAATATTATTATTGTACAAAATCAATTTGGTAAAGCCAATACATTGAAGTTAGAACATGCTGTTTAGAGTTTTGAAAATAAAAACTAGTTTAGCCCAATAATCAAATTGCTGAACAACTTGAAAACAATTTCACTTTGGCTATGCAGAGTAAAGCTTGAATTAAAATAAGCAAAGCATTATAGCAAGGAATGAACTTTGTGACTGCATACTGTCACTAAAAAATTAACAATACCACAATAATGCAACAAAATGCCAAAAAACATAGGTTTGGAACTTCAGTTAGTTTAATCCTAGCTCAGCACTAGCAATTGTCAATTGTACCTTCGCCATTTTCAATTTTTGTACGAAGCAAGCCCCTTGTTTTTCTTTGGGGATGGCGATCTTCCGGTTCGTTGAGTGCCTTTTCTTTAGGTGAAAAAATTCTGCCATCTCCACAAGGAGAGGTGCTAATATAAAGATGAAAAGCCACATCTTCACGAAGACCAAACAGGCCATTATTCTTTTTTGTGAAACAAGAGATGTTGATTTGGCCGGCCAGCGCCAAATCAAGCTGCTCGTATAGATAATTGCATAATCCTCGTCGTGCAATAATTTCTCCATGGCAATCATTAAGTGCTAGTCCTGTATTGCTAATATTTTCACCAGTAATACACTTGGTACCAGTACCAATACTTATAACTTCCATTTCGACAACTTCTTCTCCTTTCTGAATGGTTTTTACAACGCCAGCCAACACTTTATATCGATATGCAGGTGTATTGCTTGATTCTGTCAACAAAGCAAACTTTTGCTGTACCATTTCACCAATCTTGTCTGCCAATGGTTGAGGTATAAGGAACTCAAGATCACTTGGATCTGATATATCTTTATTGTTAGTACTATGGATGACCCCATGAAGTTGAAACATTGCACGAGCTGCAGCGGATAAATTAGCAGATTTCTTGTTTGCACCTGTCCCTTGGTAAGTTTCACCATTAATAAGTAGTTCACTTGTAAAGATTTTACTATGAGCTTTACCAACCTCATCAACAATCTTGAACTTTGCACCAGGATAATATTGATGTACTATAGAAACAACATTTACACCATCATTAATAGCTTTAACAATGGTTTGTTCTCGAGTTAATTTGACAGGAGAGGATTGTAGAACTCCATCAAGGTTATCTGTAACATTGTTTGGTGTTGAAACAGGTGAACTATTCAATAAACCTTTGCTTTGCAGGAATTGCGCTGCAGCAACTTGTTTGGCACCTTTTTTACTTTTTGCATGGCCTTCAAATCTACCACCTATGTACATAACAAATTGAGCAAGTTAAAGGTTAGAAAAATATTTTTATATAGACTGTTTACTCAACAATTTTGATATCTATGGCCTAGCTCAAACGTCGAACTGTACATGAGCCGAACACATTTAAAACAAAAGATAATGAGGAAGCTCATATTTCTTTGGTCTCTAATGCCTAATGCGTGCATCTAAAGTTTGACATTTGAAACAGGCCTATGTGTAGCTAGTATTACAAAGAATAAAATGTTTGATTACAAATGCATTGCATACAACTATTTGTAAGCAACGCATTTATAATTCCATCCTACCATTTAAATTGTTGCTCTTTTAGTAATTTTAAAAATTATGAAGCCCAGCACAAAAGATGAAAAGAAAGAAGAAAAAGACTTCATTATTGAAGCAACTCTTTTGACATGGCATAAATTAACAAGTTAAAAACAACCATGAGTTTAGTCAATTAGTTCAATCTATGGATCAGGTTATTTAAAACGTTTCTTTTCCTCTGTTTCTCTTACTAAGTCCTAGATATATACTCGCCAATAATAATAAAGCTAGAGTCTGTTTAATATCTTACTACCAAGCAAATATATTTGTGTTCATTCATTGCAACAATAAATAAATGCCACACGGGCTGTGAAATGTAAACGTGTCCTTGGTCAGGCAGATCGAAGTTTCGAGTATAGCATCATCGCGTTAGTCGAATAACATAAATAAAGATTAATACCCTCAAACTCAATAGCCATGACAAACTCTGGCTCATGGCTTGGACCAGTGACTTTCACCAACTGAATTTCCAATTGAGGAAAAGTTTCGTTAAAGAGCATTAAAGGCGTTCTTTCAACGTTTGGGTTCTTGCGTCTTTTAATTTTCTTTCTTCTAGGCCCTGGCGTGATTGCCACCGTTTTTACTTCTCCATTAATTGGAAATTCACCGTTGTCTTCTACAAATTTGCGTTTTTCTGAAACACCAAGGGTCTCGACGTCCATTATGGCAGATGTTTGATGATAAATAATGAATGAACAAATAGATAATTCTACAATTATATAGCCTCATTAGTCTGTGCAGATGCCATACTATGAAGTGCCATCATGTCCGTGTCAACTTTGCACCAAAGTTGTTTATCGTAGGGCTTTTTCTCCAGGGGTTGTTTCTCCTAGGTAAAGAACATTGAGTTTGTTGTTGTGCGCATGCTCGAAAGTTATATGGAAGTGATAGTTACAGAAACAGAAAGACAAAAAAGGCACAAATATAATGTGTATGAAATAGTTCCAATTTGTCTTTGTGAAATTTATTAAAATGTCGATGAGTGATTTGTTTGGCAGCGATGAAGGTAGTGAAGCCAGTGATGAAGATTTTAACTTAACAAAGGAGAAAATAGCCAATGGAAATGAAAACAATGTATCATCTAGTGACGAGCAGTCTGGGGTAGAGGATGTAAATGATGTGGAAGGTGATGAAAATGGTGATGATGATGGTGATGATGATGATGATATGGTAGGGAAGTTTGTAAAAATTGCATGTTATATCAATAATTTGGGTTAGAATTAAATAACATGCTGAAATAAGTATTTACATGTTAGTTTGAAAATTTCAGTAACATTACTCAAACGAACAAAAGATTTTGCTAAAGATAACATGATGAAAAATGATAATTGTAGAAAAACTGTAGAAATTAGTTCAAGGGAAATATTTTTGTCTTATGTTGCCAATTTCAGGGCCTAGATAAAAATGCTGAAAATGGTGAAGATGAGCAAGATGAAAATGAACAAAATAATGAGAACTCGGAAAATGAAGAGAGTTCTGGGAATGAAGAACAAAGTGACACAGAGCAAAAAGTATTTTTTATCCAATGTTTTTATTTTCAGTTACTTACTAATAATAAAATTTGCTAGAAGATAATTCTCAAAATTATTTTGAGGACGAGGAAAAACCATCCTCAAAAAATGTTTCATCAATGGATCTGTTTGGCGAAGATGTGTCATCAGAGGATGATGATGATGAGCCGGTAAAGATGTACATTACATATTTTGTTTATACAAATATTGTGTTCATGATCATAGTATAAGAAATATTGTTCTCATATTCAGAGTGCAAAAGACCAGAAAGAAACTACAGTGATGGAGGCTTCAACTCAAGAAGAGGATTTTGTTGATGATGACACTCATCAAGGAAATGTTCAATCTGATGATGAAGATGCTACAGATGAACCAGAAGAAACACATATTAATATTGAAATTCCTTATTCAAAATTCAGCCTAGGATCAGAAATGTCTTTTGTAAAACTGCCTAATTTTTTGAGCGTTGAGACCAAACCCTTTGATGCTACAACTTACGAAGATGAATTTGAAGAAGATGAAGTAATGGATGATGAAGGAAGGTCAAGACTTAAACTTAGGGTAAGCACCAAAAGTAATTTGTTCTCATGTTAATTTAACATGGTATTGTTGCAATTTAGCATGGTATCATTGCAATTTAACAAATTTATAGTTTTCTATGTGTGAGAAATGAAAGAAACATAAAATATTTATCTACACTGTCTAGGGAGTGCTATTAATGAGGTGTCAGTTGCAAGAATAGCAAGCACATTTTGTAATTACCTTTGCTATTTATAGTCACCCCTCAACCCCCTCCCACAAACCCACCTAGAGTGTTTTCTCAATATCTTAGATTCATCTGTAGCAAGCAGTCCAGTGTGTTGGATTATCTTTTAACAAATATTAATTTTCAAGAAATGAAACAATAAACATTTAATATTTTTAAGGTTGAAAACACAATCAGATGGCGTTATGCTAAAGATGAAGAAGGAAATGATATTAAAGAAAGTAATGCCCGTATTGTTAGATGGAGTGATGGAACTATGTCTTTACTTCTTGGTGCTGAAGTATTTGATATTCACAAAACAAAAATTGACGGAGAGCACAATCATTTGTTTGTGCAACAGGTCAGTTTCATGTCTTTGTGTTGTAAAACTTAATCATTTTGCTTCCAAAAGAATTTGATTATGTAAAAATCTTAGTTGTGAAACCATATGAGTCTATTTTTTAAGGGCACAGGTCTTCAAGCTCAAGCTATATTTCGTGATAAGCTAACGTTTAGACCACATTCAACAAACAGTCAGACTCATCGTAAAATGACGTTATCCATAGCGGACCGTGTTTCAAAGACTGGTAAAATCAAAATATTGCCTGTCGTTGGCAAAGATCCTGAGTCACAAAAGAGTGAGCTAATCAAGGTACAACGACACAAGAAGTGTAGATTTTAGCGTTCCTGTGTGTAGAAATGGGTTGGCTTATTGCATTGATACGTAGTATGATCTATGTATTACTGGTACATGCAAGTGTTGCTACAAGGATTTGTGCTTTATGTACGTATTTAGCATCTATGTTTGTGAATTCTTTACTATTGACTTTTTGATGTTGCAGAAAGAAGAAGAAAAGTTACGGAGTCAATTAAGGAAAGAAAATCAACAAAGACGAATACGGGAACGAAGTATTGCGCGAGGCCTGAGTGCGAGTTATTTAGAAGGTCGAAATGATGATGATGATGACACTTTAGAATCTTCAGAACAGAGTCTTTTGGCCTTAAAGAGACGCTATAAGAAAAATATAGCAAAAGGTATCTTATATTCCTGTACTTGATATACGTTTGTAAAAAGCATGTCCATTTTGAACAATGCATTCGTTTTTACCAGTTCGCTTGGGGGATGTTTACTCGGACCAAGAAAGCGAGGATGAGGAGATTTCCGGAGGACTGGAAAGTGATGATGACAGTCTTGATAATAGAGTTGAAAAGGGGACTGGCTCATCTGAAACTGATTTAACACGGCAAAAGAAACATAGTCTCGATGAAAGTGTGGTGAAAAAGAAAAGAAAGAAAGTAATAGCTGAAAGTGATGAAGAAGAAAGCGATTAAATATTTCATCATCATCACAGCCGTACTTTTCAGTAATTGATGACAGCCACGTAATTAGCAATAAGCCAATAACGTGTTGTCGACCCTGTTGTATAAGCTTTGGGTAGTAATTGATTGTCTTCAAACTATCCATACCAAAGTTTATCTCAAGATGAACTTTTAATGGCGATCGCTTACCGTCTTTATCAGCAAAAGAGCAAGAGGCAATACTGCATACTTTGAGTAACGACTTACAATTTTTGTCTTGGTCATTTTAATCAACGTCATGATATTGTAAATGTTGTATATTTGAGTTAATTTACCAATAAAGATCCTGTACAACGTTGTTTAGATTTTCTTCTTGCACTTGAAGAATTTCCAACGTGAAGATGTTAGTGCACTTCATAACTGCTTGTGTTTCTTTATCATGAACTTCGTTAAACTCGTGACATAACGAAGATGATCGAATAGTGAATACCAATTTTGGTATTCACTATTAAAAATATTTTGCTTGTTTTCATCAACGAATTTCTTGATTTTATACCATTGGAATTAGGTTAAGCTCCTATATAGGCTGATAAATTTGTTTGTTTTTTTTAGCTGTTCATGCTTATAGTTCTCTATTTTGCATAATAAAAGAACTAAGTACCATTCATTTCATTTACCATAGAAAACTGGAAAATTTTCGGCCACTCGTTTCGTTTTTCATATAACTAAGTTAACAGCGTTTAACATCACAGCCTCGGTCTGTCTCTAAAACCAGTGAGCAGCAAAGTCCTAAAGCTAGCTAAAAGTCAAGCTTGGTTGATTGAGCATTCATAACTTACGAACGTCGATTTTCGCTTCATTTTCACTGTATTTTCACCTTATAGACATAGTCAGCAATCAGCAAATCCTGCATGAAATCATTCGTTCGAATACCGGGTAGAGAAAAAAATAAAAAAACGCGTTGTTCAAAGGATTCAACTGTATTTGGAGATATTATTCTTTGTTTATATAAAAAATCACAGCAGGAGATCGGGAAGGATTAAAAACTCTTACAAAATGCAGCAATTCATTAACTAATTAATATAAGTCGACGTGACACTAGCACAGGAAAGCGTCTTTTTGATGTTAAAGCTTCCTTGCTATCATTATCAGTCGGAATTTTTACTCTGCATCTCTTCCATGATCAAGGTAAGGTATAACTATTCATTCTTAAAAACAGCAATTTCATTCATTCGCAATTTTTGTACATAGCTTTGAACTGTAATATACTAGCATGATCGCTTTTTCCCTTTGCTTGTGAAGATTGGAGGTGGTAGCTATTTGCAATGCATGAACGCTCTAAAATATATTTGTTTCTAAAGGAACTTCCCTGCAATCACACAACGTTATCACGACGCTATATTTTGGTCCTATTTTGGTTAGGTCCGACCTAACCTAAATACGACGATTATACAACGTTGCATCTTGTTTGTGGTTTGGTTTGGTCAAAGACGAACTAAGGGAAACCTCTCAAGTTTTAAATCTACCAAAGAGTGAGATTTCAGTGAGGTAACGGATGTTGGCCGTTCGTCATGTGTTCACTTGAGAAAGAAAGAAGTGTCAAAATTATAAGCTGTGTTTTTGAAACCTACAAACAAGTTATTTTGTAGCTCATAAATTACAGAAATTAATTTATTGGATACTCGGTATCTCTGATGGTATTAAATAATCTAGCGGAACAAACAAAATCAACGTCGTTGGCTTACAATTTAGTAATATAATATCAAACTGAAATTTATGTTGCATTGCTAGCAAGCAAAAAGCAAGCTTCAACGGTTTTGTTTTCTGCTGGCTTCTTACATGAGCTTGTAGGAATTTTTATTTTGCAAAAGTCCTCTAAAGCTTGGTATAAGTATCGTAAAGTACGTGTATGCTTTGATGTAGAAAGGCATATACAACGACTATACCACCTAAAATATTTAAAATACCAACCAAAGAATATTTTAAGAAGATAGGATGTTTACTTACAAAACTGGGGCCGGTTGCACGAGCCCTGGATAGCGTTATCCATTGGATAGCAAAAATTTTCAAACTTGTAGAAATGGTGCTTGCATTTTTCTTGCGACAAAGAAATTTTGTAATCTTCGAAAGTGTAATCTTTGTAATCTATAGTTTACAACGTCTGTATTGATTTTGAAAAAGAGATTTATATTTAAGAAGCTATAATTTATTTTGACAAACGCTGGATCCCCTACTGCTCTATGAAAGCAGCTAAAGAATCTTAAGAAAGCACTTGTAGAAATGGTGCTTGCATTTTTCTTGCGACAAAGAAATTTTGTACTCTTCGAAACAATAATTTATTTCAGTGATTGCACAGTTAAAATCGTATAATTTTCTTTTATAAGAGATTTCATGAACGTTCAACAAAATTTGCTATCCAGTGGATAACGCTATTCGGCCTACGTGCAACTGGCTCCTGAAGTATATAATTTATCATAATCCACAAAAATATTCTCTTAGTGGTTGAAATAATGACTGGTAAAAATTTCTTTTAAACTCCAAGGAAGTGCTTTATAGTTTATAACGTCTGTATTGATTTTGAAAAACAGATTTAAAATTAAGAAGCTATAATTTATTTTGACTAACGCTGGATCCGCTTCTGCTCTATGAAAGCAGCTAAAGTGTCTTGTAGCACGTGACACACACGCCGTAGATTGAGGTTAGAAGCAGTTTATGAAAGCAGCTGTAAAGTGACTTGTAGCACGTAACACACACGCCGTAGATTGAGGTTAGAAGCAGTTTATGAAAGCAGCTGTAAAGTGACTTGTAGCACGTGACACACGCCGTAGATTGAGGTTACAAGCAGTTTATGAAAGCAGCTGTAAAGTGACTTGTAGCACGTGACACACACGCCGTAGATTGAGGTTAGAAGCAGTTTATGAAAGCAGCTGTAAAGTGACTTGTAGCACGTGACACACACGCCGTAGATTGAGGTTACAAGCAGTTTATGAAAGCAGCTGTAAAGTGTCTTGTAGCACGTGACACACACGCCGTAGATTGAGGTTACAAGCAGTTTATGAAAGCAGCTGTAAAGTGTCTTGTAGTGTGAAGAAAATAATTAATAAAGCATCTTAATTCATTTGGATAGGAGTTAACTGTTTGTGATATTTTCACCGTCACTTTCACCAAATGAAAATATCTACCATAACTGTTTACATTCACCAGTAGAGTTTTGAACTTACAACAACGACGTAGCCTGGCTTGAATTTTTTTTGGGGGGGAGGCACACTTTCGAACGTCGAAGGAATGTGCATTTTTAGAGGGGTTGGGAGCTGCTTTACCTGCAAAATTTCTAAATAAAAAGTCTCTCAATAGCAATTTTCCTTGTTATTTTGACTGAGCCCTTGTCTCTTTTGTGTGGTATAAAATTGCATTCAGGTCAGGTTAAAAAGAACAATCGATAGTGCATGCAATAGCACCTATGTTTTGTTGAGTGGCGTAGAAAAACTCAAATGCAAAAATCGAAAGAAAAAGCCATGTAGTATTTTTAACCTACAAATTTGGCTGGACTAGTTCCACTATACATGTCACTGTTATTAGCAGCACACCAGAATTTACTGCAAGCTAAGATCCACACAAACGTACTTTCACTTCTCGTCACGTTTTTTACAGTTGGGTTTCCACGTGAATATTCACTATTCAGTTCAATGAGAAGCATGCTTGTAATTATTTACGTGGCAAAGTTGGAATCACCAAACTCTAAAGTTACAATTTTTCAAATTAGTTACATTTTTTCTTGCTAAATTTGGTCAGTCCTCACTGATTCCTTGATTATTGGCTGTAAAAAAAATAAGAAAAATACATTAGAGTGTTTAGACAATGGACTCGACTGTACTTCGAGCCATATTTCTTTGTCTTCTTTCTGATGAAAGTAAGCGATGCATTAAATAGTATCTCAGCTGGTGAACAAGGAAGATGTCATACTTTATGACATAATACAGCTTATTGATAAATCAACTAAGTTGGTATGTATATAGGACGTGTTCAGTATAGAAAGGCGTCTTTGTAAGGCAGAAGCTTCCTTAATTTGGTGTCAACATTAGGTTTTATCAAATTTCTCCACAACCAAGGTAATGGAGCCATTTATTTTATTCTGTGCTACTGTGTGTACATCAGTTGTTGTCGTTCATTTTTAGTGTGATATGTCAGCATGATTAATATGATCTTATACTTGCTATATGTGACATAATTAATTTTTTAGAGTTTTTTTTCCAAGCAAGCATGACTTTGTATGTAATTAATTAAAACTCGAGAATATCTATGATACAACGCGCTTTAGAATGGACGGTTTTGTGCATGTCAGTTTACTTAGTTACGTGGATGCTTTAAAACTGTTAGCATTTATTTTGTGTACTTCAAGGAAAAGCTTTAGACTTCTAAAAGCTAGAGAAAGCTATAGTCTTATCTTACATTATGTCGTAGAATGCTCATTTCTTAAAAAGTAATGACTTTCTTGAGCAATTTAGTGTTATTGTTATTCTGTGTCGTAACTGTCGTTGAATGCTTTTCTAAATTAAAGTGCTTATCAATTTCCGGGATAAGCCAAAGTAAAACGGAGATATTGTTCTTCATTATGAAAACTATATCACAAATGTTAAAGTGTTTGAAACATTAACTAATAATAAAGACGAGACTTATAACATCGCGCAACAATATCAAAAATTGCAAGCACGCATAACTTTCTATTTGTGGAAGTTTAATTAATAATAAACTTAGCAGGGAAGCTTCTTTGACTTATTGAAAAAAATATTGCTATTTATAAACTCCATTATTTTTCTATACTTGGTAACTTTGTGGGTGTTAAAATAATTTAGGCTTGCCAAAGCGAAATGAGCATTCTATAGCATGAATTTCCAGCCAACGAAGTGCTATAATTGACAAACGCCGTCTCATTAATTGACACGTATCCACATTGAAAAAAATAACACATTCTAAAAACAAAATGCGAACGTGTGTTCATAGCACCCACAAAAAAATGTATGCACGAGTGATTAGTTAGGAATAGTTACCAAAAAAATTTATTTTAAATGACTTCTTTCAAATGTCTGGTAAGTCGATATCTATAATGATATAAAGTTAGGGGGAACATAGGCCATATGCTAAAGTTCTCATTTTTCACTGCGTTTTGTCAATCAAAACACAATTTAGATTGACCCTAACTGACCGTGATAATCGAACTTGAAAATTGCGTAAAGATTGATGATGAAGCAGCTGGATTTTATTTTGTCCTTTTCTGGACTTTATTTGGTTATGGTATTTGTAGGATCTTCTGCCGGTTAGTAATCATGTTTTGATCAAGCACGTTTTGTGAATATGAAAGTGACAGGTTTGCGATACAACATTAACAGTTTGATTTGAATTACTCGTTAATTCCACAA